TTTTTGAGAAACAATTTTAGTGTAATACTAAACTTATATAATTCTAGAGAATGGCGCTTCAGAATGGATTACAGTATGCAGAATTTTATTTAGATGCTTTTTCTTGAAATCCATTTCCCTTCACTTTTATGTAACACAAATAAAAATAAAAAAGTAAGGATAAAAAATTTATGGCCAGACATATTTACAAATAATAAACAGAGAAACAATTTCAAGTCCTTAATAAAAGCATCTTTTGATTGTTTACTATAGTATTCTTTGTAATATTTGTGGTGACTGTCAGTAACACGTTGTTTACAAGTAAAGGGGGTCACCGTTTATTTGAACAATATTTTTTTGCGATTGTTTCAGAGAGTTGTATCCAAGAAGTCGATAGATGAGAAAATCTAAGTAAATTCAACGAATAAAATATGTTATAGTACAATAAAAATATTATGAAGATATTTTACATATTTTAATATATATATATATATATATATATATATATATATATATAGAAACATTTTTGGAGTTAGACTTACAATAACTTCAATATGCTTACGTCACAATATTACTATATGACAGCTGTACAAACTTCGACGCATAGTATAACAATAATTATATTACCATAGTACAAGTAATAAAAAAAATAACGAAATAAATATACGTACAAACGCTGTGACAAATCTGATGTATAACTAACTGTGGCTACAGTCCACAGCGTCGAAGTAACAAAACCAATAATAAGAACTTTCGTGATTCTGATTTCATAAAGAAACTATTGAACCAATTTTGATGAAACTCCCATCATAGGACCAATCTGAAAATATATTCTTTCAAATAATAAAAAGAATTTTTCCAATCGGTTTATAAATTTTACAGTTCTGAGGGACAAACACAAAATAATACAACTAAATTAACAACTCCTCTTTTTTCTGAAGTCGGTTAAAGCGTATTTATAATCTACCAATGCGAACCAGAGACCCGCCCGTTCAGTTTGCAATGATAAAGTGTTTTGCCGTTTTGTTAGGTTTCCGAGCTGCAGACACGTCATTTACTAGGTAAAATAAAAAAAAAATAGATTCAGTAAACAAATAAGTAAACAGATGTTGCTAGCCGAAAAAATCCAAAAGAATGAGTTTATTTTTTGAGAAATTAAAATAATTCACTTACATGGGGCATTTTTAACCATTTACACACAATATTTCTAAACGCATCCAGTTAAGCGAGTTCAAAAAGTGGCAAAAAAAACTTGACTTGTCAGCTCGACTTATAAAAAGTAACCTATAATCCCCCCCCCCCCCATATGGTACGTGTATACCAAATTTTATAGTAATTGGTTACCTTAAAGCGCTAATTAAACCGTTAAAGCGGTAACAAACAAACATACTCAATTTCATTTATAATTTCTTTTACAACACGGAGCAAACGAGCATTCGGCTCACCTGATGGTAAGTGACTACCGCCGCCCATGAGCACCCGTAACACCAGAACTGTCATAGGTGTAAACCGGCCTTTTAAAAAGCAATATGCTCTTTTCTTGAAGGTTATGTTGTCGTATCGGTTCGGAAATACTGCTGCTGGAAGTTGATTCTAAAGAATGGTTGTGCGTTAGAAGAAAATATAATATTAGTATGGACATACAAAATAGAACAAGGAAACTTATTTCACTTATACTTTCAAAATCTTAATTCTTTAGTTATACATCAGAATCGTCAACTACGTCAACGTCAACATGAAATGTCAAAACACGAACGGTCGCGTGGATAATATGTGAAAACATCTCTGCACGTAAGTCTGTTTGTTGCGCCTTGTATATACGGAACCATATAAACAATAGACAGATTGCTCAGTAATCATTTTTATATACAAAATCTTTTACTGAGCATGCTCGCATTTTTTTTTATACAACTTAGAATGACAAACAAGCTGACGGCCCACCTGATGGAAAGTGGTAACCGTCGCCTATAGACACGAGCAGTACCATGGACATAACAGAGTATACTGTTTCGCCCATGATACCCCCCATGCATTGCCATTCCTGAGAACTCGGGTGTTATTCCTCTGTACCCAGTAAATTCACTCCATATCCCACCCTTCAAAACGAAACACAGCCCTGCAAACACAACTGCTTCACGGTTGAAATACGAATGGGAATCGCATATCTAACAAATATTTTGTTCCGAGATTTTTGGCGCGAACTCCAAGTCATTTCACATAATAAACTTGTCACAGTATTTAATTCCGCACGATAAGTTTTAAAGTAACTAAATTATTCGACGCAACCAATGACATTATTAGTAGTATTGGGTAATATATATTTATATATCTATATACATACTGGTCCAATAACGAATATGTTAAAATCCTGTTATCCAAAAAAATAATATCGGATAACAGACTTTAACATGGGAAATAGGTTTATCATGTCCAGAGAAACCCAATATATATATATATATATATATATATATATATATATATATATATATATATATATATATATATATATATATATATATATATATATATATATATATATATATATATATTGGGGGAAACGGATTGTTAGTAATGGAGACTGAGAATCCCATTGCTAGCAATATACCTAACCAAGTCGAGCTCCTCGCGGTTCCCCCTGGAAACTATCATGGTTAATTCCTGATGAATTCATCATGATGGGCTAACTGGCCTGTTTTCATTCTCATCTATCACCCTTCACTGGTGCTCCGCCAGCGTATCCCGTTAGCGCAGGCGGGGTTACCATACCATTTTCAACCATCAAAAAAAAAAATATTGGATCGATATCCGTAATACCCAAGCCTAAATGGTCTAACACGTCATAAAATAAAAAAAATCAAAAATTATACAACTCAGAATGGCAACAAGTTGGCGGCGCCAATTATGTCGGACTTAAAGTAAATAACCATTGCTTATAAACATGAATAGAACAATAAATAACGTAATACATATTTACAATTTACACTGTAAACTGTGACGCCTACGGCGCCCATCGCGACACCATTAATAAGAACTAACTTGTGATGTCATTTTGTATGTAATACTTGCATTGTATTGTACTTTGAAATCTATTTAATATTTAAACTTACCAGCGACAATAGTCGATATAAATAAATAATTATATAAACGTATTCAAAATAAAAAAAAAAATTAAAAACTACATGCAATGCCACTAAAACTAGTTTAATTATATATATATATATATATATATATATATATATATATATATATATATATATATATATATATATAAAATTATTCCCGTATGGTACGCACAGTACCTGCCACACCATCACACCCCATCGACTATTCCCATAGATACAAGGCGACGGCAGACACGACAGAGACGTGACGCAGGGAAGATAGACTGGGCGTGTTACACAATGTAAGCACGTGTGTGTGTCTCTAGAGACCATATTAACAAATCATACTCGATTCCTACTTTCAATATTAGGCAGCGTTTTAATCTGTCTTCACGACTACCCAGTACGAAAACGGTAAATAAATAAACAAATAAATATTTATTTATAAATGAGGTCATACCTATCGGGTATGAAGATAGTAATAAATAGATAAACATATAAAAATAATATACTTAAGCCTTACATTATATACATAGAGGATCCTCAAGAACGGCTCAACTTTTTGTCTCAGCTAATTGTCAAATTAGCTGACTTGTTTTTTATCAATATTCTATTTACGCATAAAATATATCTTGGCGTGTTATTTAATAAATAAAATGTGTGTACGCATAAAAAAGATATAGAAATTATAAAACAAAATAAATATAGAAGTTATAATACAATATATCATGCAAAATTGTATGAAAATGTTAACACGTTTTTCTCGAAGCACTCCTGTGGAGACACTCTATCTATGTATTCTAAGGCTTAAGTTTATGCGTTCATACCGAGGTGTTGCAACGTCGCAATCGTCTGTCAGTTTTCTAAGACAATTGCAAAATTTTCATAATTTCCGATTATTTAAGTGCCTTGCTAGCAAACTAAAACGTAAATCATAGAATACCACTAAAAATTGTGCACCTATTCTATATATTTTGGCTTGGGAATTTTTTGTATACTTTTTTACTATTAGAATCCAAATTTAGTGAGTTCACTAGTAGAGCACTTTTTAAATAATCGAAAATACTGAAAATTGTTTGATTATAATCAATTAGATTTTGATTACAATTAATTAGAAACATTGCAATTATTTACTTGTATTTGAAATATGACAAACAACTGCAATGTTGCCACACTTCGGTAAGGTTTAGTATGAACGCTCTTAAGACTGCCCCAGATGGGATGAGAGACATTAGTCAACTGTTGTCTATGGTGAATTTAGCATTTGACTTGCATACATTTCGCCGCTAACACATGTTAAGTAATTTTTTTCATCTTTTGCAACTTTCCTCGACTTAGGTTTATTTAAATCGAGAAAAAAGTAAATTGTTCTTTTTTTTTAGATAAAGATGAGGTAGATTAAGAACTTAAAAGTGTATATATACAAACTATGTTATGAGAAAATGATGTTACAGGTACCATATTTTTTTTAATGTTTTGTTTTTATTACAATAAAAAGGGGAATAATAGAAAAAAAATCTAATATGTTAACATAATAATAAGAAAAAATAATCAGTATTCTATATAAAACGTTCTCGTGCCAATCAATAATGTTTAAAAATTTTGAGAAAAATGTGATAATGTATCATAAAATCAATTTCGGTTCTATTAATTTTTAAAATGAAACGTATCATCTAAATAAAACTTTTAAAACTGTACTTATATAAAAACGAGGCAAAGGAACTACTACCACACATCTATGCGTGGCCGACGTGATATCACAAACGGTAAACGGGCAACGGTGCCACACAAACGCAGTTTTGAGTATACTTTGTTAATACGATTTCCGATCGTCCGGCTCGTTTCCAGCACAACTCAACACGTCACAAACTTCGGTGTCCAAACTCTGGGCTGCGCTACGGCCGCCGGGGAGGTCGCACGAAACTAAAATCAGCAAAGTCCTCCTTCGCGGCGAACGGGAAGGTTCGCTTTAGGGGTGGATTTTCAAATTCGGCACAGAGAGCTCCCCGGGCCGTCCGCGGGCCGTCCCTGGGCGGCGATGGCCGCAGCGTACCTACGTGCCGTCGGCGGCGTGCAGCTTCTCGCTGCGCAGGAAGTCGATCTGCGTGTAGGTGCGCGGCGCGGCGGCCGCCGGCGCCACGCGCGGCTCCAGGTCCAGCGCCGCGTAGTTGAGCGGCGGCGCCGCGCCGGCCGCCGCGCCGGCCGCCGCCGCCGCCGCCGCCGCCTCCACCACGAACCGCGCCGGCGCCGCGCCGCTCGCGCCCGCCACCACCAGCGGCGCCGCGGGGCCCGCCTCCTCTGTACCGGCACAACACGCTCCAAATTAACATCTTATACCAGTAAATCAACCAATTCATAAACATAAAAAATTAAGTAGGTAAAAATCTTAAAATTCTAATACTTTTTAAAATATATTTGTAAATATAGTCGTTTGACATTTATTAGTCTGACATATGTCAGAATAACTCGTCATTCACTGTCATTTACAGGAAAGTATCAAGATTTACTGTTACAATAAATACTTTAAATTGCTTTTAATTCTTGAAATAATAGCGTAAAATGTTGTTCCTCTTTTCAGGTGAATTGTGTAATATCGATATATTAATAAATTAAGTAAGTAATAAAGTAAAATATAAAACACATTATATATTTAAAATATACAAAAGTTTCTAAATAGAATACAACCAATATTATTTACTGTTAATGTAGCTTTGTATAAGTAAATTTATCAAATATATAAATACACAAATATACAAATAAAAAATAAAATCTGTTTTTTTTTATAATATAAGAAGGGTATATATAATATAGTACATTACTGCAGCGGCCAGCAACTGAGGCATTGATGGATAAACGTGGAAATGTGGGCTGAGGTGTAGCCGAGGCACACACAAGGCTAAGGCTTGTATAATACTTTTCTCAAACAATGCGCGGAAATCAAAAACACAAATTTACTTTTTAAGTTCAATGACGAATAACGAACAATAATAATTTTTCACGCGCCATAATGATCCTTTGTTTTTTTTCAATAAACAGCTTTCTATTTGCAAGCCAGTTCGAAATTTAAATAAAACCTTTTATTAGTTACCTCCTTGGTAGTCATGTTCCGAAGTAAAAGGTCATTCCATTTTTAAATTACAGGACAGATATGAGTTTACATAGTAATTTATCTGGCCGCAAAACACGACAGATATGGATTTTCATACAACTGTTGCCGGCCGCTGCTCGACCAGTACCGCAAGTTCGATTTATCTCGAAGAAGGTTGTCAAAATAATGCTCACATTTCTAAGCATGTTTGAGAAAAATAAAATAACAATGTATCGGGCGGTGCGACTCACGGTGCGGCTGCAGCAGCTGGTGCGGACGCAGCGCGGCGGCGGGGTCGGGCGGCCGCGCCAGCCGCACGTACTGCGGCGACTGCGACACCGCGCTCGTGCTCGCGCTCGTGCTCGTGCTCGTGCTCGCGCCCGCGCTCGTGCCCGCGCCCGCCGGCGGGCTGCGGCGGCCGCACTCCTCGGATAGCTCGCGGACAGTCGACAGGTGCTGCTGCACCGACTCCTCTGTAAGTTTGCGTACGACCACAACCCATTATCAACTGTTGCCCTGAACGTAACACTCGACATGTCCACATTTCGTCGAGCATAGGAGAGGCTACCGCCCCTTGATTTCCTTGTTAGTGATTTTTTATCACCAAGAATCAGGGAACGTTTAAATTCATATTATCGTTTCGCCACCTTTCGATCTTGAAATTTATCTAAATAAGACGGAATAGTTCACCATTGAACCTCATTTTCTACAATCACTTTTATAAAACCATAGAATGAATATAAAAATACAGGGGGGAAAGGGATTGTTAGTAATGGAGACTGAGAATCCCATTGCTAGCAATATACCCAACCAGGTCGACCTCCTCGCAGTTCTCCCTGGAAACTATCATGGTTAATTCCCGATGAATTCATCATGATGGGCTAACTGGCCTGTATTCATTCTCACCTATCTCCCTTCACTGGTGCTCCGCCAGCGTATCCCGTTAGCGCGGGCGGGGTTACCATACCATTTTCACCCATCAAAAAAAAATATATAAAAATACAAAACCATACAAGTCTATTTGAATTAAGATAAGGTGAATTTAAATTCAATAGCCTATCATTATCCAACTCTCGACCATAAGTCTTCTACGAGAAACATCATAATCCTTTCAACCCGTTATAGAGCTCAATGCAAAATGTACTAACCTCGTGCATCTTCAAACATATCAGCTGGATCCAAATCAGGTATCGCAATCGGCAAGTCGGGGGAGAGCGGAAACAACATCTGCGAGCCGAGCGGCGTGCCGGGCTCGCGCTCGCGTTGTCTCTCTCGCTCGCGTTGTCTCTCTCGCTCCCGTTCTCGATCACGCTCTCGCCTCCGCCTGGCTTCCTCGGGCGGCGACACACTTAACGGAACTGAAGGTATTCGAGCCGCAATCGTTATCGGTCGCGTCGGCGCTCTAGTGTAGTTCATCTCGACGTAGCCATCCGGGGTCGCGGCGGGTGACATGGTCACGGTCGGGGTGAGGAGGGCGGCGGGCGTGAGAGGCGTGAGGGGCGTGGGGGGTGTGAGGGGCGAGAGGGGCAGAGTGGGCGGCGAGCGGGGCGCGTCCCCCGGCCGCATCTCCACGTATCCAGTGTTGCGCGGCGACATGTCCACGTACTCGTCCACGGTGGGGCGGTTGCGAAGTTCACTGAAACCGATCACCGAGGGCGGCGTGCGCGCGACCACAACCTGTATCAATAAAATTTTAAATCGATAATTTCTTTCAAGTAATAATTAACTTAGTTATGTTGTTTATATTTGGAATATTATTATGTATACAGAAATAGAGACTGTTGTTAAATAACATTCAATTATTTTTCTGTACTTTATTATGACGTAACCAATAAAAATACTTTGTGCATTATAGATGATCACAAGAAATTATTAATATTACTTATAATGACAGTTGATTAAATTCATATTATCAAGGTAATAAATATTATCGTTTGCATTATTATGTATGAAAGTGTAAAAGTAAACTTCTACATTTCTAAAGCCCTTTTAAAAAATTATCCGGCTCGAAGGACTTAAATAATTTAAAATTTTGTTCTATAAAAGAATGTACTAGAATTTTGACAAAAATAAATATGAAATCTGTTTAGAATCGAGTCCATACTTTTTTTTTACAACACAGGGGGCAAACGAGCATGCGGCTCACCTGATGGTAAGTGACTACCGCCGCCCATGGTCACCCACAACACCTACGGCATTGCAGGTGTGCTGCCGGCCTTTTAAAAAGGAATATGCTCTTTTCTTGAAGGTTGAACCTTCTTCGATGTATAACAGGATCGTATGATATATATACAATAGTGTATAATAAAATAGAAATGTTTCTTTTTGATAACATACGAGTGTGGAGCGTGGAGTGTGCAGTGTGCAGTGCGTGCGTACCTTGGCGGCGGGCGAGTTGGCGGAGAAGTCGAGCTCCATGAGGTCCTCGGCGGAGGCGCGCGGCAGCAGCGGCGCGGACGAGGGGTGCTGGCGGGGCGCGGGCGGCGGCGGCCGGCAGCGCGCGCCCACGCTGTACGCGCGGTGCCGGCCCTCGCTGCGTCCGCCCCCCGCACCGCCCGCACCGCCAGCACCACCCCCGCCACCCCCGCCACCAGCACCGCCGCCGCCCGCCGGCCGCGAGCCCACGCTGTATGCGCGCGGCGGCCGCTCCTCCGACACGATGTGCGACGTCGCCGGCTCCAGCTGGTACTCGCTGCACCGCAATATTCATGCATCCAGAGACGAGGGCAATTAAAAACAACGAAGTGGCAGATATTTTAACTATGATCATTCTATAGTACATAATATTAATCAAAGAAAACATTGAGTAAATTTGCCACCAACACCGTTTACCACAGTTTCGAAAAGTACATTAATTAATTTTGAAAACAACGCACCTAAGAGATTTTAAAGTGGACTCGAAAATAACACAGGGTCTGTCATCCCAATGTTGGTGAACAAATATGAGGGCTTAAATGAAGAATTTTTTTTATACCACTAAGGTGGCAAACAAGCATACAGCCCACCTGATGGTAAGTGGTTACCGGAGCCTATGAAGACCTGCAATACCAGAGGTATTACGCGCGCGTTGCCGACCCTGAAGAAACCTCTTTACCCCCCTTTTGAAGAACCCCATGCTGTAGTCTCTTGGGAATAACAATGAGCTCACTACCTATTTAGTGAGCAATCTTACATACTACCTTCAGTATATACGAAATGCTTAAACTTGGATACTAATTTAAAATAGCTTGCTATAAAAATTTATAACCACATAGTCATGAAATTTTGTAAAAGCAATGATGCGTTAAAACGTGTACAATAATTACTTCTGGAAGTTCAATAATATCATCATATTAGTCGTCAAATGGTCGAGGTATTGGCATCACGTCCCTCTTAAAACATCGCCAAAGCCTAACTGTGATTCCAACCTTGCCAAGCGTGATAACTACCATACCTTCCATACCTTCCTTATGGAAGAGGCCTATGTTCAATAATATATGACCATTCAAACCCCCAGTAAGAGGGGGGAAAGGGATTGCTAGTAATAGGGTCTAACTAACTCATTGCTAGCAATATACCCTATCAGATCGACCTCCATGCGATTCCTCCTGGAAATCATCGTGGTTAACTCTAGTGGAATTCATCACGATGGGCTAACTGACCTGCTTTCATCGTCACCTATCATCCCCCACTGGTGCCCCGCCAGCGTATACCAATTAACAGAGGCGAGGATACCATTACATTATCACCCAATAAAAAAACCCCAGTAAGAGGAACTATCAACAATGGGGCAAATTACGTCGTAAACAGATAGAACAATATAATGGGGCCATAACTCGTGGAAGTATATAAGTACACGTACCTGAACCTCGGGTCCGTGGACGGCGTACCGCTACACACGGACCCGCTGGAGGCTGAAATGAGTCCGGTGGTAGGCTCGTGCGGCGCCATGGGCAGGTAGCCGGACGCGCGCGCGTCGTCGTCCACGCCCAGCGACGACGTCCGCGAGTGCTGCACCGTGAACCCCGCGCCCACTAGCGTACTCCGACCCACCGTGCTACTGAATAATCAAATCAGATTTATAACTATAACGACGGAATTATCTGTCAATTTTCAACAACAATAGAAAAATTCTCAATGTTTCTGAACTATTCATTAAAAAGTACTGGCAGGGAAAGGGATTGTTAGTAATGCTGACTACCAGATCCATTGTTAGCAATATACCTTGCCAGGTCGAACTCCCCGTGATCTCCCCTGGCAACCATCGTGCTGAATTCCAGGTGTATTCGTCACGTTGGGCTAACTGACCTGGCTTTTCATTCTCACCTATCTTTCTTCACTGGTGCCCCGCCAGTGTATAGCTACTATTATTATTAAATAAAAAAAAATACACATAAATGTATCACTAAAAGTTTTGCATCTACTTCGTATTTTGCTTCGGAAGTTTTTAAATAATTTTTGGTCATTAAAATCCAAATTGCCACTAATAAGAATCATATTATACGATTAACGTTTCAGTTCGCTACGAGAGCACTTTTTAAATAATCAATCAAAAATATTGAAAATAACTCATTTTTTAATTGATTAATTCCACGGTTGCCACATTTGTGCATAACGCTCCTAAAAACATGTTAGCGTTTTTCTATCTTAATACATCTTCGGTCACAAACACATACGTATACGTTTTTTTTATTTTTTTTATTTTAATTCCTTAAAATGTATTTTAAGGAATAAAACAAGATAATTAATTCTGTATTATTAATTTTGTATTTTGAAGGTCGTTACAAGTGAAACAGAACTCCTATACAGTTACGTCTTTCCAAAAGATATTCAAGCATGATATTGTGGATTATCCGATGAAAAAATACGATCCCAACAATACCTGATAATGTCTTTGGATATGTCACAACAATCCGGCTCCTCGGGTATCCGCGGCGTCCGGTACCAGTCCACCAGGGCGTCGGTCTCGTCGCGCGACGCCTCCAACCCTGTGTACCAACACATACAGTAGTATCACAGTGTAAGAAAGAATCAAACAGTAGCCCAATCCCTTTGGCATGATCTAAACGAATACTTGATAATTTAGGACGCATACTCTGTCTGTCCGTGGGTGTCATAAGAGGCGACTAAGGGAGGATGAGGGATGGGCAACAGCGTACCTCTTAAAACATCTCTAAAAGACTAACTGCGGTTGCCAACCCGCCTAGCTAGCGTGGCAATTACTAGCAAAACTCCGCTTATGGGGAAAGTCTATGCCCAGCAGTGGACAGTTAACGGCAGAAATAATAATAATAATCTGTCTACGAGTGGATATATCCGTTGAATAACTTTTTTTTTTTTTATGCAACTAAGAATGGCAAACAAGCTGACGGCCCATCTAATGGATAATGGTAACCGTCGCCTATAGACATGAGCGGTACCATGGACATAACAGAGTATACTGTCTCGCCTATGATACCCCCCATGCGTTGCCATTCCTGAGGACTCAGGTGTTATTCCTCTGTACCCTGTAAATTCACGCCATATCCCACCCTTCAAACCGAAACACTCGTATACGAGACGTGGAGATGTCGAGTTACAGTACCTAATAATTTCACAACCACATCTTATCCCTAAAATCGGAACAAACGAGTATGCCAAGCAGGAGAATTAGTAGGAGTCTCATGCAGACGAATTTTTACGTCTCATTTTGATATGAACCTTATAATTGTATTACTTAAGTACATTTTGAGTATTTTTAAGCGATTTCACAAAGGTGCTATGTCAAAGGATTTGGCATTAAATATGAATGTTTGTAACTACCTACGCTAAGACGCATTACTTAAAAGAACATTATTGAGTTCTGAAGATATTTATTGTTGCCTAGAGAAATATTTTCATACATAATATGTCTGAATTCATAAGTACCAAAATTGAGGACTCGAGAAATTGATGATATTGTGAAGAAATACCTAAAAAAAATCTCTTTTATAGAAGAAGTTTATAGAGGCAGATGGTTCTATCAAAGGGATATAATAAATATTTTGTAATAACTGTTACTAAATAGAATACAAACTAATGTTTATGGTATATTGATTAGTACATAAAATAACTTATTTGAAATATATTGATAAGGTGATAAATCAATATTTATCAATGTTAGTAAATAAAAGATGGCAGATAAATAATACCGATAACATTTATTTACAAAAACAATTACAACAAATATTTATTTCAAGATGACGTATTGTGGAAATCAAAGTCTGATTTTGCACAATTGTACTCGAACGTCGATGTTTCTATACTTCTGGAAAATTCTGAACGCCACTCCATAGAGGAATTTGATGATGTAACTTTACAAATAGGTTTATTAGGTGTACCTACAATAGCACAGTCGGGCATTGCAGCATGATGAGACGCAATTGAAGTACGACTGATAACGTCATCATTATTAACACTTGAGGGTAGGCACTGAAATTCAGAATTCGTTCTTACGGATGCAGGTTCCGAAATGACGGTCAAGTTATTTGTAGTACACCCCTCCTTCGTCCGCGATATATCACAATTGCTTTGCTGTGTAATGACAGAGTTATCTTCTTGTATTCTAAATTTATTAGGTCTCACACTCTCCAACTGCTGTTCTAACTGTGGCTGATAGTGCCTAGCATGGTTCATTACGTTTAATATCTCTATCTTCGCGTAATGTTTCTGTTCTTCGTTTAACTTTTTGAACATTGGTACAAGCATCATACTGAAGTGTTTGTCTTCGTCCATTTCATCTCTTTCAGTCTGCGTTAATGAATCTTTATGCGTTTCATTGGAAACACCTTCAAGACTTTGTTGCTTATCTGCACTTGTTATATTACTCTGTATTTTTGTTATGTCTTCCTGGTATTTGATAATATGTTCTGAATTACGATTTGTAAAATTAGCGCTCAAATTTTCATACACATTAATCTGTGGTAATTGATAACTGAACTCTTTTGGGACATTACTGGCCATAGACAAGACATGTGCATTCAAATTTCTGTGCCTCATTTCATTCCATGTACAATAAATATTGGCTCGCTCCTCGCGTCGCATAGAAGCTAGCAGATGTAGCAAAGAATCAGAGGACATGTACAATCTGTTCCTTTTATTAGTCGCTTTGCAAAAACATTCCTTGATAGACCTCCAACGTCTTTGGAAATGGCTTCCTGCAAATAACAATGACAAAAGTATTTATTTGCAAAATAATAATGTTAAACTACAATATACATAAAGCTTCTACGAATAACAGCTGTGGCTGGATTCCCATAATGACACCCGCTAAGTTATTGTAGCGACACAGTCATTAGCATCACCCATATGTTTGAATTATGCTGAATCTAAAGTCGTTTCATCGTAATTTTAACGAATCGTTGTCATAAACTATATAAATAAAAAACAATTGCCGAACATATACTACCGCTCAAAAGTATTTAGCCACCTTGTAAAATACATTTTATAAAAATCTGATTGAGTGAAACTACTTCATAGTTATTTTAATAAATTTATTAGCCATTTTTAGACATAAAAAGAAGATAATTTTTAAATTGTGGACTCTTCGGCAAACTAGCTACTACTTTTTCCAATGTTGTTTTGGTTATCTTCTGCCATTCGTCTTACAGTTCTTTTTTCACAAGTCTTCCTGAGATGTGAGTCAGTTTTCGCATCTGTCTATCCAGCTGATCTGAGCTGACAATAGTTCTATGAGGTTTAAATCAGGAACTGTGAAGACCATATTATGAGTTACAACACCTGTTGTTGATCTTTTCCTTTTAAAAATTCCTTGCAGCTTTGACTTGGGTTTCGGATCATTATTTTGTTGAAATATACATCCCGGACCAATTAAATGGATTCCATAAGGCACTGCACTATCTTCCAATATCTTTTAACCTTTTTTTAAGATTCCTTGTATTCGCACAACATCTCCGACGGCGGAGCCACCAAAACAGCCCCAAACCATCACAGACCCTCCGCCGTGTTTAACTGAAACCTCAGTGCAAGCGTCATTCACTCTTTCGCTTGACTGCAGCCTTACGAATACTCTTCGTTTGGTTACAAAAATTTAAAATTTTGATTCGTCCGTTCAGAGGACCTTTTCCAATCTGCTATTGTTCAATTCTTGTATTCTCTTGCCCAATTAAGTCTCCTCTTTTTGTTAATAGGTTTAAGAAGTGATTTTGAGACCGCTATGCATCCCTTGAGTCTTGCGTCACAAAGTCTTCTTTTAACTGTGGATACACTGATTGGTTTATCACGATCTACGTTAAACTGTGCTGCTATTTTCGATGCAGTTAATCGTTTATTTCGTTTGCTATTAATAACTATACTCCAATCTTCACTCGAAGTTGTAGCTCTCGGTCTGACTAAACGACGTTTGTTGCAAATTGTTCCTTCCACCGCAAACTTTCTAACGATATAGTCAACAGTTTGTCTTGGTATCTTCTGTAGTCTTGAAATCTAACGATTACTTTTACCGAATTTATGAAGGCCGATTATTATGGTCCTATTCTCTTGGGAATATTCCTTAGTTTTACCAATTTCCTTAAAAAAAAAATGAAACTCAGAAGTGAAAAACAAAAAAATATTGGTAGACTTTAAATACTGTGCTATGGAGAGCGTATTTTCTGGTCAAATGATATCAGATAACTCACATAAAAATATTTATTGTAGTTATTCTATATTTTACTTGTATTTCTCAATAATGAAATCAAAACAAAATTGCAACTTGAAAGATTAACTTTGAAGAAATTTCGAAATTAACACTATTATGGTTTTATGACCAGGAGTGGGCGAATAACAATAAGCTGTTTACGGTTGTACTGTAGATAAGTATTTTACGGTGTTATACAAACAATGAAACCTAATAAATGATCTCTTTAAAATGTATTGTTTGTAACTTACAAAATGTTGATGTAATTTTGTGAAAATGATATTAATCAGGCATTTAATAATTTTCATGATACATTCAAGTTACTATATGAATCAAATTTTCCTAAAAAAATTATAAAAATAACAAGTAGTAATAGAACACCACGGTGGATTACTAAGGGTCTCAGAAAGAGTTGCAAAACAAAAAGAACATTGCGATATGAATACTATAGAAACAGCAATCAAGAGAACCAAATTAAATATATGTCTTATGTAAAAAAAACTTAAAAAATGCATAGCTGTATCCAAAAAAATTACAAATAATAAATACATAAAACAATCTAGGAATAAATGTCTAACGGCTTGGAAAATCATACAGAATAAAATTGACTCGGTTATTAATAATAATTATATAAACGAAATAAAGTTTGACGAAAAAATTATCACTGACTCGAAAGAAATTGCTAATATATTCAATGATTATTATACTGATTTGACATATAAAAACCAAAACAATGGGAATGATAAGACTGACCAAAATTTTATTAAAATGCAGAACACAACACTTAGCAACACTCTATTTTTAAAACCATACGTTGTGTTTGAAATTTATAACATTATAAAATCATTAAATAACACGGGTTCGGAGGGATATGACGAGATATGTACGAAAGTGATAAAAGATTGTGCTGAAGAAATATCACCTATATTGACGTATTTAATAAATCTTTCATTTGAACAAGGACAGTTCCCAACTCGATTAAAGTATTCTGTTGTAAAACCTATCTACAAAAAGGATGATCCACTGCTTATACATAATTATCGTCCTATTACTCTTATTACTATCTTAGCAAAAATATTTGAAAAAGCAATGCATAACAGACTCACAGTATTTTTCGAAAAATTCAAAGTAATAATAAATGCACAACATGGTTTTCAAAAAAATAAATCGACAGAATTGGCTATTTATAACTTGACAAGGAATATAATTGACAACATAGATAGTAAAAATAAAACTGTAATACTTTTCTTTGACATGAAAAAAGCATTTGACTGTGTATCTCATAAAGTACTTTTAAGCAAACTGTACTCCTATGGTATTCGGGGGCCAGCTTATAGTTGGTTAGAGAGTTATCTGGCGAATAGATATCAACATGTGGAAATTATTCGTCTGGATAAAAAATCAGTATTAACATCATATAAATCAAGTAGTAAGCTCAATGGCTACGGTGTACCTCAAGGAAGTATTTTGGGGCCTTTATTATTTCTTACTTATATAAATGATTTACCTAAGGTTTTGTAAACATGAATGTGTATTATTCGCTGATGACATTTCTGTTACTATTACATGTGACTCAGAGAACTTGGGAAGTTTTGAAGATGAGATTAACCTAACAGTTAATTCCATCATACAATGGCTTAAAGAAAATAATCTTACTGTGAATCTTGATAAAACCGGATATATTCAATTTAGAAACAAAGGTGAAACTGAACTTGGATTAAATATAAAATATAACAGCGAAAGCATCAAGTCACTTCATGAAACCTCATTTCTTGGAGTCACAATGGACTATCATTGCAACTGGAAAGCCCAAATAGATAAGGTCTGTAACAAAATAAATAAATTTGTATATGTCCTTAGAAGGTTAAGTAAAACTACTGATGAGAAAACAACCCTGATGGCATATCACGGATATGTAGCCTCACAATTGCGATATGGCTTAATAGTATGGGGTAATTCCACAGACATTAATAAGGCTTTCTTGGTACAGAAGAAATGTATCCGTGCTCTTTGCGGCCTTCCACCATGGAAGTCTTGCCGACCACTATTTAAAAAATATAAAATACTTCCACTAGCTTGCATGTATATTTATGAAGCAGCTGTATTTGTTAAGAAAAATATAAACAGCTTTATTATTGCCAAAGAACATTACCCGCGAAATAGAAGAAATCCAAATAGACTAGTATTAAACAGAATTCCTAAGACTACGATTTATCAAAAAAATTGTTATAATATGTGTATAAGAATTTTTAATAATATACCCGAAGATATTATAAATATAAAAACACTGACAAAATTTAAGAACACACTGTACAAATGGCTTTTGGACAAATGTTATTACTCAATTAAGGACTTGTTGGACTAAAGAATAATTCTACTTTATAAGCACATAAATAATATTTTGTTAATAGTATTAGTAGTAGTAGTATTTAGTAGAAAAGAAGTTACCATAAATATTAAAATTTTGCATGCCATTGTTTTGGCAAAACACGCCTGTTCCTAACATATTATTGCTAACATCTGTATACCGTGTTTTTCAGCAAATAAATTATATTATTATTATTATTATTAATGCAGGTAACCAATTAATTTTGAGCGGTAGTTTAAGTGCATCGCTTTAGAACGGCTGCACTGTTTGGCTAATTCTTTTTTTCTTGTTTAAAATGGTAAGGACAAAGTTTGTATAAGTAAGTGATTAACGCAAATACTAGAATGAAAAATAAATTGACGTATAAATTATGGATGAATTTGACATTGTTAATTGTGAAATATATTTATTATTATTACAATATTTCTAATATTAAATTTTGAATTTAAATTATTTTTTTAATCATAAATAATTTCAGACACAATGCACATTGTTTTTTTTTTTTTAATAAATGACTAATGAAAGAAACTGTTTGAAGACGTAGTATGATAAAGCTAATTTATAAATATGTGAACACTTTGAATAGGATTTCGATCTGACGATTCTTCAACTGCAATATTTGATCGGTTTTTATTATTTTTATGGGAATCTAGCCACAAGACTATTAATTATTATTCTATAATTCATGCTACGAGAACTAAAATCCCATGCTATCGTATCTCAGAGATAATCCGTGTTATTTTACCCTTACGAAATATATGCATTAAGCCAAATATCTGTTTTCGCTATTAAGCACTTAACTCATAATACGATGTCTACATATTCTATTTACTACATAATATATATATAATAAAACTCATTTTTTACTACCGATGTTCGATAGCTTGTTAAGAGTACGCTAAAGTCAGTTCAGTGGCTTTTATAACAAGCATACGTCTCGTCTGATGGTGAGCGATTATTGTAATCTACGAAAACAGAAAGCTGATATTTACAGGTGTACATAGCCTACGTAACCGCTCACCATCAGACCGGGCGTATGCTTGTATCCATCCTTATAATATACAAACATATTATTGCGATATTTTTTCTACATACACCTTAAAAATTCTCTACAAACACTTATTACCAAATTGATTATACATTGAGATACTTCTGAAAAGATTTTGTTTAAATACGTAGAATAAAATAAATAAATTTATATATACAAGAAACAAACTTACCATCCCATCACATACACCGGCTGCGTCTACGCTTCTCTTAACTTGTAATACATTTTAAATTTTTATTTAAAAAAAAAATGATAATTTTCTTTCACACCTTCATTAAAAAATGAGCCTCGACCTTAGAAGCAGTTGTTCTCATATGTTTATGTACAACCGATATTGCAAAATCATCGTATTTAAACCATTTAAGCTCTGTTACCATACCGGACGGCTGCTCCACGTGCCCTCCGAAGCACGAAGCAAACAAAAAACGTTTTAAGTGATCCAAACAGGAATTACGATAATTCAGAATTTAGACTAATCTTTAATCCTATACTAATATAATTAAATTAAAAAAGGAAAGATCTTATATATCCTTGCATGCTATCCTGCATCCTCTCCCATGCATGCACACCGGGTCTCATAATGTAACACATTCGTTCAATACTTAAATAAACAAAACTAATAGTGATATTTTTTTGTTGAAACCTTAGTTTATATAGACTTTGTAATACTGGAAACATGACGTGTTTAGTTGTAATTAAAAAAAAAAAGAATTGTTAGCCAAATGTCAGTTTAGATGACTAAATATTAACAGGTTTTTGACACTCGATTGTCTATCTACATAACCTACTGTTTACAAGAGAATTATGAACCATTTTATTTCAATAAAAAACCCAATCAATCAATAGAACTTTGTAGTATGGAAATAGAAGGGAATATGATATATTTTTAAACTAACGTAACTTTAGTAAACTTGAGCATTCAAGTATAAAAAGTATAAGTTAGTTAGTAGTATATATTTTTTTATCGTTAGGGAAGCGAACGAGCAGACGGCCCACCTGATGGAAAGCGGCTACCGTCGCTCATGAACACCTGCAATACGAGAGGAGTTGCTTGTGCGTTGCTGGCCTTTTAAATGTTTGTAGGCACATCTTTTGAAATCCCCATATTATATTGTAAAGGGAAAATTGAAAATATCCAGACATTTCCGCACTTAGCCTCCTGATTGGACCATTGACCCTGGTCTTAGAGGAATAAAAGATTTTCTTAAGAGACTTAATATCTTATTAATATTATCAACATGTATAAAGATAGATTTTTGTTACTCTTTCACGCAAAACTATTAAACGGATTTAAATGAAATTTTGTACACGGCTAGGTTACATCCTAACATATAAGATACTTTATGTACTGATCAACGCGTGTAAAGTTGTAGGATATAGCTAGTATGTAGTAAACAACAATATAATTACCTTCAACGAGATCATGCCTGGGCGGCGGCCGCTCAGTCTCGAACGAGTGGCACGCGCGCGACGGCATACTGTCGCAGCGGTTCCGTGGCGTGCCGGCGTCTGCGGACAAAGCAAACGCTACAAACGGTCTACACGCACGCCCTCACACAACACGCTCGCACAACATCCGAATGTACTGAACGCGGCGCGGGTGACAAGCTTATAAGAAAAAAAACTGATTATTCGTTATGAGAAATATATAAAATTATTTATCGACGAAGTGAAATCATTAATATAGATCCTACTAGATGGACAGTAGGTCCTTGACTGCGAAAAAACCTTACTAGCATTGCAATATTATTTGTTTTTTTAATATTTTACAAATAAATTATATTATATATATAATTTTTCTCGTAAAAGTTCGTTATTTTTTTATCACATTTGACAAGTATAGTTTGATAAGTACAGTCACGTACAAAAATGTTTGAATATTAAAAAATATATAATCTGACATTTAAGTATAATAATAACTTGATCACAAATACAAATTTGATAGAGACATTTGTAAATTCTTTTCAAAAGGGTTATCAAAAATATTTTTAAATTTCTGTATCTACATTTAAACTTATCGAATTATTAGTACATTTTGATGTTGAATGCTACGTTTTGTGAGACAGTTGTACATACATCACACCACAAAAATAAAACGCATATAAAAAAAGTAGGAAATAATAGCTTTTCGATAAATACAACCATTGTGGTGATATATATGCTTTACAATTATAAATATTGCAATTCAGCGAGGATTGCAAAATTAAAATAACATTTAGTAAGCTCGTAAAGGATTAAAAAGCACTTAATGTAAAAGGAAAGCGAAGCATATGTTTGGAAAAAGTATTATTTTTATTGTCTCAAAGAAATATTGCAATTAAAATTGTACGGCTCCTTGTAATTTAAACAAAAATGTTTGGTTACTTATACATAAATTTACACATACATCTACACACGTGACAACATAAAAGCAAACAATATTCAACAAGGTGCTTGCAACAAACTTTCAAAGCGAACATACGCATAAAAATCATAACGTAACATAAATACATCACATAGGGCTGTCGGATTTCATAATGCTTTTTTTTTAACTTGCAATACCGCTGTAAACATAAAAAATATAAGTACGTATAACGTGTAGCAAAAAAAAAAAAAAATATAACACTGGTCAATAATTAACAAAAAAATAATTTTAAAGTAACTATATCGATAACACGAAATTAGAGCAAAATTGTAGCGATTACGAACAATTTTATGCCCGATAATATAATGAGAAAAAACACTAGTATCCAAGCAAAAAAAAAAGTATATAAAATCCATAGACCCCCAAACAAAATGTTAGTAATGTGCGATGTGGGGGCGTTAACAAGCGCGCGACGTATACGTACTCTTCGGATGTCCCGGGGACCTCTTGGACATCCTGGTGCCAGTGCTGGCCCGCCGTGCCCACTGCGACTTCATGGGGAACACATCCGTCCCATTGACCGCTTTGCACGACGAGTGGGTGGCGTTCTTCTCTATACCAGTCGTTGTGACCCTGTCTACTTCGTCCCCGGTCAACGGAGCGGACCTGGTCCTCTCATGGACGATCTTGAGGGGCTCTTGGAATAGCGTACAGCCGGTCGGTAACGACACGGTACGGTGATGCTTTATGACCCGAGCGTTTTCTGGCTTATCGCTAATTAGTGAGTTATTCGGTGGTTGATTTTCGGCTGCGAAACATAATGAGAAGCGACACATAAAACATATGGCACCAAGCGTTACCCAGTGCGATGGGATGTCTGGTTAAACGGTGGGAAGCGGGGATATCTTTTGAATGATATATTCACCCAATATGGACTGACGATATAATGATTATTGATTAATTACGATAAACATAAAAAATATCACAACTTAATTACAATCATGTTTATTTGTAATAAAAAAAAAAACGCAGCAAAGATGACTGGCTTTAAAATTAATTGGATAAAATCCAAAGGGCAAAAATAATAACCAAAACACAAACTGTCAAAGTTGACTGGCTGGTTGATAGTTTCATCTTTGCTATATTTTTTAACCAAAGTATTATTAAAGTTGGATTAATGTGAATGTATGATAAAGCCACACTAGTAACTAGTAAATGGCAATACTGGCCACTATTGATACCAAATCACTGTAGCTAGTTCGATCTTAAAAGGTTGCCATATATTTAAAAGATTAAGTTTACGGCCTACCCATATTTATACATTAGGACAAAACTGACAACATAGACGAGATAGGCGACATATAAAAAGGGAATTTCGTCATAAAAATTAGGGTAGTGTTGTAAGACCGCGATGCCGTGCGGTATCGTGCGGTCAAGTAAACGATAAAAGTTACTTTGTATTTTCTACTGGGCTCGGGAATAGTTCGCTTAACGCCGCTTTAATATGAGACAATTTCTAATTTTCCTTTCTAAATTTGTTCTTATCAAAAGTTATGCTAATTTTATAAATGCGTCAAATGTGATCTGTGTTGCTAATAAAATGATAATAAAAAAAAAAAACATTCTGAACTACAAAATAAAATACACCAAATACACCAGTAAGCAACCATAATTTCGCACTAACTACAGATTCCAGAAACCGCAATCCATGCGTAACAAATTCACCCCAACAAAACCATAATGCTCACAAATTAACAATACTAAGTTTTTAACAACTAGCCCCCTTATTCATAAAAAAGTGTAAGGTTTAATAAACCTATTTTAGCTATTAAAGTGTTTTATCTATTTCTTATAAACGATTTTCTAAATTCAAATGAAGACGAAAATCACTGTAATAGATAAAATAGTTTTAGATTTTAGTTTTTATGAATAAGGGAATAAGGGCGAGTATTCACCTACAACATTCACATGTAATATGTCAGAAATGAATATTACATGTATAGTGTGAAACAACAACATTATAGTGTGGGAATCTAAGAACAAGGTATTACATAGAAGAAGTGATAAAACTGTTAATTCATAGCAGGCCAGTGTATAGAAAATGTTATACAGCCGTATAACCCTACCAAATTCAGATACAACCTGCTCGCATACTTTCTACATAAACTGTGTCGAATATATAATCTAGTAATGTAAGATTTGTCATTGACAAATAATTGACATATCAAACATTTTCTATACACTAGCCTGCTATGAATTGAGAAAAATGACAAATGATGGTGTATCTTTCGTCCTCTTTTTACTAATTATATTTGCATAATAAGAAAGAAGGCAACCATATGATTTACAGTTTTTATTTTATCATTCCTTTTATGTAACTGCTTGTTCTTAGATGGGAAATAATACATTACATTAACATGCTCACTGTCAATACTCACCCTAAACTACATGCTTTCATAATACATGGCGAACGGAAGTGTTATAAATATTTTTAGAACAAAATAACACAATATCAATAGGAGCGCCCAGTAACTACGTGAGAGCACGTAGACGACACTTATTTGATGTTCCAATAAGAAGAACAGAGTTGGCTAAGCAAGCTCCCCTATCTCTTGCATTGAAACTACTCAATGATATTTTGAGCCAGTATCCGCAATTGGATGTATTTGCCTTCAACTTGCTGGAGTTTCGTCGAGTGACCACAGAGTATTTGTGTTCACACGTTTATTGTTTGAGTTAAATCTGTTTATATTATTTTTGTTATTTTTATGTAATATTCCTTTTTATATGTTATTGTACTCGTGCTTTCCTGGGTGAGCGTATTGGAAGACTGTAAGGCTCACCCAGTGGATGTAATAAATAAATAAATAATTTTTGAATAATTTTACATAATTTAAAAATATTAGGCACTAATTACAGTAACTTACGCCCATATTGTACACGTTATTATTGGCGGTTCCTTAAACTCACATAGGTAATATACCTACCTACCCTTGCAATTTAAGGCAAATAGAGTAAGTTAGTTATAACCATAGTTACTGGTTTTTTTTTCACTATCGCATGGAGCCTCTATAATTTGTGGAAAGTTATCATTCCTCGGAAAGTTTATGTTCTTTGTGTACAAATATAAGGCTGAAATTACTGGTAATGACACGTGTCATAAAGATCAGTTTACCAATTGCATACCGCCACCTTCTAACAAATTTCCTTATCAAACAACACCTATCCAGTCTATCGTGCAACTTTGGGTACAGCTGTTTTAAGCATCTAATTATAAGCTAAGCCATTCACCATGTACTATGCCTTAAATTACAATAAAAAAAAAATGTATTACATTTTTTAAAATGCTTGGATTGCACTTGTGTCAATGATTGTACCTATAAAGTCTCGTGCACTGATACAAGTCAACGAACAATTGGAGATTTCTAAAAATTATCTCATTTAATAAAAAAAAAGCTAATACGAATAAATGTAATTTTATTTACTTCATATCATTGCACGTGACTGTACTCTGACGCTTTTTAACATTACGCAAAGGGTAACAAACACAAAATTATCTATAATCCACATTTACATGGTATTTTATACAGATACAACAATAAAAACAACATATAAAGCATGGCTCTGCAACGATTAAAGGCTTGTCTAAGTAACGTAACATTTTAAGGTACAGTTAAAATTATTTAAATATTTCACTGTTTTAAATTATGACACCGACTGTACTATTTGTATGTTACCTCCGTAGTACCGCGTAATATTAAGCTGGCGCCTGACTACCATTTTACTGTAGTGTAACATTCGCAACGAACTTATAAATTAAATCATTTGCTTAACAAAGTTTCCGTTTTCAACTGAGCTCGGACTCGCGTAACATGCTACATTTCTATTTTAATTTAATAACTACCGGTTTAACTTACGTGTAATTAGATCGAAAAAGCTAGACTAGTTTCGCAGTCAAATCGTGATTCTTAGTCCTGAGCGGTTATGACGCGAGTAAGAGCGTGTCTGGGCGATCGGTCCGCTAAGCGCGAGCTGTAGGCACTTACAGTATCGTCACAGATAAGATGGCGTTCGGAACTCTTCGGGCATGGCTAGTATCCGTAATCTTCTTTGTCTGCCATGTTATTGCCAATAGTTGTGTTATTAAGCCGTCGTGTACATACAGCGCTCAAAGTGTCGCCATTCACTCGTGCTCGCGTCTCAGTCACTCATGACTAAGTTTAACTCCGACCAGGATTAATTCCGAAACTAGTCGATCCTTTTCGATCTAATTACACGCAAGTTAAATCGGTAGTTATTACATTAAAACATAATGTGTGCTTACGAAACTTTTAACAATGTTACATCACGGCGACAGCTTTAAATTTATGCGAAGTAAAACTTATTGAGACAATAGGACGGAAGATTACACGTACATAATATTGTACCACAGCATAATTAAATTTTTCCCTCACTTTATGTATAATATATATATATATATATATATATATATATATATATATATATATTATACCTGTGTTTAGAAAATAACAGGACAAGATCAGAAAGTATCAAAAGCTATCTAAAAAATATCAAAAGCTCGGTATGACGAAACATCCTTAAACGAATCAATGCATTACCATAGGCGTATAGGCGAAGAGAAGGGTGGAGGGGGGATTCGTCGCGATAGGCTAACTAACCTGCCACCCTAGACAAGAGGTATGCGAATCCATGGATATATCGACGAATTTTTCGAAAGTTCAGGTGTATTCATCACAATCAGCTAACTGACCTACCATTTCGGGGGAGAAGGGATTATTAGTAATTGGGCGGTTAGTCCCCATTTCTATCAATATACCTTATCAAGTCGACCTCCACGCGGTTACCCCTGGAAACTATCGTGATTAATTTATCGTTGAATTCATCACGATGGACTAACTGTCCTGTCTATTCATCCTCATCTATCATTGGTACCCCGCCAGTGTATACCGATAGCGCAGACGGGGTTACTATACCATTTTCAATTATTAAAAAAAGATCTACCTTTCATCACCTATCATCCCTCACTGGTGCCCCGCCACGTATACCGTTAGCGCAGGCGGGGTTACTATTCCAGTATCATCCATTAAAAATAAATATATCTATAAAATTTGAATTAATTCATTTGTTAAAATAAGGTACAGGTAATCAGGTTACAGATGTTACATCAAAAGAACATTATAGCCTATATCTTATTATGCCATATTTTAGGCAAACATCGAAACTTATTACATAGAGAGGAAAATAAAAAAAAAAAAAACATCAACGGAATCTTACATATACACTTGCAATATTATATGATTACATTTTATGTACTTTTACATTTTTCAACGTCGACTTTTTTTCCTGAATATGTTCGCTGTTGGCTGTGCGTGGGCTTTACAGCTTCACCGAACGCGTATGCAGGGGCGAGTGCGGATGGCACTCCAAGCCCGCGAGAGGGGAGCAACAGAGGTGTCGACTCTTACTTATGGACTGCGGCGTGCGTTTAAGGGCGCCAGTGGCTCGGGCCTCGGCTTAGGCCACCGCACTTTGACCCCCGTCAAGGGACGGCGAAGGGACGGTATGTCGTAATGGGTGGGAACTCGGAGTCGTTGGAATGCGCTCGGGCGCAAACCTGGGAGTCTACCATGAAATGAAATTCCGAATTTTCGGGCTCAATCTCGTGTTTTTGTTCGTACCGAAATCGACCCTGTAAATGGAGCTTAACATTTCGTTTATCATAAATCCTACCATAAAAGTTCAAAGGAACGATATTTTAGCATTTTAAATATTTTTAAACGGTACGTATGATGTAATTTTAGCATCAAATTTTTGTTTCGTCCGGATACGAAATTTCTGTAAACATTTCATGGTAGACCCTCTGATCGCGCGCGGTTCAACGTCAACTGTAACCAAATATTTGAAGCAATGCATTAATTCGATTAAGTGCTTACCAACCACATAAATTCCATGAAATTAATTCAATTGTAAATAAACAATATCAGGTGGAGATATAAACGAAGTTGTGGGATGCAAAAGCTAAACCCTGATTACTAGCTCTGCTTATACCCAACTATATTGTAATAATGGTGATACCTAAGCGTTTGGAAATGGTCGTCATGTAATAAACATTATGCCGTTTAATTAGAAGCCTTAAGCTGGTTAATTGAGGGTCGATAATACTGTATAAAGGAAAATATAAACGAATTGAAAACTTCCTTCTTTTTGAAGTCGGTTTAAGCTAATCCCATGTGATTTCAAAATATTTACTGTTTATATTTGCTAAAAAAATAATATTCATTGAAGAAATATACCTGTCAATTACTGTATTTAAAACAAACAGCTAGCTAAAGCTTAGCTACAAAGAAAATCTTAAAATTCCTATCACTGATAGGAAATACTCGTAGCAGCGAACTTTAAAAAAGGGCGAGCACGAAAGATCATGGAAAGTGTCACAGGTTTTTCTGCCTGCAAAAGACCATCTTTCAATAACAATATTAATACTATATTTAGTTTTCTTTTTATTTTAAAAAATTACATTAATAAATTCAAGCAAATATAATCCTTCCCACTTTGAGTTTGCTGGTTGAGAACTCTTTTAGACTTAAGCTCGCCTTTGTACATTAGCTTACCTCTGTCATATATTTTGTGTATTATTAGTGCGTACAATAAAGTATATAATAAGTAAATAATATATTTATTATTATTAGTCAGTTTTAATTATGTACTGGCAGGATTACGAATTCGTAGACAACTGTAATTTTGTAATTCGAATTCATTTCTGATGACTTCAATAGAATAAATGAATGAATGAATAAAAATTTATTTCAATAAAACCATAACACTTACATATACTTAGATCCTAAGTAATAACAAATTAAAAAAAAAAAAATATATATATATATATATATATATATATATATATATATATATATATATATATATGTATATATATATATATATATATATAGAAAAAAAGTTTACATTTATATATTCTTTATATGTAGTAGAAATTAGCCAGTGTTATGGTAAAGAAAAAGGATGCTAATTCAGCTAAAGGTTGCTGCAAAAGCGGAAACGCTGATTTTCAATTAAATTAAAATGACTGGAACATGTTTATATAGCAAGTTTTATCGACCCGTTAGATGTGACATAGACTGTTAGCTTAGCTCAACGTCGAGTGGACAAGCATTCGATACCACGAGAATAAGCGTTCCAAGCCTCTCGTACTGACGACTATTATAAACAGTGACTGTGGAATCACATCGAAACCAACACAATAAAGGAAGTATTACTAAATATTTCATTTTAAATCGAATAAATACGAGGATATATTTTGATGTTAATCTTACACATTGACTTGTAGATCATCTTTTATGTCATAATATTTATATATACAAAAGGTGGTTACGAAATTATTTAGCCTCTTTCTAAGGAAGCATTTTAAAAGGATACCAGACTATTTTTTTTTTCCAAATAAACATACAGAGAAAAACGACAAAAAAATTTAATTGTACAATTTGATAGCAGTTATATTGCTCTTATATTAAAGTCAAATTCGAATTAACATATGCAGAAAAAAGAAAAAAAAAACTGAAGTATATAACTCGATAGCTGTTTAGGCCTTTATTTATAAAATATTTAATGATAAAACAGTGGACTGTAAAACTGTTATAATTCACGTTATAATTAAATGAATTTGACTAAAACAGTGTAAAATAAAAATACACGTAAAATGGCGTCGGTGGCGTGACGCGAAGTGGCGAACAGATCCGACCTGAGCCGAGACCGCCCGACGGCTCTCAGTGTTGCCGTTCTATTAAGTTTCAACAATAGTAGTTATTCTTTAAAGTCAAATTTAAATTTCACTATTGGATTGGCGAGTAAATTTACATTTGGTATTCTGTAAACAAGATCGATGTTAGGGCCATTTATGAAGTGAAACTTTGGTGATAATTATAAGTGTCCCACAAAAATGCAGACTTAAATTGTGACAAAACCAGTCATTTAGATCTAAAAATTAAACCGATTTTAATAAAATTATGGGACCAACCTGTAAGTATATACTTTCAAATAAAATAAAATTCAAATTGGTTTACAACTGGCGGAGTTATGAGATAACTCCTAACATAAAAAAAACCGAATGGAGAACCACTTTCATTTTAAAGTCGCTTGAAAATTAAAGAAGTTGCGAAATGAAATACGAAATTTGACAGAGTAAAATAACTAAACGCGTTGTGTTAGTAAAGGCTCTTAGTTTGTCGTTTTTAGGTCCATGTTTCTATAATAACAATAATAATCTTTTTTTCTATCACAATAGAACATACATAGATTGCCATATGGAAAAAATGTTCAATTTTAGTAGTAAAATACTCCCATAAAAGGGCGCTAACAATTTCGATAACACCTTGTATATTTAAGAGTGGCACGCGACAGATGTACTGTGATTCCACCGCCACGAGTACGCGGGTGGTGACATCGTACCGTTCTTGGGCGTCAGCGGCGCTATAGCGGCCGCCGAGTCGTCAACGCTGTACGTGGCCGTTGAGCACACGCACTGTCTAATACACGAGCCAACGCACAGGCCCTTCTCTGCAATAGATTTTGCCAATTACGCCGCGTCCAACAATCGCCGCCCTTACTTATAAGGGCACCCGCACACGGAGGACTCCCTTTTTTTATACACACTTCGAAAAACTGAACATTTAATTAAATCACAATTTTTATACGCAGTAACGTGAACAAAACTGGTAATTCTGCCCCCCGTCTGCGTACGCCCTGAATGCAAATCAAATGCGTATTAACTAAACACTAGCAAAAATCATTATTTATAAACGCTAAATATAACTCACAATCAGCCGATAATAATCAATGTAATAAATTAATACTAAATACTAATATATGTATGTATATATAAACGATACTGACAGACAGATCACAACACAGCTTAAACTGCCGAGTTTAGAAACGAAAAATATCCCGCGGGAACAGAATATATTTAACACGAGCAAAGCAACGGGAAGTAGCTGGCCATATTGAAAACATATTTTTAAACTCATTCCAGATATCAAAAGAAAAAAACAATTACTAATAAAAAAATAAATAAAGAGGGCGCTCTTATATCCTATAACTTAAAATGCTTATTTCTTTTTTAAATAAAAAATATTCATATATGTTATAATTACTCCTCTCCATCCAAAGGTTGCCTGCAAGAGATCGCTCTTAGCGATAAGGTCGCCCATTGTTTTCTCATTGTGATTATTTCTTGTAATTGTTTATATTTATAATAAGTTTACTATTGTAATCTTTTGGAGGAAACAATAAAGAGTATCAATCAATGACCATAGATCTATCAATGTATGGTTTAAAAAAACTAGAGTTGGCGATAAAACGTGGGCTGTCTGATTTGGTAAATGAATTTTATTCAACGTTTATAAGTAAGATTTTTTTTTTAATTTTGTTATTAATTATAAGTTATTAATAAAAGTAACGCATTTGTTGAACGCAAGGCTGTATAAATGTTATTTTATTAATTTAGAATTTTGCTAACGAACTAATGAGGAATAACAATAAATAAATACACGAGACATACATTAAAACATATGTAAGTATTAAGTTTTCCATCTATCTGTGGATAAAACACTTCGATTCTTTTTTTTTTTTAATATTTATAACACTTTATTAGTAATTTAAATAAAAAAAATAATAATCAAAAACTACCTCTTGCTATCTCGTTAAATTAAAATATTATTTTTAAAGGCTCTTAACAATATATTTGTGTAGTTAAGCAATTAACATTTTACAGTGTGACAATTTAAAAATGGATACAAAAAAAACCGTTATCAAACGTAAATTAGCCACGATATAAAAACACGCTTTATAAAAGCGGAATACTATTAGATCAAAAATGAAAATAAAAAAGTTAAAGCTATAATTTTCAGTTCATTTTTGTGGTCATACTTCAATTAGAATATAAAATTAAGGATTCAAATATTAATTTGTTAATTTTGTTACTACTGATTTACAATCCAAAGTAAAAACTGAATCTGAATCTGACAGAGCAGGAGTGACTTTTTTTTGTATGCAACTAAGAATGGCATACAGGCTGACGGCCCACCTGATGGAAAGTGGTATCCATCACCTATGTACATTTTTTTTTTTTTTTTTTTTTTTTTTTTACAACACAGGGGGCAAACGAGCATGCGGCTCACCTGATGGTAAGTGACTACCGCCGCCCATGATCACCCACAACACCAGCGGCATTGCAGGTGTGCTGCCGGCCTTTTAAAATTAAATATACTCTTTTCTTGAAGGTTATGTTGTCGTATCGGTTCGGAAATACTGCTGCTGGAAGTTGATTCCAAAGAATGGTTGTGCGTGGAAGAAAGTGCCTTGAAAAACGCACGGTGGAAGACCGCCACTCGTCCAGATGATTGGGATGAAACTTTAGTTTGTGGCGGGTTGTACGGTGGTGAAAATCAGCAGCAGGTATCAATCCGAACAATTCCTCAGAACACTCCCCATGATAAATTCGGTAGAAGATGCACAGAGATGCAACATCTCTGCGCAGTTTCAATGGGTCAAGCCGGACAGTAAGGCGTTGACTATCGATAATTCGAGCCGCCCGACTTTGAATGCGGTCTAACGGAAGGAGTTGGTACTGTGGCGCTCCTGCCCACAGGTGAGAACAGTATTCCATATGCGGCCTGACTTGGGCTTTATATAATTTCAGGCGGTGTTTTGGCATGAAATATCGTCTCACCCTATTGAGCACTCCTAACTTTTTGGAAGCTATCTTAGCCTTCTCCTCCAGATGACCGCAAAACTGGACGTCGCAAGATATATCAACGCCCAGAATTCCTAGACTTGACTTTTTATCAAGGGAAGTGCCCTGAAAGTGAGGAGATACGACAAACGGCGTCTTTTTTGCGGTAAACGCGCAGACTTGTGTCTTTTTGGGGTTAAATTGAACAAGATTTTGTTCACCCCAGATCGAAACTTGATGGAGTGAAGTTTCGATTTCAGACACAAGTCTATTCCGGCACTCATCGGTATGTGCCCGCGAGATCTTTGCATGACCGGTATATAATGTATCTCCTGTACTGTCGTCCGCATAGCAATGAATATTACTTATCTGTAACATATCATTGATATGCAGAAGAAACAGAGTCGGAGATAGTACACAGCCTTGCGGGACACCAGCATTCAAAGGTTTTAAATCAGAGCATGCACCGTCGACTACGACCTTAATGCTACGTTCCTTGAGAAAACTGGCGACCCAAATGCACAGTCTCGCAGGCAACCCAAATGAAGGTAGCTTTGAAAGCAGCGCTCTATGCCACACCCGATCAAAGGCCTTCGCAATATCCAGACTAACTGCTAAGGCCTCTCCCTTACTCTCGATTGCCACTGCCCATCGGTGTGTTAAGTAAGCTAAAAGATCACCGGCCGAACGTCCCTGTCGAAAGCCGTACTGGCGATCACAGATCAGCCGGTGCTCTTCTAGGTACCGGAGCAGTTGACGGTTAATGATGGATTCCATAACCTTCGAGAATAAGGAAGTGATAGCTATGGGCCTATAGTTAGCTGGATCTGAGCGATCTCCCTTTTTAGGGATCGGATGCACCAGAGCAGTCTTCCAAAACTTTGGGACTATGCCCGATGAGTAGCTAAGCCGAAAAAGACGCGTAAGAACCGGAGCCAACTCTGGTGCGCACGTCCTAAGCACAATTGGAGGAATACCATCAGGCCCACTCGACTTATGGATTTCGAGGGAGAAAAGTGCTCTACGCACTGAGCTATGCGTGAATTTAATATCAGGCATAGAGCTCCTACAACACGTGATGGTCGGTGGTGGTTTCTCCCCGTCATCCAATGTCGAGTTTGACGCAAAGATGGATCCAAGAAGATCGGCCTTTTCTTTAGCGTTCTGGGCCAACGAGTCATCCTCCCTGCGCAAAGGTGGAAAAGATGACTTACAGAAATTCCCTTGTGCAGCTTTGGCAAGAGACCAGAAAGCTCGAGTCCCAGAGGGCAAACTAGCCAATCTCTTGCCAATTCTACTAATATGCTCTGACTTCGCTGTGGCTATAACTCTTTTGAAAGACCTAGAGGCAGAGTTATACTTCTTTTAAGAGCACTGGTGTTAGGATCTCGCGACGCCACACCTTTAGCCCAGGTTAGGAAGCACTCCTGTTTCAGACGAGATGCTGTTCTACAGGAGGCTCCATACCAGGGCTGGGATTTCCCGCCGACGGGCACCACAGAGTTAGGAATAAATAATTCCATTCCCTGAAGCACCACATCAGCAATGGAATCGGCAATGGCGTCGGGATCATCCAGTGTGAAGCAAACCTGCCTCCATGGGTAAGATGCGAAAAAAATCCGCATCTCATCCCAATCTGCCGACCTGTAGTGCCAAATGCGACGTCTACCCGTAGAACGAGGTGGAGTCGGACTCGTAAGAGGCACTTCGCTCCGCACCAAACAGTGATCCGACGATCCAAGCGGGGCTTCGACGGAGATCACATAGTTGTCTGGGTGGGTGGTCAGCAGAAGGTCCAACAGTGAAGGTGAATGGTCCAACACATCAGGGATTCGCGTAGGCGAGGAAACAAGCTGTGTCAGACCATAAGCCAAAGCAAAGTCATGAACAGATCTTCCCGCATAGTCGGTTGTACGCGAACCAAGCCATTCGGCATGGTGGGCATTAAAGTCGCCAACAATCACGACTTCAGCGGAAGGAATCTGCTCAAGCAGGGAATCTATAGCCATTTGGACGTGCTCAATGAGTTGGTCGGTTCCAGTGTTACCGCTGTGGGACCTGTATAGGCACGCATAGATGCGGGGATGGTCATTGCAATCTACGCGCAGCCATAGAATGGACAGGTCCGTACCTTCAAGAGTCCCAAGGCGTCGACAGCAGATATCCTCTCTGACATACGCACATACACCGGCACGCGAAACAAAACAATGTTCAAGCTTATACCCCGGGTAGGTCAGGTATGATGTTTCGTTAGGAGGGGATATCTGTGTCTCCGTGAGGAAGAGCAATGCCGGCCGCGCCGTTTCTAGGTGGTGGTGGACAGCGTTCAGGTTTGAATGAATTCCCCTAATATTACAGAGGCTCACATTGAGCAAAGGGGATGCCGCAGAAGTCTTGCTCTGTTTGCCCTTGGTCCCATAGAGCGGAATTTTGCCCCCCCCAGAATACGCAGGGCAGCCCGAGCGTGGTTGCTCGAGGGAGGATTCTCCAGCAACATGGCTGCTGGTACCTCCCTGGGGTACGTTATTTTTTTTAAATTCCACTGCCATGGTATTGAAAGATGGGGGGACGGAGTTGGGGGAGGATTTTAGGATAAGGAAGGGGATGGGTATAGGATGGGCCTCCGGACTCCCTCACTCACCATACGGAATGTGGTCGCACTAAAAGTGCGGCCACTTAGCGTCGGTATTCTGTGAGGGTGTGGTACTTCCCCGGTCGAGCCGGCCCATTCATGCTGCAATACCATATGGTATTACAGCGTGGCTCTACCACTTTAAAATGATCAGCATCATGGACATCACACAGTATATTGATTTCCCCCTTAACCCCCCATATGCGTTGCCATTCCTGAGAACTAAGATGTCATGCCTTTATTTCATTCAATTTAGTTGAAACTGACTATACTTTCGGTCCACTTGATAATAAGCAGTTGCCTATGGAGACCTACGACACCAAACCTTTTAAATTACAAGTGGCTTTATATAGACATGTTTTCGTTAACACACGCGTGAGGTAGGACAAGACGCCGGACGTAGCTGTCTCGTTCTATCCCGCGATTACTTGTCTATTAGTAAATTTATTTACCATTAATCTAGGAGGGGGTAGAGAGTCGCTCCGACGACGACTCTGAAAAAATCCTGTAAGGGCTCTTCCACACAAAACGTTAGGCCGACCAGAACCGTAAGAAGTTATGAACATTTACGGCAAGTGTTGTAAAATTTTACATAACAATTCGCTACAATTAACGTATCACGCGACACGATGTATGTCATCGCTGTCGCCGTTGTATGTAGAAGAGCCCTAACGTACCTTTTTAATTTAACCAAACCAAATAATCTTCTGTACTTATTTTAATATTAACATACATAAACGCGACTCGTATTCTACAAGTGGTCAAGTGTGAGAGTTAGTCACAATTCTAAAATTACAACTACAAGCGTTCTACCACTGTCATAGCTAGGCAAAAATCCCCATATCATAAATTCTGGCTAGTAAAAAAGCAGGTACACGATTATCCAAAAGTTTTAGTGTTTTATTTAATTTACACAAAATTATTGTACCTTTCAAACTACTGCTATATATAAACTGTTGTATCTTTTCAACTACTACTCTATCTACACTATGGTTATGGCATATAGGGAGCTAAAATGACCACTTCGGGTGATTCATAATAGGATCCTAAAATAAATCATATAGTAAGCAGAGTCGTGGGTTGTGAATTGAAAGACCCCGATTGTCAAAACAAGTTTAATACGAGCAACAAGTAATACACAGTTGTCAGCAATGGCGGGAGCGCGCTCTAGGTCTAGGTACATATGCGAACGTATTGGCGGGTGGATGCCCGCGAGTCGCCCGGATTGGTCGTTCTATTATGTTGGTAGTAGTGACGGTAGGTTGTACCACAATCATATATTAGGCAATACCTCTAATTTATAATTTTCTTCGATAATTCGCAAAATAATGAAAATTTAAATGAGTATTCTAAAATACTTATATTCTATAAGCGGAAAAGTGGAAATTTTAGGAATTCAAGTAGAAATGCTAATAATTCTTATTATCCTGTTATGAATCACCAAACGTGGACATTATAGAGTTTAACCCCAGCCTTATTTCGATTAATACTATGCGGAAAATTAAATAGTAACTGATAATAGAGAGAAGACATGGTAACATTATACGAAATACAAGTTTGTGAGTGTCTTATGGATACCTCTATATGGATAATAAATATCTCGTTACACCCTTTCCATTCTGTTATTTGCTCTTAGACAGCCGCTCGAAATAACCGTTCCATTTGAAAACAAGTTTAAAAAAAATCTATAATAATACATTTACTAACTAACTGTTAAAGCCATAATGGTATTCTAAATGTATTAGATTTTTAAATTATTTCCAAGAGGATGTATTGTATTTTTTTTTTTTGTATATGTCACCGGATATCTTCCTCAACATTCAATGAATTTTGACTTTTTTAATGTCCATAGTGAATTTTTTTCTTTATACAACTTAGAATAGCAAACAAGCTGACGGCCCACCTGTTGGAAAGTGGTAACCGTCGCCTATAGACATGAGCAGTACCATGGACATAACAGAGTATACTGTTTCGCCCATGATACCCCCCATGCGTTGCCATTCCTGAGGACTCAGGTGTTATTCCTCTGTACCCAGTAAATACATGCCATATCCTACCTTTCAAACCGAAACACAGCCATGCAAACACAACTGCTTCACAGTTGAAACACGAATGGGAATTTTGTCCCATTTGTAATGTCGTTGTTTTCTTTGCATATTAAGATCTAATTATTTATCTAAATCCACTTGGTATATCAGGAATGAATGACTACGAAATATCTAGTCAAACACATATTTATTTTTGAAATAAAAATAATGATGTTACTTACAATATATTAATTTTTCACACTGTTTTTAAGATTTTTAAGATATTTATTTCTCAAAAAAAAATACAAATATTCACTTAAATGACAAAACAGTTAACTAAAAGTCTATTATTATATTAAAACAGGGAACATACAAATGGCGATGTACAAAAAAATATTTCTTCTTATTTGTAACTGTCAAAATTGAAATAAAACAATGGAAAGGGGAACATAACTACTATGTTATTATTCTAAAAGCGTTCTTTTATTTATTCATAACAAATAATAATTGTTAGAGCACAAACTGGTAGTACATAATATTGTAAATAAAATATATACTCACCGTTAGCGAGTCCGGCCCTGGCATTCCCGTCGTTGGTGCCGGAGTAGGTCTGCCGCCGCGGGGGCCGCGGGTTGGGCCCGTCCAGGGACGAACTGGTCGGTAGGATGATGTGGTCCCTCTCATTCTCTGTCAATTTTGCACAGTTCTTCATTGCCCTGAAATGTGCAGTACGTATTAATGGGTTGATCTAATATGACATAGGCTGATTTGACGGGTCATATGCAATGTTGCCACATAATTAATATTTGTTTACAATAAAAATAAGTTTTTTTTTTTTATTAAACATGCTAAATATTTAATAAAAAAAATCTTATTTTTTTCGTGCACAGTTTTTTTTTATCACAGTACATAGAAAAAAAATGTTTATGAATTATGTCACACGGACACGGATGTCACGATGTTTGTTCACGATAATCTCCGAAATCTCTCAACCTATTTTAATTTGTTCTCTTTGTGTATTCTATCGCTTGTATAAATAATTCTGTATTGAGAAATTGTTCGAAATGATGTCCACAACCACTTTTTATCATCGCACCGCTCGCCATCGACAGGGAATTCATTCTCACACGCTTAAACGTAAATGGTCACGTACAGTGCGGTTTCAAAGCAGCTTTGCAGGGAGGGAGACTTTGTACAAAAGTCGTTTGCTTGGGTACCTCTGTCACATTCGTGTTTCAACCGTAAAGCAGTTGTGTTTGCATGGCTATGTTTCGGTTTGAAGGGTGGGATATGGCGTGAATTTACAGGGTACAGAGGAATAACACCTGAGTCCTCAGGAATGGCAACGCATGGGGGGTATCATGGGCGAAACAGTATACTCTGTTATGTCCATGATACTGCTCATGTCTATAGACAACGGTTAGCACTTTCGATTAGGGGGGCCATCAGCTTGTTTGCCATTCTAAGTTGTATGAAAAAAAGCTTTCTCCCACAAAGAACGCTCAGGCTGTGGAATAAGCTCCCTGCCGAGATTTTCCCTAGAGATTACAGTATGGGGTTTTTCCAAATAAGGATATTAACGTTCCTTCAGCAACTCCCAACGCGCACGTGATACCCCAATGTTGCAGCCGTTCATTGGTTACAGTGACCGTTTACCATCAGACGGGTTATATGTTTACCAACATCGTGGTATAAAAAAAATCCAAAATTGCTTTACTGATTTTAATAATAAAGGTATAAACTATATTTTTATATAAAGAAAAATTTTGAAGATGATTATAAAAAGCTTGGAATTTCTGTTATATTTAGATAGGATAGGCACGAATAGATAGACACGAGAATGTATAGGGAGGGTATTTGTGCCGGGTAACAAAGATATGCCTCTTAGAAGGACGGAGTCAAGGGTTAAATCTAGTAAATAAACTCACAGATATATGGTTGAGTGCATGCTCTGTGCTATATTGGAGTCGCAGGAGTGCATCCACAGCTCGCCGGCGCCCGTCGACGTTTGCCGTCCAACCTCCATGTAGAAGAAGCACTCCGAGTCGCCGCATCTGGAACGGTACAGTTAAACATTTAAGTCTGTCTACATAACAAAGTTATTTCAGTTAAAGATTTTTTTCATCTCTATGATTAAGATTGAAATAATTCCTTCAATCTTGGCTTAATTTATATGGTAAAAACGTAGGAGGTGGGGGAAGGGATTGTTAGTAATATGAACTATCAGACCCAACGCTAGCAATATAGGATATATTGGTAAGTCAACCTCCACGTGGTCCCGCCTGGAAACCATCGTGCTGAATTCCAGGTGTTTTTTTTTTGAGTGATAATGGAATGAAAACCATCGTGAACAATTCTTGTTGAATTCGTCACGATGGACTAACTGGCCTGCTTCGTCCTCACCTATCATCCTTTACTGGTACCCCGCCAGTGTATACCGATGGCGCAGGCAGAGTCACTATTTCATTTTCACCCATAAAAGGCCTAACCATTGATACATTCATTTAACTCTTGCCTAATGAGAGGGGAGGAGAAAGAGGGCAGGATTGTCACTGGATAACATTTTATCGCCAACGGTCGTAAGCATCTCCAAGTTTGAATTATATGGCCGGCCTCGCAATGCTGGTTACTTTATTTAGATCTTCCATTCGAAACTTGTGCAGTATCCATAACTACCTACTATCGATCGATTTCTGATTAGGTAATAAATTTTACGTTTATTTTAATTTATTAGTCCAAACATTCATTAATTCTTAAATTAGCTACAGATTGTTATCGGCCCGGCCAGAGTTACAAATCTGTTTTGAAACTTAATCGAGACATTTTCCTGTTGTAAGAGGAAAAAGAAATATTAGCTCAGAAAACAAACTCAAAAACTTTTATAAATATACTTAGCTAACTAAGTGAATAATACATTATCTTAGTAATTTTACTTTTTCCCTTAATTTCTATAAACCCATACGTCAACTTGTTTGCTATTCTAAGTTGTATAAAAAAAACTCCTATTGTCCAAAGAGGTCAAGATTGCCTACTAAAATTAAAACCTTTCGATGACGTGTCCCGATACCTAAATCTACAAACAAGCTAATAGAAACAATCACTGACAAGCATCACGAGGATTAAACCATTCAAAAACCCTTACAAAAGAGTATTCATACGCAAAACTACTCAAAGATACTAAGCCTTTTGAGTAAAAAAATGTTTATGTGATGACAAAGCTCCTCATTGATACTACAAACTAGGCAAACGTATGGCTAAACTATGGTTTATACTATAAATATATTGTATATATATAGCCATGTAACTTTGTAAATCCCGGAATAGAATAGGCCATCCCTTCCTTTCCCATGGGTGTCGTAAGGGGCGACTAAGGAAGCTTATGGTAGTGGATTGGGCAGCAGCGTCCCTTTTAAAACAACACCAAAAACCAAATTGCGGTTGCCAACCCGCCTGCCAAACGTGATAACTACTGGCAAAACCCCTTTTTATGGCGAAGGCTACGATCAGCAATGAACAGTCAACGACTGATATAACATACTCGTATATATCTTTATATAACTATAGTTTATTTTAGTTGGTATATCAAAGTCCAACAAATCGGGGGGAAAGGGATTGTTAGCAATGGAGTTTGGCCATTGCTAGCAATATGCCCTATTAGGTTGACCTCCACGTGATTCCCCCTGGAAACCATTGTGAACAATTCTTGTTGAATTCGTCACGATGGGCTAACTGACCTACCTACTTCATTCTCATCTATCATCCCTCACTAGTGCCCCGCCGGTGTATACCGAAAGCGCAGGTAGGGTTACCATTCCATTATCACCCATTAAAAAAAAATCCAACAAATCATTACATCCCGTTGCTACTATGAAAACTCAAGTATTATGCCTCTTAAGCCTCCTATCTTTCGAATAATATAACAAGTGTAGCAATTAAGCAAACAGATCACTTATAGTAAGTGGTATCTTACCCTTCAAACCAGAATATAACATGCAAGCACATTAGCAGTAGAGGTCTGTCCAAATCTTTGTCAGACCAAAGCCGACGCCCTAAGATTTTGCATAACTAAATCCCAAGTTCAAATCTCAGTGGATTCATTTTAAGAGATTATTATATGTCCATCGAATTTGGATGTTCAAGTCTTTCCTACTAGATTATAGTTGTTTGGTTATTCATAACAGAAAATCTAGGAATTTCTTGAAGACCAGATAAGGCAGTGTTATTAGAAGCGTCTATTTTACTGATAGTCGAATCCAGACAGGCAATACAAAGAAGAACTGAGAATCACAGTATCACCAGACTTTTAAATAAAAGAAGCACATGAATTCCTCTTTCCTCCAAATCCATAATACACTGATCTAACAATATCACTCTTACCGTCTAATGTTCTTCAGTGAGTACTCCACGCGTTCAGGTATACCCAGGTCACTGATAACGTTGTTGTGGCTCTTGATCTTCACCAGAGTGAGGGTCTTGTCTGTGAGACACAGATTGTACAGACCCTGAATGTTCTTTGAAGCTCCCAAACCTTTCTTCTGTACGTTCACTTGCCAAACATGTTCTGAAAAGATAGTAAGGCAATATTAAACGCTTTTAACACAACGGCATTTTAAATTTCCGTGTGGTGATGGAGGAAGAATAAGAAGATCTTAACCTTTCCCTAACAATCCACTAAAGTTCCAGTACTAGGAATGGGTCTTTCCCTAAATGAAGAGGGTATAAGCTACTATTACGCAGGGTCTCTTAACGGGAACGGGCAATAAGGCATTGCCAGCAAGGTACCCTGTTACCTCGACCTACATGCGGTCGCTCTGGAATACACCGTGGTAAATTTCTGGTGGTTTCATCACAATAAGTCAACTGATTTGACTATATCCTCATCTAGCATCTCTCACTGGTACCATACCAGCGTATACTGATAGCGGAAACAGGGTTACCTTTCCATTATCATCCATAAAAAAACCATTACCACGCTCTGAGCAAATGGCTCGATATAGACCATAGCATAAATTATTTGGAGTTTATTTCTTTTGCATTAGTATATGAACCGTGTTGCCCCGACATAGAATAAGCCACCCCTTCCTTTCCTGTGGTTGTCGTAAGAAGCGACTAAGTGAGGACAAGGGATAGGCAGTAGCGTCCCTCTAAAAACATCTCCAAAGGCTAACTGCGGTTGCCAATCCGCCTGCAAAAACTCCCCTTATGGATAACGGCTAAAATAATAATAAAAAAATCACCTCGTACTATATCCAAGGATAAAAATGATGTTAGGATGTAATGGAGAGGATATATTGTATTCCTTACTCCGTCCAGTCAATATAGTATTATATATATATTTGTACACTAAAGAACAAAAAAACACAAAAACACAGGAACATGTAACAATTAAATCCGTACAAAGTACAAACATATGACGCAATCAATAGGTACACTGGTCACCTATATTACGTCACCACCCTTGTCTGCTTGTATGTGTAGTACATTTCTTAGAAATAGGTAATCTACAAACAAATATTATCGTAGTTTACGATGTAACAAACAACATACGCGATATTACTACGCATATCAAATAACAATCCGATGTATTGTGAATATGTTTTTCACCTTTGAAATGTGGTTGGCGAAATTAAATAATAGATATATATTTTATAAATTTAATTTCCACGCGGACAATGTCGGGGGTTCGATTATTACTTATTTATTATCGTAGATTAAGACCTTTGAACAATGGGACAATTGTGTGACAGATGTTGGGGCCACCTATAGGGGCGTGTTTGCAACTCTAGAGTGACAAATCTAATACATTTCCACAAACATTTTGCTCCGCTAAGGAAAACTGAGGTTTTAATTTAAAAAAAAAAAAAAACACCGACGGATGTAGAGATATTTCGTAGATACGTTAGATTGAAAACGTTTTAATTTGGAACGCGAATTCATGTGCTAAACTAAAAAAAAAAAACACAAAATGTGACTTGAAAAATGTGAATAAGCTATTGGTAGGCCCGCGAGCCCCATCTTAGACCACGTCATAGCTTTCCATCAGGTGAGATCGTGATCAAACCCGGGACCCTTTCAACAGTAAAACAAAAAAACAACCATTCCCTGTTACGTTGGCATACTGACGGGATGCCTCTCAGAGTATATGGTCTCTTGATACACGGTCTTCTAACTTCCAATCCTCTTTACTAAAATAATTTCAATTTTTTTTGTACAACTTAGTATGGCAAACAAGCTGACGGCCCACCTGATGGAAAGTGGTAACCGTCGCCTATAGACATGAGCAGTACCATGGACATAACAGAGTATACTGTTTCGCCCATGATACCCCCCCCCATGCATTGCCATTCCTGAGGACTCAGGTGTCCATATCCCACCCTTCAAACCGAAACACAGCCATGCAAACACAGCTGCTTCACGGTTGAAACACGAATAGGACAGAGGTACCTAAGCAATCGACTTTTGTACAAAGTCTCCCTCTGGTATCTAAAATAAATCTAATAGAATAGATCCTGTTATCTGATAATAAGGAAATTTGAATTTGAAACTTCTTTCCGGATTTGAACTCGGAACTGAAATAATTAGTCTAATACGGCTACTGAAGAATCCCTTGGAAAAAGGGAGTATTACCTTTTTCCATAGCAATGAATTCCAACATCTATATCTTTTGGCATTTATTCAAGGAACGAATTACACTGTGGCATACTCACATATCCACATTCTAGTAATACCCACATAATATATGCTTACACATTACTGGAACCAGTAATTTTCGAGTCAAAACTCTCGTAGTCACAAGTCAGGAAACTATTTTCAATTCTTGGAAAACCCGAACAACGGTTAAACCAGGAAATTATCGGGGGCTTAGTACGTGGAAATGCATATTAAAATTAAATTATTTTGCAGAGAAGTAACACGGGCCTTCCCCAAAACCCGATAACTGTTAACAAAGTCTTTAGTTGACCGATATTCGTTAAAATGTAACTTATAATTGGCTTACTGTTTAACCATAAAGTTATTATAGCTGCAAGCTTGTATGAATACAAATAAATAAATATAGATTTAAAACAGAAACGTAGACATGTCGAACATTATGTTTAGAACAAGGAAAACACCAAAAAAATGCCTTTCACTACCCTATTAAGGATTATAGTCATAAGCATACAACAATACTTGTTAAACAGTTAAACTTACCATTCTTTAAACAAGAATGTATAAGTATTTCATACCTTATCAGGTCGACCTACACGCAGATCCCCCTGGAAACAATCGTGACTAATTTATCGTTGAATTCGTCACGATGGGCTAACTGATCTGCCTGTATATCCTCACTAATCATCCCTCACTGGTGGATTAAAAAATGGACGCGATTTTAACCCTCTTGCTCCGGGCCATTTAAATGCAACACTACAAGTAGATATCGGTGCCAAATTTAACAAAAAAAAAAGTAAATAAAAAAAAATGCTGTAAACATTTATTAGGTACTAGCTGTTGCCAGCGACTTCGTCGTTTTTCGTAAAATAAGTAGCCTATGTCCTTCCTCGCAGTTCAGTGGTTTTAATGTAACAGACACATTTCCCTTCACTGCTCTGCTCCTATTGATCGTAGCGTGATGAAAAGTATGCTATAACCTGCCCAGGAGTATGAAGAATAATTGTACCAAGTTTCGTTAAAATCCGTCGAGTAGTTTTTGTTTCTATAACGAGCATACAGACAGACATACAAAAATTTTGCTGATTGCATGTTTGCCATCTGTATCAATCACTAATCACCCCCTGATATTGATTTTGGAAATATATTTCATGTACAGAATTGATCTCTCTACAGATTTATTATATAAATAATTCTATGGATAATTTCATTTGACATTACTCAAATACCAACTGGGCGATTAGAGTCGTCAAGTAAACTTTGTCGGAGAAAATTATGTGTGGGGGTATAAAAATTTTAGAATTGTTCAAGTGGGGAATAAGTCAAAATAGTTTGGGAAACACTGGTCCTGAGCTCCTTGTGTCAATATTTATTTATTACACTGAGCGAATACAATTACTAATTGCATACTCGTCGCCAAACTATAAATACAGTTTGTTAATGGACGACACGCCACTACAGCTACAAACCTTTTGAATTTACAACGCGTTACATTCTCCGGATTAGTTGGTTTGTTTGTTACCTCTTGGCGCCTTAATAGCTCGATTAATCATCATGAAATTTGGCATACACGCAGTATTTGGCATGGAGAAGGACATATTGTTATGCTATTTTTTATCCTGGGCGGTTAAGAAGTACATTTTAGGGGAATCATCATAGAATATGCTTTGAATTTCGCCGTGTAGGTCCCGGCACAGAATAGACTACCCCTTTCTTTCCTGTAGATGTCGTAAGAGGCGACTAAAGGAATGCCAGAGATGGGCAGAAGCGTTCCTCTTTATACATCTCCAAAGCTTACCGCGGTTACCAAACCCGTCTGCCAAGCGGGTAACTACTAGCAAAACTCCCCTCCTGGAGAAGGCTTATGTTCAGCAATGGACAATTAACGGCTGATATGATGATGACGCTTTGATGACCCACAGTTTAATGGCCTTTTCACGCTGAGGGCCTAATATTAACGTACATTCACAGCGACGGGTTATATACAAGAAATTCTATTATAATTCGTGTACAGTGAAGTTTTTAAGCCCCTTCGTTACGCGGACGGCGGACAAAGTCGCAGGCTCAGCTTGTTACTACAAACGACCAGTCCACCTATCTGCAGGGTGATAAAATATTTCATGCTTAAAATCTTCACGGTTTAACTGCTACTCTGTTTGTATATTTTTGTAAAAAAAACTTGTCAAACAAAGCAAAATGAATTGCTTTGAGATTTATACGAAGTAGCTATTTTAGGGTGTCGGAGCAAATATTAACAAAAAAAATTGGAAATTTCCAACATCAAGAAATGGGTTCCATTAAGCACTACTTTAGGATTCTATTATGATTTATTCATAGTGACCATTTTAAAGCGCCAAACTGCTAATATAGTTTTAGGATTACATTAAGATTCATCCAAAGTGGTCATTTTAAAACACAATTCATCCAAAGTGGTCATTTTAAAACGCCAAACTGAAAGTATAGTTTTACGATTGTATTAAAATTAAGCCAAAGTGGCCATTTTAAACTGACAAACTGCAAGTACAGTTTTAGGATTGTATTAAGATTCATCCAAAGTTGCCATTTTAAACCGACGAGCTGCAAATATGGTTTTAAGATTGTATTCGTCCAAAGTGACCATTTTAAAGCGCCAAACTGCTAAAATAGTTTTAGGATTACATTAAGATTCATCCAAAGTGGTCATTTTAAACTGCCAAACTGCAAGTATAGTTTTAGAATTGTATTATGATTCGTCCAAAGTAACCATTTTAAAGCGCCGAACTGCAAATATAGTTTTAGGATTGTATTACGATTCATCCAAAGTGGCCATTTTAAAGTGCCAAACTGCTACGCAGTCAGTGTCGAACATTAAATACGTAATGACTTGATGACCTACAAATTAAATAAACGACGTTTGTTTTTGGCGAAAACAACCCATGGGAACATTGTTGCATGCCATGACAATTTAATAAACAACCAGTAAACAATCCGTGTGAGTTAGATAAACAATTTAATTACATGTTTTGTTGCTTTTTCTATGTTGTTTTCTTGCGCTGGCCCTTTTTTTTTTTGTAATGGGTGAAAATGGAACGGTAACCCCGCCTGCGCTATTGGTATACTCTGACGGAGCACCAGTGAGGGGTGATAGGTGACAATGAAAGTAGAATCCCAGTAGATTTAATCTATAATTTCCAGGGGGAACCGCGTGGAGGTCGACCTGGTGTAGTTTTTTTAATGTTGAAATGGAATGGTAACCCCGCCTACGCTATCAGTATACACCAACGGGGCACCAGTGGAAGATGATAGGTGAGAATGAATGCATGTCAGTTGGCCCACCATGATGAATTCGACAAGAATTAAACACGATGGTTTCCAGGAGGAACGGCGTGAAGGTCGACCTGAGAGGGTATATTTCTAGCACTGAGGCTATTTTTTTTTTTGATGGATGAAAATGGAATGGCAACCCCGCCTGCGCTAACGGGATACGCTGGCGGGGCACCAGTGAAGGGTGATAGGTGAGAGTGAAAACAGGCCAGTTAGCCCATCATGATTAATTCATCAGGAATTAACCATGATAGTTTCCAGGGGGAACTGCGAGGAGGTCGAACTGGTTGGGTATATTGCTAGCAATGGGATTCTCAGTCTCCATTACTAACGATCCCTTTCCCCTCTTGTACTGCTATTAGACATCGGCAGACTGTCTTATAGTTTCAATTATCGAATCGAGTAATAATCAATTATTCGTTTGTTTACATTTGAAATGTTTTTTTATTGAAACAAATTACATTTATCATTGGCGAGCCCGCAGGCTAGTGGTGTACTACTTCAGTTTTTTTTTATGGATGATAGTGGAATGGTTACCCCACCCGCGCAGGGGGGAAAGGGATTGTTAGTAATGGAGACTGAGAATCCCATTGCTAGCAATATACCCAACCAGGTCGACAACCTCGCAGTTCCCCCTGGAAACTATCATGGTTAATTCCTGATGAATCCATCATGATGGGCTAACTGGCCTGTTTTCATTCTCACCTATCACCCTTCACTGGTGCTCCGCCAGCGTATCCCGTTAGCGCAGGCGGGGTTACCATACCATTTTCACTCATAAAAAAAATAGCAGTACGAATCAAAAATCGATTGATTATTTAAATACTTATTACATTTAGAGAGTAACAATTACGACATAACTTGGCTACCTCTTCATTAAATTCGATTGAATACAGATTACACTAAATACCGAACTATATTAGTCACAATTCATTGTCAGCCATTCTGACAAAACAAGTTAATAGAAAATAATAATAAAAAAAAAAACCGCTTATTTATCACTATTTACAAACATTCAAGTATATACATATTAAACATAAATTATAACTATTAATATAATGAGAATAGAGTTGATTTGGCCATGGCAACTTATTTAAAAGGGCATTTATAGCAAAAAGAAACCAAAATAAATAAAGCATAAGAGTTTATTTTATTAAAATCTCATACGTTAATGTGGTTGGTTGTACGCCTATTACTTTTATTGTGATTGATGATGGTGACTATACTTTGGGATATCAAAGTACCAGGGGTCATTGACACCGGCAGCCTTGAGATCTCTAGAATGTTTCCTATGATTTGTTCAACATAACACTGATGAGATAATTTATGAATATGATTTTATTTTTTTATTTTTATTCTTTCCATTTTTTTTTATTAAAATAATTTTTTTTAAGTATTATATGTACCTTATAAATTATAAACATAAATTACATTTCAATAAACTTCAAAATAGCTAATGGCATTCACATATTGTTTCATAAAATAACAATTGATTTGACAAAACTAGTAAACGTTACTAATGTGAGAATTAAAATCAATCATCAAAATCGGTTCCGTCATATTAAGACTTAAGACCCTCCTCCATCCTCTTTTTTATGATAGGATGAAATAATTTTTAACTAAAATTATTTTAAACCGTGAAGCAGTTGTGTTTGCATGGCTGTGTTTCGGTTTGAAGGGTGGTATATGGCGTGAATATACGGGGTACAGAGGAATAACACCTGAGTCCTCACGAATGGCAACGCATGGGGGGTATCATGGGCGAAACAGTGTACTCTGTTATGTTCACGGTACTGCTCATGTCTATAGGCGACGGTTACCACTTTCCAGGTGGGCCGTCAGCTTGTTTGCCATTCTAAGTTGTATAAACAAAAAAAAAAAATTCGTAAATTTAAAAAAATAAAATAACACCAATGTTACACACTGATATTATCAGTCTTTAGTCTTAGTATTAGCATTCTATAGGTTAGGGCACAAAAAATCCCAATGGGTCAGCATGCAATAGTTTAGCTGACCCCATATATGAATAAAAGATTCTATAAGATATTTTTTTTAAATGTGTTTAACATTTTTTTATTATATCAATTATAAACAAAAATTAAATCTCATTGGGATTTTATAATATTAATTTAAACAAAATTGTCATTTATTCTACTAATTATCATTTCCTATTTTGTATATTTTATATTAAAAATATATATTTTTTTAATTGTCATAAACAATTTAATTTTCATAATAATTAAATTGAAATTAAATTACAATTTCCATACACAATTACTAACAGTAATTAAAATAATATGTATTTAAATATACAAAAACATTTTATAATTTTGACCTCACATGATGACCCTGACATAGATCCCAAGGGGTGTAAGTTTCTGGCAAAATGTTTAAAGATGTGAAACACTGTTAAAAGTGATGTACAAAATCTTAGAGGTAATTAATCAACCTTTTTAAATTTTTTTTTAATAAATATGCAAGTTTATTTGCATGACTGATACATGATGAAGTAATATACTGTGTTAAATTTTCATTAAAAAATATATAGAATTAAGACGATGGCAGCAAATGTTTACTGACGCCTCGGAAGAAAAGTTATTTTGCAGGGCACCACATAACACTGGATTATTTAAAACAAATAACCACTTTTTTCATTAGTTAATAAGTTTCATGAAGGTAGCAATAGTGATTTATTTTATTTTTTAAGTTTTGATAACACTCGGAAGTGAAAATATTGATTTTCAAGTAAAAATTAGTCATTTGTAAAATAAATAAAAATTCACAACATTATTACATTGTAAATTGTGTATTTAAAAAGTGTACCAAATATCAGAAAGATCAATGCAGTAGATTACATTTTGAATTATGGAGCGCGATTTAAAAATATTGTTTCAAACTACATTTAAAATTGTAATTATTTATGTTGGCTTTACTCATGTTTTAAATTCGAGGATGCTTGACTAGTTATTCAACATTAGAAATGTGGTAATACACAAATACGATTTATGTATGAACCTACTTGATATACAGACATACTGATACTACTCAAACTTAAAAATAGTAAAGATACACAAATATCATTGCCACTAGGTGATAAGCATTATTGTAGATAAGAACTTACGTATTGGATGTAAAAGTTCCTCGCTCGCATCATCAGAGCCATGCTGCTTCAGGATATCTGTCAGCCAAGCATGCAGCTCCACCTCATTCTCAGCAACCACACAGAATTGCTCCTCTCTTGTGAACAGAGCTATCACATGCTTCTGTTTTAAATCCAGCCTCCTAGTGATGTTGTAGCAACTCTTGAGCGGCAGTGTGCGACGCGGCGCCCCTCCCGACTTGAATTTTTTCTCCGATTCATAGTACTCCAAGCGGGCCGAACAATCGGCCGTCTGGGCACGCAGCACAAAGTACTTCTTCCTCATATTCTTCAGTTTGCGGAGGTGGCCCTGGCGCACCACGAGCCCCGCGCCCGCGCCGCCGCCACCCCCGCCCGCCGTGCCCGCAGACATGTTAGCGCGCCCGCATCCCAATCCCTTCACAGGCGACACTGGCACATGCCAACCGATAACCTTGAAGTTGTTTACTCCACTGATGAAAGTCACCCGAACTGTTGAACCTACGCTAGCACGGCACGACACGCGCCGTCACTAAAAATACGTACTATCCTTTTGGTATAGTGCGTAAATAGTAGCGCATAGGATAAATCGACCAGCGTAACGAATTTGTCGTGTCCCGCGTAATTCCACACGCGCCATATGACTCTTCCTATGGCGCCACGAACTCAACACAACACGATAACAGCCGACGATCAAATTTTATCTTTGCAAAATAATCGGAATAGATCAACAACAAACACTATTCAATCCATAATTTGGTACGCTCGCTATTACACTCGGTCATTCACAGACACTCGAGTTTAGAAAGAGATAAAATCATTCATAGTAAACGTAATCCGCACCGCACGCCCTTCCGTAGGTTCGCAGGGCATGGAAGTCACGCCGTGCTCATGCCTGACCACATCAAAACATTCAAAATTCCTCTATAAATCGCACTGCTTGTAAACTTGCAAGTTTCAGAAATGCGGAAAGCCGAATGATTATTAAATGTTTATATGTCTAACCACTCAATTTACAAGAACTCATGTATTTGCGCGTCGTTTTTTATTGGTTCCTGCTATTGCGTGTCATTTTTGTACGAGTACGACGAACGAAATCGAAAAGTACACTACTAGAGACGTGCCCAAGTGAGTGAGTGTGAGTGAACTAGAGCGATGACATGAGGTTTTTATTCCCTTTGAATGACAGTTTCGACCATTTTCTAATCAGTCGTCAAATTATTATCCAAATTAAAATATTACGACACTAGTAAACGACGAAAAAATTAAAACATTCTTTTAGATAGATCATTATTTTATTTCTAATATTTTTTACTACTAACTAAACTTCAAGACTAAACTCTGATTTAGTGCGTCACTACTTTGGTAAATCGATAAATTTATATGTTCCTATTTCGTGATAGTGTAATATAGACTTAAATCAATAATTTCAAAGAGATTGATCGTTTAATGAATATGCTCAATATAAAAAAACTTATTATACGAGCAATAGATTACAAATATAGGACTTTAGAACAATTATATTTGTGTAGGGCTACGTTCAGTAGTGAATAATTAATAACTAAAATGATAATAATGATAGTTTCCTATTAATAATATTACTTGGAGCTTAAAGATTATCAAGTACCTAGATATAGACGAGTTTACTTTGTAAAATAAATTCTAAAATATATCAAATTTATTTTGAACTTGATTTAAATATTTGAAATTTAAAAACGTAAACAAGGAACTGACGACAGTTCCTGAAATGTCACTTTAATAACGATATTAAAGTGACATTTCAGGAGATGTGAACATTTATATAAATGGATCAACTTTCAAAATCTTCAGTATCACCCTTAGCTATCACCTAAGAACAAGGAATTACAAAATTTCCAAAAAAAGTCATACTTCGTTTCCACCTTATAGGTTGTTTTAAATGCGTGAAAAAGGAATTGTAACCTCGCCTGCGCTATCGGTATACACTAACGAGTGATAGATGATAGATGAACATGAAGGCAGGTCAGTTGGCCCATCGTGAAGAATTTGACAAGAATTAATCCTGATGGTTTCTATGGGGAACCGTGTAGAGGTGGACCTGATAGGCTATATTGCTAGCAATGAGGCTGTTATTACCCATTACTAACAATCCTTCCCCCCCCCCCCCATTCTATAGGTATCGGTACAGTTATGATGTAATGGGGGGAAAGGGATTGTTAGAAATGGGGACCTTATTACTAGCAATATGCCCGCGGTTCCCCCTGGAAACCATTGTGATTGATTCATTAGTGAATTTGTTATAATGGGTTAACTGACCTGCGTATTCTGTTATCGCAGGCGGGTTTACTATTCCATTATCATTCATTAAAAAAAAGTCATGATGTAATTTAAATTATATAGATAGTGTCTCCATGCAAATGCTTAAAAAATGCGGGTTAACTTTTTATATATTATATGTATGTTGTGTAATAGGGTTACCAGAATAGACAGTATTATTTTAAATTAAGGTAAATAGGTGAAGGTCCTAACTTATTTTAAGGATCTTTATAATATTTAACTTTATTTATATATTTAATTACCTTATTATTATTATATTCGAAAGAATGCGGTAAATAGAATAGCCCCAAAAGTAACAAACACTTTTATTTATTTTTTTAATTTAATAAATTTCTTTCAATAAGAATATCTCAGAATCTTTGTAGACTTGTATTGGTATCCGAAATAATTGAAGCGGGAGCCATTTTAATTTTATGTTGGTATTTGGAAATTTTTATGTATGAAATTGAAAAATATGAATTAATTAATTGTAAATGATTAAATGTAAAAAATATTGAATTGTATTTTATATTAAGTTTAAATTCTTATTGCATTTTTGTTAATTCTTATCCAAATAAATAATTAATTTTAAATAAAAATGACAGCAATATTAATTAGTTCTGATGCCAGATCAATTGTTCTTGTCGTGAAATATCACATGATCATCATCATCACATCAGTTGTTAACTGTTGTTGAACATAGGCTTTCCCCAATTGATTTTGCCAGTAGTTGCAATGCTTGGCATACGAGTTGGCAACCGCAGTTAGTGATATGTTTTAAGATGGACTTTGCTGCCCATTTCTCGAGCATTAAATTCCCTTAGTCGCCTCTTTCGACACTTACGGGAAAAACACGCCGAACTTTGTAATAGATATAAATAAAACTGTTACAAATTCAATTTATTTTGCTTAATAACATAAGAATTGCGCGAAACTATCAAATTAAAATATTAAGAGGGTTTAGAGAAATGGCCCCCCCAAAATCGATTCTAATAGGTAAAATCTTTAGTAGGTATGATTTATTTGATTGTATCATATAAATCTAATAAAAACTTAAATTTGCTCAATATAAGCACATGAACGTGAACATGTCTGTTTATTTTGCTCTAATATACCTACATCTTGTCACATTTTAATCTTCTTTAGTTAATTTGTTGTTTTAGGAAGCGGCATTCTCTTTCTACGGTCGACTGCTCATAACCACAGAGTAAGTAATTATATATAGATAAAAATGAAACAGTATAGTTGGTATAGTATTTTCCCTTTCCACGTAATCATATGTATAGAATGGGTACTGCCTTCCTAGAATCCTAATTTGCAAACTTTAAATACTGTATTCATTTAAATTACATTTATGTACAATTTTACGAAGTAAACATTTCATTTATTTTCATTAATCATAGTACAATTTTCTTTCGCATTTTTTTCTATGGCTACATTTTCTTAAATATGTCCGTCTTCTCTTCCGTCATTCATTCATTCGATTTGCCTTCCTATAAAAGGTAGAAACGAGAAATGTTGGCAAATTAGTGACGATAAAATACGTGTTATCTTTTTGTTTGAAGTTATTTTTCATTAATTTATAGCATAAGTGGAAATCGAGGTACGGAAACTTCAAAACCAGCCGCTTCGGCGACGTTTTTGTTTACATTGTGAAATAGTAAATTTAGTATTATTTTTTTAAGTAAAAAATTCATATTGGTAGCGAAAGGAGAGCTTTTGTTTGTTTCGCGGTGTCTGTTAAGTGATTTGGATACCCTGGTGCTGTAGATGGACCGTGTCGACTTACTGTTATGTGTTTTAAATAAAAAGCTATAACTTTTTGTGATTAAAACGCAATCCTTTCTTCGATATGTTTGCAGTTGCGACAGTTTGCACTTCTGCGGTTTAGTTTTGCAATGGTCATTAGAGCGTAGAAAACGTGTCAAATTTCCACCCTATGTTAATATTTATTATGTTTTGCGCCTTGTAATTACCATATTTTCGTTTCTAGGTAGTGGTGTGGGACAATGGACAGTTAAAACTAACGAATAAGGTAATGTGACACTGTTGATCTATTTACGTTCATGATTTCACTAGATTGGTTTGTTTATTTAACTAATATTTGGTTTCAGATAAATGATGGCATCTGGTACATCCTCCTTGGAGAGTAATGGCAGTAATGGTTAGTATGAAATAACAATAAATATTCATAATGGTGCTGACTTGGAAGCATCACAAAGTTTAATCAATTTGGCAGGATTGAGAATGATTCTATTATTTTTGTTATTGTTGTGGCTGGGTGATTGATAATGGGAGTTGAATTATCTGTGGTAGGTATCTGATTTAAAAATAATAGATCACAATCTCAGCTCAAGTCTCAAATGTATTATATATCTGAAGCTCTATTCTCTATCAGATAAAAATGGTATCTTAGATTGATATTACAGCAAAACTTTTATTCTAAAAAATAAATATGCCAAATATTTAAGATCTGGAAGGGCTTGCCCATTAAAAAAAAGGTAAATAATCATGCTTTTATATATGTTTGCCAGTAGCTGTAGTAAAGTATAATAATTTCTGAATCTGGCCCCTTTTTAAATATGCCTAAAACATATAGTAATATTCCCTGTTAGGTTACCGACTAATTACTAAATTGAACATGGTTCACTGATCAACTGAATTGATGAACATCGGTCTTTGAGATTTTGCTGATATTTATTTCAATGGAATATTTAAAGAACTCTTCAGAATCAACCCTAACTAATAACTATAATTATAAAAAAATGTGAGGATTCTACTGTAAATATTATAGCTGTTACAGCTTGCTTACTCAATATACTATAGAATCTATTTCTATATTATAGAACTATTATCTATAGTATATATAGATCAGCAATGCTAAAGTGGGTGCTGTTGAACTTAGGGGTTCCATAAAAAAGAATTCTATGAAATTATTTATACAGTGAGACAATTTAATTATCCACATTAAAAGTTAAAGGAAACTATAAAGTGTTATACTTTTAAAATATTTCTAATAAAAGCTTTTGTTCTTATTTAAATTACAGTGGTTCTTATTTGTAATCATTTGATATTTTTTTTAGTAAAATTTTTGTTGAGGCTTTAGTACACCTGTGTGACTATACCAGTCTTATAGGGATTTTCTGAAAGTCAGTCTGTAGTCTGTCAGGGACACCTTTACCCACACATATAGCCGTTTTGATCAGTTGACATGGAGTTCCCTAAAATAAAATGGTGGGCATTCTATTATCTTAAAAGTTTGGGAACCCCTGGTGTAGATAATAGTTATTTACATAAAATTATATTATTTACAACTTGTAAATTAATGTACTACATTACACAATGTTATACATCACATAGAAAGTGCAGTAGGTCAGTCTAGTCATAGTAGTAGTAGGTCAGAGTGTAATACATAGTATACTGTGACAGCATGCTTTTAACCAGAGGGAGACTTTGTACAAAAGTCGATTGCTTGGGTACCTCTGTCCCATTCGTGTTTCAGCCATAAAATAGTTGTGTTTGCATGGCTGTGTTTCAGTTTGAAGGGTGGGATAGGGCATGAATTTACAGGGTATGGAGGAATAACACCTGAGTCCTCAGGAATGGCAACGCATGGGGGGTATCATGGGTGAAACAGTATACTCTTTATGTCCATGGTACTACTCATGTCTATAGGTGACGGTTACCACTTTCCATCAGGTGGGCCATCAGCTTGTTTGCCATTCTCAGTTGTAAAAAAAATAAAATAAAAAAAAAAAGCTTTTTAACATGTGCTATGAGAAACTTCATCTAGAGTGACCTATACAAGTTACAATCACTTCTTAAAGCCTAATTTGTAACATAATTTTTCCTAAATTGGTCAAACTATGAATCTATTAGGACTTTTTAGAAGAAGCTTGTTATAATGTGGTATATATATTGCAAAAGGCTATAATACAGTGTGTTTGAATAGAACTTAATAAAAACTATTAGTCAGTTTTTTTTTCTTTTTATTAAAGAAAAAAATAGGAGTTAGAAAATTTTATATTAAAAAAAAGAAAAAATTTTACTAAATACACATGACGTCGCTAATACTTACAATCAACTAAATTAAACAAAGAGTAATGACATTATAGTAGTACAAACATAATAGGTAAGCAGTTATGCAAATTAAAAAAATGAAATCACCAACCACAAGTTTTCTTTTTATACAACTTAGAATGGCAAACAAGCTGACAGTCCACCTGATGGAAAGTGGTAACCGTCGCCTACAGACATGAGCAGTACCATGTACATAACAGAGTGTACTGTTTCGTCCATGATATCCCCCATGCGTTGCCATTCCTGAGGACTCAGGTGTTATATCCTCTGTACTCTAAATTCAAGTTGTAAGAACCACAGACTCGGCACACATCTTGACGTTTTGTGGATTCTATTTTAGTATTAAATAAATCTAAATCGAGATCTTTAGATAATTTGTTAAAGTTAACTCTTGCACACCGGAGGTATTAATTTTTTCTATAGTCTGTGGAAACTATGTTGATGTTTTGAAATAAAAAAAAAAGAAATTAGAATCAAAAGATTCTATTAATTAATCAATATTTTTTCTTAGTCTTGTTTTAGATTAGTAGACTAACTTAACGAATAATTGACCTAAATGGCCTATTATTTGTTTATTTACATTTTCATTAACATCTATTGAAATAGACTATGCCTGATATTAATAAGTCATTCATCTCAATATATAGTTGCAATGTACACTGTTAGTATAGCCACCATTGTTTGAATCACATATTTTCCTATATGTGTTGGGTTTTTTTTGATGGGTGAAATTGGTATGGTAACCTGCGCTAACGGAATACGCTGGCGGAGCACCAGTGAAGGGTGATAGATGAGGATGAAAACAGGTCAGTTAGCCCATCACGATGAATTCATCAGGAAATTAACCATGATAGTTTCCAGGGGGAACCACGTGGAGGTTGACCTGATATGGCATACTGCTAGCAATGGGGCTGTCAAACTCCATTGCTAACAATCCCTCTCCCCCCCCCCCGTATGTGTTGGGTTATTTTTAAGATTCTGTACCAAAAAGTTATAGATGATCTTTTATGGTGTGACTGTCTGTCTATCCATCCGTCACAGTGTTATATTTTGGCAACTACTAATGCTATGAATTTGAAATATTTTTACATATTGATAACCTTGGTTCCCCCTGGAAACCATCGTGGTTAATTCTAGTGGAACTTATTACGCTGGGCCAACTGACCTGCTTTCATCGTAACCTATTATCCCTCACTGGTAGCCAGTGTATACCGTCAGTGCAGGCGGGGTAACTATTCCATTATCACCCATTAAAAAAATATTATGGGCCTGCATTTAGTAACTCAGTTCACTAAATGTTTTTTATGGCACATTTGAAGGATCCGAATTTATACTTGTTTTCTTAACTTTTACATTTTAAAATTGATTTTTATTAATTTGAGAAAACATGATGAGCTACTCTCATCATTTTTTCGATAAGACTGCTTCCACAGGTTTAAATTATCGTTCTTACTCCATTTTCTTCATCCATATATATATTCAATATATGTTTATATAAATCTAAATTTCACTTGTAGGATTTTAACGAAATAAACATAAACACTTAACATACAAATGCGCTTATAGAATTACAATCACTTCAACTTCTTAAACCAGTTTAACTCTTAAAAGCCTGATTTTTTAAATCAAATTAAAAAAAATATATGTGTAGGGTACACATAACTGTGTTTACTAATAGGGAAAAATAGTAAAAAAAATCAAAACGATATTTTGATATATTTATTTTGAAAAATTCATTTGGTAACATGTAAACAGCCAAATATTAAAATAAAATCGATTACAGGCGCCCAATGCGATTTATAACCCCGGTATCAAATTTGAAACTTCAGGTATTTAAGGGTTAATGGGGCTCATTCAACTTTGCCACCTTGGCCTTCTGACGGGCTTAATCCGCCACTGCATTCACACTTTCATGGTAGAAATGTAGATATATGCAAAACCTAGAATTCACATCCAACCAGCAAATTTAAATCTTATGCATATTGTTACAGAGTCAATAGTTACATTACCCCACAGTTACGTGAGTAACGAACGGCACAACAGCACCCAATTACCAGCCGTACCTATTCCAATCGAGTATGACGTGCTGACCGCGAACCAGTGCTACGACAAGCCGAGCTACACGGTGAAGGCTCACGGTGCTCACGTGATGAGCGGACCGTACGAGCCGCTCACATACGATGTGCTCGGCAACACTAATGAGAGTATCAAGCAGCAATGCGAGATCAACCAGCTGCGGCGCCAGCATACGGAGACGTCGAGGAGGTGCGAGCACGTTATGAAGGTGAGCCACTATGATGCGTGAAGCTCATGTCGACACCACAGGGATTACAATGTATTTTGTTTTTTTTTTTTTGTATGCAACGTAGAATGGCAAACAAGCTGACGGCCCAGCTGATGGAAAGTGGTAACCGTCGTCTATAGACTTGAGCAGTACCATGGACATAACAGAGTATATTATACTTATGTATATACTATTTCACTCATGAAATCTCCCATGCGTTGCCATTTTTGAAGACTAAGGTGTTATTCCTCTGTATCCTGTAAATTCACTGCCATATCCCACCCTTCAAACCGAAACACAGCCGTGCAAACACAACTGCTTTACGGCAGAAACACAAATGGGACAGAGATGAGAACAATTCTGATTGAAGTTGTTTTGTTTGTAATATAAAATAATTGATATCTGTTATGTAAGTATTAGATATGTTTTATTCTTCTTCTAAAGTCTCGAATTTAAAAATACTTTGTACGGGGCCGAAGATCTGTAAACCGAAAATTAATCTGTATTATAAAGGTTTTATATTTACTATGACATGTCTATCTATCTATCCTATTTAAGAGCTGCTCTCTTGTCGGTGGAGCTCTAGCCACTCACTACGATTTTCAGCGAGTCTCTTCACCTCTTGATACGACACGACACCAGCTCCATCCTTGATCTGCCTGATGTAACTATGTCTCGGTCTCCCTCTCCCCCTTCTTCCTTCTATCTTACCTTCTATTATAATGTTCATAAGTTCGTCGTGTCCTATCAAGTGTCCCAACTATTTTCCCCTTCTGTCCTCAATAGTTCTAATAATTTGTCTTTTTTCCTTAACCCTAAGCAGGACCTCCTCATTGCTAATTCGACATATACATAATATGACATGTACATTGTAAAAATAAAACCTAGAATAAGTGGATACGAGACTGCTAAGTTGGCCAATGTTTTTTAATTCCAAGATAGCGTCTCAGCTATCTAGCTACTAGCTAGTAACCAGCCAGCAGACATGTTTACATATCTAATAACAGTAGTTGTAGTTGATACTTGGTGGACTGAGGGTAAGAGACAAATAAATCAGTTTGTTTTACAATATCAACTTGTATGTATTCTTTAATATCAATATTACGTTGCAGGAGTTGGAATATGTACGCGGGCAGCACAGAGCGGCGATGAACAAGCTCGAGGTATCGGCTCAGGAGGCCAGCAGTCTGCGCGGCAAATGTAACGACCTGCTCAGCGACAAACAGCGGTGAGATGCTTTGGGTTTTGTCTCTTGTATACATGACCAGCTATTTATAATGTCTATCTATGCTTTCTATATCCTATACTTAGCATGTACATATGTAACTTCCTATCCTATTTAAGAGCTGCGCTCTTATCGGTGGAGCTCTTGCCACTTATTTCGATTCACTCATTCTGCGAGTCTTTTCACCTCTTGATACGACACAATTTCAGGGATGATGTAACTATGTCTTGGTCTTCCTCTTTCCCTCCTTCCTTCCATCGTAGCTTCTATCTATTAGTATATGCATGTGTGTTTGTATGTATATGTATGTGTATATATGCATATCTGTTTATATGTATGTATAAAGATATAAGTGTAGTATATAGGATTAGAATATAAGTTTATAATTGTTTAAAAAGCTGTATGTACAATGAGCGCAAAGCTGCAGACAAACTGCAATGCAGTTTCGCAGCACTAAGTATATATACTGTCTATGTAACTGTTTACTTGAAATAAATGAATAAATAATTATATTCCTTCCAAGGGGGAGGCTTATGTTTACCAGTGGTTAGTTAAAGGCTGTTATGATGATGATGGAATAAATATGGGAGTTATATAGCGTTTATAACTAATAACTGATTGAGAAGAAAATTATTTGGCAAACTATTGCTTGAAAGAGTAAAAGTTTAGTTTCACAAACTGGGTGGTAGAAAAAAATTACTATTTAATAATTCTTATAGTTTATGTCAATACAGTTGATACGTCAGCTTATAGAATTATGGTGAGATCGTAGTTACCTGACGATTTTCAAAAACTCGAACGTTTTTCAATGTTTTTGAATGATTATTTAAAAAGTGCTCTGCTAGTGAACTAAAACGGTAATACCACCGTAACCACTTAAACTTAGAGGCTAGGCGCGGAAAATAGATTCCTATTTACATTACATTACATTAAGACCACTAAAACTTTATAAATTCCATATTTTGTTTCACAATTTGTCAAATAATTTCTTTCCATTAAAATCCCAATTATTGACATTTTTCATAAGAATATTAATGTATGAACAATTTTTCAGTTTTATAATAAGTATGTTTACGTATGTCTGTTTAATTTGTCACTAGAGGGCACTGTGTAACTTGAATTATTAGTTTTTGCAATATAAATTCTATTTTTTTGTGCAGTTTGGAGCGCGAGGTTGCACATTTACAACAGAACAGTAACTCCGAGGGGAGTCCTGACGCTATGATGCATACAATTACGAAGTACGAAGCTCTCAAGGACGAGTTCGAATGTTATAGGAAAAGGTACTCTTTGTTATCTTAATATGTCTATCTACCGTCAGCTGTCTTACTGGCTATAAATATATCTATTTTTCTTTTATACTACTTAGAATGGCAAACAAGCTGACGGCCCACCTGATGGAAAGTGGTAACCGTCGTCTCTATACATGAGCAGTACCATGGACATAACAGAGTATACTGTTTCGCCCATGATACCCCCCATGCGTTGCCATTCCTGAGGTCTCAGGTGTTATTCCTCTGTACCCTGTAAATTCACTGCCATATCCCACCCTTCAAACCGAAATATAGCTATGCAAACACAACTGCTTCACGGCAGAAACACGAATGGGACAGAGGTACCCAAGCAATCGACTTTTGTACAAAGTCTCCCTCTGATATTATTATTATTTATATTATTATATTAATTATATTGTACGGCATAGAATGAGCTACTACCTTTCCCGTGAATGTCGTAAGAGGCGACTAAGGGAACTTAATGATTGAGGGACGACCAGCAACATCCATCTTGAGACATCACTAAAACCTAGCTGTGGTCGTCAATTAGCCTGCCAAGCGTGGCAACTTCTGGTAACACCTAACGAGGCTTATATGCCCAGCAATGGACACTTAATGGCTGATATATTAATAATATATAATAACTTTATTGTAGCTAAAAATCAGATACACAATTTATTGTACAGTGATTACTACACTAGTCTCGCAGGCCTGTATCATAGTAGTCGGTGAGTGGCTAATTAAGTTAGTCCATATTTATTGCCATTTGCATGCCGGTTCTTGTACAATTTTATCATTTAGGTACTCGAAAATTAAAATACATTTGAAATTAAATAAAAATAAAATAAAATACATAATTAAACAGGAAAAAAAAAGAGAAAATTAATGCAAAATGATGATGATGATGATATTAATGGGTAACTGGAAAAAGTATTGCTCCTTTAATGAAATAGTACTGTTTTAGTTGCAGAATTTTTTATCTGTACTAATATTATAAAGAGGAAAGATTTGGTTGTTTGTTTTTGATAGATAAACTCAAGTAATTAAAAAAATTACCAGAGGGAGACTGTACAAAAGTCCTTTGCTTGGTCACCTCTGTCCCATTCGTGTTTCAACCTTAAAGCAGTTGTGTTTGCATGGATGTGTTTCGGTTTGAAAGGTGGGATATGGCGTGAATTTACTGGGTACAGAGGAATAACACCTGAGTCTTTAGGAATGACAACGCATGGGGGGTATCATGGGCGAAACAGTATACTCTGTTATGTCCATGGTACTGCTCATGTGTATAGGCGACGGTTACCATTTTCCATCAGGTGGGCCGTCAGCTTGTTTGCCATTCTAAGTTGTATAAAAAAAACTTATAAAAAGCTACATTATCAACAAATAACATAAGCTGTATATTATTTTTGAAAATTCTATTCATCTGAGCGAAACTGAAGCGGATTGCTAGTTATATATTTATTATAGCATATAAAAGTGCAGAGATACCCAGACGAACATACCTATATTGCATTATATGAAGCGAATGCAAAATATTTATATTAATTAAATTATGTAACCTCCAAAAATAAATGTATTAGAATATAATAGATGTACAACTGGTATTGTGAAGAGAATAAACTTTATTATTATTATTATTATTATTAATAATATAAAGATAACTCTTATACAATTGTTGTTTACAGATATGAAGATTTAATAGAAAAACACAACACGACATTTAAAAAACTTCAGATAGTACAAGAGGAGAACAGCAGGCTGAAAGCTCAGTGCCATGAGCTGACGCAAGAAAGGAATGCCATAGTGAGATTTTAGTTTATTTCTTACTAGCTGACCTGGCGAACTTTGTTCCGCCTAACAGTCGATTCTTTAATTTTTTAGTTTTTTTTTTATTATATTATGATACCTACTTAATTTTATTTTATTTTAACTTATTCCAAATTAAGTTATATTTTTATTGACAATAGCTGTATCAACAACTTCATCCGCATTCATGGAATTTAACAAAAAAGATAATTAGTTTTTTTTTTTATTTTGCATTTTTATTTTAAAAATAAAAGAATTTTTCTAAAATAAACGTAGCCTAAGTTACTCCTTATTACATCGGTAACCTGCCAATAAAAGTCCCGTCAAAATCGGTGCAGCCATTTCAGAGATTATTTCATAAGTAAAAAGTTCTTTTAGGATAAGCAAGCTGAAGTGGCAATGGGCTGGTCACAGCTCAAAGAACCGACAACCGATGGGAAAGTAAGGTTCTTGAGTATATAGTATGGTAAAGAGATGGACAGCAGCGTCCCTCTTAAAACATAATCAAAAGCCAAACTGCGTTTGTCAACCTGTCTGTGAGAATGTCAACTACTAGCAAATCTCCTCTTTATGGGGTAAAGCATTTAATTGGTGATAATCGAACGGTAGCCTCGCCTGCGCTATCGGTGTACACTGGCGTGGCACCAGTGAGAGATGATAGGCGAGGATGAAACAACTCTTTTTTTTATTGGATGAAAATGGAGTGGTAACCCCACCTGCGCTAATGGGATACGCTGGCGGGGCACCAGTGAAGGGTGATAGATGAGGATGAAAACAGGCCAGTTAGCCCATCATGATGAATTCATCAAGAATTAATCATGATAGTTTCCAGGGGGAACCGTGAGGAGGTCGATCTGGTTGGATAGATTGCTAGCAGTGGGATTTTCAGTCTTTATTGCTAACAATCCCTTTTCCCCCCGGATGAAACAAGTCAGTTTGCCCATATTGATGGATTCATAAAGAAATTAACAAGATATTTTCCAGGGGGAACCCCGTGAAAGTCGAACTGATGGGTATATTGCTAGTAATAAGGCTGTAAGATACCCAAAACGAACAATCCCCCCCACCTTTATGGGGTAAACTATGTTCAGCAGTGGACAGTTAACGGCGGTCGTAGGATGCCGTAGTTGCTGTTGAGGGTAGGACGGCGTTTAATGCAGTGGTCTGTGGCAGGTTCGCGAACGAAACGCGCTGAAGCAGCAGGTGGGCAGCATGGTGCGGCAGTGGGACGGTGGCCTCCGTGACCGCGACGACATCAAGCGCCTCACCAGCCAGCGCGACGCCGCCATGGCCGAGTACACGCTCATCATGAGCGAGAGGTAACTTGACTCATTCGTTGCTGCCATGAAGCAATACTGTTCTTGCAGCTGCGGATCTTTTTTTTTTTTGGGTGATAATGGAATGTTAACCATGTTAACCCTGCCTGCTCTATCGGTATCTATACGCTAGCAAGGCACCAGTGAGGGATGATAGGTGGCGATGAAAACAGGTCAGTTAGCCCCTCGTGACGAATTCCACTAGAATTAGCCACGATGGTTTACAGGGGCAACCACGTGGAGGCTAACCTGACAGGGTATATTGCTAGTAATGGGGCTATTTGACCCCATTACTAACAATCCCTTTCCCCCCATAAAAAAAGTCGAACAGCCATCGATCCTGTAACCTCATTTCCGCAAAGCAGAATGTTTACTATTGTGCCACAGCTTGTGATTGTGTGGCACGTAACAAAAAAGTAAATTGTAACAATTATGACATGTGTGGGCAGAGATACGGTGCACAAGGAGATGGAGAAGCTGTCGGACGAGCGGCAGGCGGCGCTCAACCGCGTGGCCGCGCTCGAGGCCGCGCTGCAGGCCTCCCGCGACAAGGAGAGGGCCTCCGCCCTGAAGGTAACCAGTCCGCCACTCACTTCTTGTTTACACACATTCTTTTTATACAACTTAGAATGGCAAACAAGCTGACAGCTCACCTCATGGAAAGTGGTAACCGTCGCCTAAAGACAGAAGCAGTACCATGGACATAACAGAGTATACTGTTTCGCCCATGATACCTTCCATGCGTTGCAATTCCTGAGGACTCAGGTGTTGTTCATCTGTACCCTGTATATTCACTGTCATAACCCACCCTTCAAACCGAAACACAGCCTTGCAAACACAACTGCTTCACGGTTAAAACACGAATGGGATAGAGGTACCCAAGCAAACGACTTTGGACTTAGGAGCGGATTTGTAAAAAAATGTTAATTCATTCAAAGAAGTATACAAAAATATATAAGTACGTCAACTTTGTTTTCTCCGCTTATTTTGTTACAAAACAATACAATGAAGTACAGTAGAATGAAGCAAAGTTTGTCAATATATCATTTTATATTTATTTAAAATCTCATGGGCAAATATTATGTGAAGAGAAACTTACTATATCTCACTAAATTCATCAAAGGGAGAAGGAGAATCCTACTAAAAAAAATTGTTTTTTTCACATAGTTAACAATTCCTATTTTCGTCACGACGGGCCAACTGAGCTGATTTTATCGTCACATATGATCCTCACTGGTACCCTGTCAGTGTATACCGATAGCGCGAGTGGTGTTACCATTTCATTATCATTAATTAAGTGTTGATATCACCGTAGGAGGAGAGCCTCCGCCGCGAGCTGGAGTTGGTGCTGGTGGACCGCGACCGCGCCATCAAGGAGTGCACCGACCTCAAGACCCCACAGAACACTTCCACGCTTGGGAAATCGCGGTATACTTCCTTCATATTACCCACATAGTTTCTAACTAGTGTAGTATTGTAATAATTAAGCAATTATTATATTAAATCTTGTCAGAGGGCCTATCAAGAAATGTTTTTTGAAATTTCGAGGCCAAACGAAACACTAATTTGATGTTAAAATTATAGATCTATCTATCCTATTTAAAAGCTGCGCTCTTGTCGGTGGAGCTCTTGCCACTCACTACGATTTTCAGCGAGTCTCTTCACCTCTTGATACGACACGACACCAACTCCTTCCTTGATCTGCCTGATGTAACTATGTCTCGGTCTCCCTCTCCCCCTCCTTCTATCTTACCTTCTATTATAATGTGCATAAGTTCGTCGTGTCGTATCAAGTGTCCCAACATTTTTCCCCTTCTGTCCTCAATAGTTCCAATAATATGTCTTTTTTGCTTAACCCTAAGCAGTAACTCCACATTGCTAATTCGATCCTTCCAGCTATCACTGTATTCAACAATAATCGTATTGCACAGGCAAGACAACTCTGCGTATCACCACTTGGGCCTCTCAAGTGGTGTGGGTAACGACGGGTTCCTCAGTGGACAGCATTCCAATGACCCTTCGTTGGATAAATTTCAAGGTGAGTACAGATTTCACTCAATTGTACCCAGAATAAGACCGCCTTATAGTACTTATACAATTGTATCGTTGTGTTTGTAAATTGTCTTGCTTATTGCCCATATTGTATAATGTAAATGAAGTATACTCATTCATTCATTCAAAAATATCTATACTCTGTCTTATGTTTTTTTTACATTTAAGATGACGTAAATCCTATCCTTATTAATATAATAATTGAATTTTGACTCACAAAAAACCCATTTTCAATTGTGGAAAAACCAGTTATTTTGAATTGAAAACTAAACTGCTGAATCGATTTTGATAAAACTTCTGTGGGCCAATCTATAAGTATTTTTTCACATAAAAAAAAATAATTTTCCAAATCGGTTTAAAACTGACGGAGTTATGAGGCAACAAACAAAGCAACATCAGTCATTGATATAAGGTCCATTTTTATATGTCATTCCTTTTGCAGTATGAGAATGGTTGTAGGCTGACAAAAAAGTAATAAATATTAAAAACCGATTAATTGATTGAATGTTCCGATATGTTTATTTAATTTAGAGAGTTATTTTATGATAAATTTAACAAAATTTATTCACCTTTTAAGTTTTATTAAAGCAAAGTATATCAAAATGCCATTTCGCCTGTCGAAATTGTCGATGGGATCGACATCTCGCTAGCGAGTCCGTGAGACAGAATGAGATAGCAACATCGGATGATTCATTCCAACTTACGGACCCGCTAGCGATGTCGAAGCCATCGACGAATTCGCTTGTCACTTGTTTAGAGAGCCAAGTCAGTTAGCCCATCGTGACGAATTCCATTAGAATTAACCACAATAGTTTTCAGGGTGTATTGCTAACAATGGATCAATTAGACCCCATTGCTAACAATTCCTTTCCCCCGCAAAAGCTATTTAGGGTAATATCTGTGATGAACACAAATTAAGAGTGTAAAACAATCGTGCAGGCCTGGTGGGTATGTCGGCCGAAGCAGCGGACAAAGAGCGTGCAGAATCGCTGGAACAGAACAACCCAGAGCTGGAGAGGCTGCGCAAGCAGCTCGACCGCCTGCAAGACGAGCTGAATGTCGCACAGCGCGAGGCCGAGGTATGGCTACGTTACTACCATTACTAATTCTACTATTGCTCTTCCTACTTCTAATTCTACTATTGCTACTATTAATAATGATCATAATGTATAGTAGTTTTCCATTATATATATTATTATATAATTTGTAAATCAATATAGATACGTCTGTAACTGTTTATCTTTAATAATTATTAATATTTTTTTATTTTATTGATTCTTATTTATTCATTAGTACATATATGTGTACATGGCGGACATAATGCTAAAAGTATTCTCTCCCAGTCAAACATAGGGAAGTGTCAGAATGCTCGAATGCGGTATTAGTAATTATTGTTATACATACATACTAAAATTACATATATAAATGAATAAATATATATAAATAACAAATATACTTACACATATATGACATATACTATATTATACACGAAATTGAGTATAATATTAAGTACTTTACTTAAGAGAATAATATTTTTCACCCCATAATTAAATTACTGTTTTTCATGACTAATTCTACTAATAATTCTTGCTATTACTTCTAATGCTACTCTCACTACTTCTATGACGATGGCTCCCTTTTGTGTAAAGAGTTTCTAAACCGTTTTCGTCTTTAACATAGTTTATGGAACGATGTTTCAAGTACCCTCCAAAGCGTGATACCTCCCATGCGTTGCTTTTAGGAATGGCAACATCTAAGGGTATCATAGTGTATTCTGTGATGCCTATGGTGTTATTTATATCTCCATAAAACAATTTTTATTTTGCGTTAGCTCTCTACTGTAATGGCAGATATATTAAAGGAAGATCATTTATCTTGCATTACATTTTTTTATACAACTTAGAATAGCAAAAAACTATTGAGTACATAAGGGAAAAAATGTTTGGACACTTGATACGACATGACGAACTTATGAATATTATAATAGAAGGTAAGATAGAAGGAAGGAGGGGAAGAGGGAGACCAAGGTAATAGTTACATCAGGCAGATCAAGGAAGGAGTTGGTGTCGTGTCGTATCAAGAGGTGAAGAGACTCGCTGAAAATCGTAGTGGCAAGAGCTCCACCGACAAGAACGCAGCTCTTAAATAGAATAGAGTAGAAAAGCAAACAAGCTGACGACCCACCTGATGGAAAATGGTAACAGTCGTCTATAGACATGGCAGTACCATGGACATAACAGAGTATAGTGTTAAATGTTTGAACTTTATTTTTAGTTTACTTGTTCAGTTGAATATGTCTCAGTGTAATCTAAAATTTGATTTGGCAATACATAATATTTTTCATTCTGTTTCAGGTGTCAAAATGTAGACGGGATTGGGCTTTCTCGGAGAGAGACAAATTATTGCAAGAGAGAGAAAGTGTGAAAGCTTTGTGCAATAGACTAAGAAAGGTATGTTATTGAGTTAAATTTAATAAATATGTATATGTAAAAAATTTTCAATATATATTATATATTTACAATTAATTTAGATTTATTAATTGAAAATTTAATATAGTTGACTTGCATATATAAGTTAAACCCGTTTTTAGTTGTATCCAACCTGATCAAGTCAAACATGTGTTGAGATGCAAATGTCATTCCAGTTTACATTATATTTTTTTTATGGGTGATAATGAAATGGTAACCCCGCCTGTGTTACATACACTGGCGGGGCACCAGTGAGGGATGATAGGTGACGATGAAAGCAACCCCGTTAGCTAGTCGTGATGAATTCCACTAGAATTAATCACGATAGTTTCCAGGAGGAACTGCATGGAGGTCGACCTGATAGGGTGTATTGCTAGTTATGAGGAAATTAGACCCCAATACTAACAATCCCTTTTCCCCTACTAATACATAAGTATTAGTTTATCTACACATTACATACGCAGCTCACTAGCAAGGGGATTTATGTACCATGTCATAGTTGTCTTAATGCACTTTTTCATTTACGTAATTTTTCACAATAGCATTTTGTTACAATAGCATTTTGTCATTTACGTAATTTGTCACAATAGCATTTTGTCATTTACGTAATTAGTCATAATAGCATTTTGTCATTTATGTAATTAGTCACAATAGCATTTTGTCATTTATGTAATTAGTCACAATAGCATTTTGTCATTTACGTAATTAGTCATAATAGCATTTTGTCATTTATGTAATTAGTCACAATAGCATTTTGTCATTTACGTAATTTGTCACAATAGCATTTTGTCATTTACGTAATTTGTCACAATAGAATTTTGTCACTTAAGTAATTTGTCACATAGTGTAGAAAATATTTTTTCGTCCAATTCGAATTGGAATTTTAGTTGCGAATGTTTTTCTCGTATTTTATGGGAGATTTGGGTGTCGCTATTTTCAAACAAAAGTGGAATTTTCCAATTTTATGTACGTGTATATACGCAGGAGCGCGACCAGATGGTGGGCGAGCTGGCGGAGGCGCGGCGGCACGGCGGCAGCAGGCCGCCCGACGTCGTCAAAGACCTCAAAAACGTAAGAGATTCCGCGCCACCTGACACCGACCCCGCGCTGCAGGTACGGGTTCGACTCCCGCCGCTTCGCCTTACCGTTGCGGCACGTGTCGCTTGTCTTGTGTGTGGTGCGCTTGATGAATGAATAAATGAATAGAAATGGATGAATAATTATTTGCAAGAAATATGGTAAATATACAGATAGATAAAATAATATTAAGTCCACATATTTCGCCACAATTGGACATGCAAAATTTTAAATAAATATTAAATTAACAATTCTTATAAAAAAAAAAAAAAAACAATATAATATGTTAAATACAATTTCATGTCAATTAACAAACATAGTATACTCTGTTATGTCCATGATACTGCTCATGTCTATAGGCGACAGTTACCACTTTGCATCAGGTGGGCCGTCAGCTTGTTTGCTATTCCAAGGTGCATAAAAAAAAATATAGTAAAATATCCACAGCGAGGAATATACTGAGTAGGCAATTTATTGACTAGGAATTATTCATTTTGTATTGAGTACATTTGTTTTATTATATTGCTCGCTATATTATATGTAGTATGCATGTTTGCCTCACGTCTGTGGGTACCTGAGGTAAGTAATCCTGTACTCTTTGGGTTATTTATCTGAGGTAAGCGCTGTCAAATTTTGTATATTGCGTCTATTGGTGAAGAAAACCTATAAGTGACTTCATTGTTGTTATCTTGTAGTTGTTTTTTATTTAAATAAGTTGTGGTTTTCCTTTTACTAATATATAAATAAATAAATAGAAATAGTCTTGGATTACAAACTAAGCCATTAATAAAATAGTAACAAAATAGATTAATATTGCTGCACATGAAGCAACAGAAGCAACAGAAGCAAAAATGAACAGAAAACAAAAAGAACAAGGAATGAATGTGTGAAAAACAATGTACAAACTAAATGTAAATGCTTGATTATACAAGTATATACCACATCATTTCTTCTCTCGTTGTTAAATCTGCTGCTTAAATCTCTTGGGACGCTTAGATAGCAGGTGTTTGTTGGCAGGACTTCGAGTGGGACCTGATAGAAGTGGAGTTGAACTGGATCGGCAAAGACGGAGATCTGGGGTTCGAGTTGGCGGGCGGCCGCGACGAGCCCTACTACCCCAACGATAGTAGTATATACGTCACCTCTGTCAAGAAGGGATCGCCCGTTGAGGGGAAAATTATGTGAGTATTGTGCTCTTTTAATGGATTTTTTTGTTTAATGGATGATAATGGAATGGGTTTTTTTTATGGGTGAAAATGGTAACGGTAACTAACGGGATATGCTGGCGGAGCACCAGTGAAGGGTGATAGATGAGAATGAAAACAGGCCAGTTAGCCCATCATGATGAATTCAGCAGGAATTAACCATGATAGTTTCCAGGGAGAACCGCGAGGAGGTCGACCTGGTTGGGTATATTGCTAGCAATGGGATTCTCAGTCTCCATTACTAACAATCCCTTTCCCTCCTAATGGAATGGTTACCCCGCCCACGATAACGGAATACACTGGCAGGGCACCAATGAGGGATGATAGGTGGTAATGAAAAGGCAAGTCAGTTAGCCTATATGATGAATAGGCCTGGAATTCAGCACGATGGTTTCCAGGGGGGACCACGTGGAGATCGACCTGACAGAGTATTTATGATAGATTTGGCTTATGGGTTCTTATGATTTATTTATGTCGTGTCGTTTAGAGTAGACCATGTCCTCTAAAACTGACCATAATATGAAGTCTAAAGTGTTGAGATCTGGGCTAGATGAGGGCTAGTCTTCAGTTCTTATAAAGTCCGGAATGTTGGTTTCAAGCCAGGCTTAGGTAGTTCGTGCCTTGTGACCAGGTGCAGAGTCCTGCTGGAAAGTTCACGGTATATTTTTAAGAAGTGTATTGCTGAGAGGTTTCACAACACGATCCAAGACTGTATCTTGTCACTCTTTGGCTGAAGTTTTTAATCTTTCTTCACAAAAATGCAGTTTTGTGACTCCTTGATAAGTCACGCCCCACCAAACCATCACTGACGTAGAATCATGACCACGTTGTAAAGAGGATATTTCTGTGCCTTTCACCTGCGTATCGCGACAGAAGGCGTTTTGATTGATCCACTCTCTTTAATTGTAAAGATTGATTTATGGCATGTCCTGTACACCGACGATAAGCTCCGAGCTTCAGGTCTTGTTTTATAATACGCGACAGAGTTCTAGCGGGAATATTCATTTCTCGAGATAAGATTTTTTGTCTCCTAATGGGGTTTCGATGAATTCTGGCTTTAACATCATTAACATCCTTTGTAGTTGTAAAAGCACGCGGCCGCCCCGATCTTTTCTGGTTTTCGACAGAGGAAGTGTTGTTGTGTCTGTTGATAGTAAGATATACGAACATACGGCTGATACCAAGCTTTTGAAGTATCTGGAATTTGACCGACGGCTCCATACCCACTTTGTGCAAGACGATCACTGCAATCCTATTTTCTTTAACACCCCATTTTATATTATAATTTGATAACGAACATGAAAATGTATGTGAAATAACGCGAAATAGAAAGAAGTTTTTAAAATAATAAATATGTTCCAAATTCAAAATATTTTAAAAGTTGAAAAAAGATAAGTTTTTATGTAACAGTGTTTATGGCCTGACTAGTTATATAACGCCGCATGCCATTAATTCCGGGGTCAGGTGTGGTTACTTTGTCGATTGCACTATCATCATCATCATATCAGCCTTTAACTGTCCACTGCTGAACATAAGCCTCCTCCTTGGGGGGTTTTGCCAGTAGTTGCCACTCTTGGTAGTCGGATTGGTAACCACAGTTAGACTTTGAAGATGTTTTGAGGAAGACGCTGCTGTCCATCCCTTGCCCTCCCTTAGTCGTCTCTTACTACATTCACGAGAAAAGAAAAGGGGGGGGGGGGCTATTCTATGCCGGAATCACACGGCTAGGTTTACATGCTCCACGTCATGATTCACATTCACAACTCCTCGGATACGTAGAAGCTTATGGTTTATTGAGCGACCGCAAATATGGTTTTCGGTCAATGCTGAATTGGTGATCTAGTGTACCTAACACACCGCTGGATACTTGTTGCTGAGAATAAAAGTGAGGCGTTGACCTATATACGGTAAAAGCTTTCGACCGAATTTGGCACTAAGGTTTCTTGCGAAGTTGCCCTCATGCGGGCTTTCCAAGGAATTGTGTAAAGAGGTCGCCAAATTTATGTCCAGCATACGCATCAAAACTGTGGTCGATTGCTCTGATAGCATGGACATTAACGCTGGCATCTCACAAAGTTCAGTGCTATCCCCATAGTTGTTCCTGTTGTGTCATTGATTTGTTGACTGCAGTCGACGTTCTTTGTTATGCGGTTCCCAGCACTGGAGATGCGTACTACACGGGCCGTGCCAATATCTCTCGTCCCGTTGTAAAGCCTATCCACGAACGGTTTGTGTCTAAAATCGATAGTACTCTTGGCAAAGTCTCCGATTGTGTTAGAATAATTTCAGTCCAATTCAACCCTACTAAGATAAGTTTGCGCGATTACCGCTAAGAAGTGGAGTGCTCGCAAGAACTTCATTCTTTTATTTCACCTTCCCTTTACACACGGTTGACCAACTCTTACGTGACAATGCCGTAATAATGTGGAATGGCTTTTTTCTAGACGTGTTTTTTTCATTCTATAACTTCGGATTGGATATTCAAATGTAGTGTAAAAAAGCACTTAATGAGACGGCATAGTGTGGTTAACCATTGAGAGTAAAATTATTCCTTTTTCGCTTGATCATTTTAGCTTGATATTTGATATTCATGGAACATATTGTGTCAGTATTCGCTCAGGATGGTGTGGTCACATTTTGGGCTATAATAGTAAAAAAAGAAAACTTTATTTGTTGTGGCTTTGTGATTTCGGAATATGCCCGTTATCATTGGGATTCTTGTTGTCGGCATCTCCAGCTTAGTCGAGTTCCGAAGTCATATAAGAAGGACAAAGTAAAGCTGGCGTCTAAAAAGTTCGGAGTGCTAAATTAAGCGAAGCAATACTGAAGCACTGCTTAGTATTTAGAAGTAGTAGTTTGTCCCGACGTTTACCTCGGGACAAGGATTATTATTATCTAAGTCACGGATTCGACCTCATATGGAGTACTGTTCTCACTTTTGGGTGGGAACTCTTGGTTACCAGCTGAGTCCTCTTGATTTGGTTTAAAGGCGTGCAATGACAATTGTCGACGATCCTTGGCTGACAGAGCGAGACTTTGCTTCTGTTTGCATCTTTTACCACCTGTGTAACAGATTGTGTTCTGAAGAACTCTTTGTTATGATGTCTACAGCCACCTTTCACTATCGCACCGCTCGTTATCGTCAGGGAGATGAAATGATGATGAATGAAATGATAGCAAGTTTTATGTGGTTTGTCACAATCATAGCTAGTCATATATTGTAATTTGTATAATAGCTAGTCCTATTCACTATTTGTCACAATCATAGCTAGTCATGTACGCGGTTTGTCATACTGTCAGCGGTAGCGTAGTGCGGACGGAGCCAAGTGAGCGGGTAGTGATAGTGTGTGTGTGTGGGGGTGTGCGCAGGCCGCTGGACCGCGTGGTGGAGGCGTGCTCGGGCTCGCGCTGGGCTCGCGGCGCCGCCCTCGCCGCCGCCCTGCGCGCCGCCCTCGCGCGCGGGCCCGCCGCCCTGCGCCTGCAGCGGCCGCGCGCCGCCCGCCGCACGCTGCGCCTGCCCGGCGCGCGCGGCCTGCTGCTGCACCGCGGTACGTACCCCGCAAACAAAGTCGTTCATTTAAAAAATCCGGCTCGAAGGATCATAAAAAAAATTTGTCCGTTGTCACAGTTATAATGTTGCTATGATATAATAAATTATAGAACTACTAAATAATTGATTATACTTTTTCGTTATATGGTGGAAATGGTAACACAGCTGTACAGTCACAACCTATACAGTATGTTTTAATAAAAAAAACGTTTACAGGTATATTTGTGAGCAAAATAACAAGCGGTAGTCCCGCGGCCAAGGAAGGGAATATATTCGTCGGCGATCGAGTTGTTAGCGTAAGTAACTGATTTATTGTCTAAATAATTTTTATAAACCATTTTAAACAAGGTTCTAAATATGTCTATTTTTTTTCTATGTTACAACATAGTGATAACTTTCTAAGTCGAGCATCTAATGTTAGATGCTCGACACTGTACATGTGTACAGTGATAGACTTAGACCATGATGGATGTAATTAGAATTAGGTAAAATTTGCTTTTTTTTCTTTGTTATTCACATAGATAGATAATTATTTTATTTCTTCAACAGATAAATAATAGGTCGCTAGAGGGCGTTAAGAGCGTATCCGAAGCGATGGCGATGTTGAACGAGAACCAATACGACGTTCTGGTGACTGTAGTAAGGCCGCTGTACCCTTGTTGTGATAGGGATAGGTAAATGCATTTTTATTGTTAATTGCATAAAATCCTAGGTTTGTGAATGCAACTTGCACTTGAACTTAATTATTATGAATACAAAATTATTAATTTGTAAATCGAAATTGTATTTTCAACCGACTTCAAAAAGGAGGCTTTTAATTTGCTTATATTTTTTTTATACAACTTAGAATGACAAACAAGCTGACGGCCCACCTGATGGAAAGTGGTAATTGTCGCCTATAAACATGAGCAGTACCATGGACATAACAGAGTATACTGTTTCCCCCATGATACCCTCCATTTATTGCCATTCCTGAGGACTCAGATGTTATTCCTCTGTACCATGTAAATTCACAGCCATATCTCACCCTTCAAACCGAAACACAGCCATGCAAACATAACTGCTTCACGGTAGAAACATGAATAGAACAGAGGTACCCAAGCAGTCGACTTTTGTACAAAGGATATGCTTTCAAATTATGGTTTGTTAGAAATTTTATGAAAATCGTTTCAGTTTAGTTTTTAAATCAAAGTTATTGGCTTTACTGTGAAATTTGGTATACACGTACCTACAAGGGATAGAGAAGCCTATATACATAACCCGGTCCAAGAAAGAAGTCGCGGGCGAAAGCTAGTACAAATATAATGCCAGATCTCAAATGTGTACTTTACCACATATCTGTCTCAATGTATTGATGAATTCTTATCACATTCTTGTATGGACGTGGTCGATTGTATGGCGTGAAAGTATTTTTGAATTCAAAAACAATAACAAACAGAGATGTAATCTGTAGATTGGCTGAACATATTGTGGTTTGAAGTTACACTTTGAAGACGGTTGTTACTGATTTAATTATTCTTTTTTTATATTTATTATTATCGGAAGGGAAACAATGTTAGGACACTTGAAACGACACGACGAACTTCTGAACATTACAATAGAAGGAAGGGGAAGGGGGAGAGCAAGAAAAAGTTACCAGAGGGAGACTCTACAAAAGTTGATTGCTTGGCCACCTCTGTCCTATTCGTGTTTCAACCGTGAAGAAGTTGTGTTTGCATGGCTGTGTTTCGGTATGAAGGGTGGGATATAGCGTGAATTTACTGGGTACAGAGGAATAGCACCTGAGTCCTCAGGAATGGCAACGCATGGGGGGTATCATAGGCGAAACAGTATACTCTGTTATGTCCATGGTACTGCTCATGTCTATAGGCGACGGTTACCACTTTCCATCAGGTGGGCCGTCAGCTTGTTTGCCATTCTAAGTTGTATAAAAAAAAAGTTTGTATGTACATACCTATTATTGTGTATAGTATCGTTGTTACAAATTGTTCTTTTTTCGGGATTTTTAATTTTTTTTTATATATTGTTTAAAAAAAAAATTTAGATCCTGATTTATTGAAATTCTAACACCAGTTTTAAGCTATTATGTTAATTAACATACTGTATTATTAAATGATTTTGATTTTTTTTATCGAAATATGTTTGTTTTTGTCATATTCTGGTATACTTAAAATTGTATGTTCTTTCTAGGTTCCCAGCGTATGAGCATTCGTATTCGGACAATAAGACGGTGAATATATGTTCGCAAACAGAAGACACGTATTGTGAGTTTGTACAGCCGCCGCCGGACTCGAAGGTAATTTTTTTTATACCACAAAGTTGGTTAAGCATACAGCCCGTCTGATGGTAAACGGTTACTGTAGCCTATGGACGCCTGCAATACTAGGGGTGTTACGGGCATGTTGCCGAGTGAAATGTATATATAAAATACTAGTTTTAACCCATTATTTCATTTGCGATGTTTTATAATAACTCGAATTGGAGAAAGTAGTACACATTTTAAGATTTAATTAAAATTGGCTGAGCGTTTTTGGAGACTAGCGGATACGAACATTTTTTTTAATGGGTGAAAATGGAATGGTAACCCCGCCCACGCTATCGGTATACATCGACGAGGCACCAGTGAAAGATGAGAGGTGAGAATGAATGCAGGTCAGTTGGCCCACCATGATTAATTCGACAAGAATTAACCATGATGGTTTCCAGGGAGAATCGCGAAGAGGTCGACCTGGTTGGGTATGTTGCTAGCAATGGGATTTGTAGTTTCCAAGTCGAACATTGTGATGTGAGGTTTATATATATCCTTTACGCATTTCCAACATTTCCTTCTTTTTTCCCTCAATCCTTTCCTCCAAACCGTAGGTGGTGGAAACCACCAACAAATACATTCCCAAAGAGGGTTGACGTCAGGCAGGCGGCCGGTCGTAAAATTATAAGCTGAATCCTTTAGTAATATGGATAAAATCACCTCGGTGTCCGTCCGTCCATCTGTCACTCAAAACCTAAACCTCTTAGCAACGCGTGGAGGTATCAAGTTGAAATTAATATCATATACTCAGTTCTGCGATCTCTTAAAGCAATGAAAAAATCAAGCTTCTAAATCGACGCAATCAAAAGATACGGCCGTTTATGTTACATTTATATCGCGTATTTTGACATTCGTAGATGGTATCAAAACCTATAGGGTACTTCCCGTTGATCTAGGGTCATGAAATTTGACAAGAATCAACGTCATGTAGCACAAGTATAGAAATAAATCCGAAAACCGTTTTGTAGTTATTTCACGTAAAACAAAAATAATAATTAAAACTTGATGATTTTGTACGGAACATTCGTTGCGCGAGTCCGACTCGCACTTGACCGGCTTTTTTTTATTTATTTAGATCAAACAGTAACACAATACATATCTATATATATACTTATAATAAATCTGTAGAGAGGTCAATTCTGTACATGAAATATATTTCCAAAATAACTATCACGGGGTGATTAATGATTTTTTTAATAGGTGATTTTTTTTTGATGCGTGAAAATGGTATGGTAACCCCGCCTGCGCTAACGGAATACGCTGGCGGAGCACCAGTAAAGGGTGATAGATGAGAATGAAAACAGGCCAGTTAGCGCATCATGATGAATTCATCAGAAATTAACCATGATAGTTTCTAGGGGGAACCGCGAGGAGGTCGACCTGGTTGGATATATTGCTAGCAACGGGATTCTCAGTCTCCATTACTAACAATCCCTTCCCCCTCCCCCGGGCAAAGTGTTATAAATAGGTTTCTAGTATAATTGTTTGTAATCATTATAAATCGGAAACTCGATCAGGTGCACGTGGAGCACGGCGTGCCGGACTTCGACCGGCGGTACGTGTACCACGTGGCGGCCGGCAGCCAGGGCAAGATACACCAGGAGAGGGGTGAGTGCTTCCGTGCTAAGTGATACCGGGCCGCCCACACGACTATGTATATGTATTCTTATTATATATATTTATAATATAGGCCGTGTGATCCCGGCATAGAATAGGCCTTCCTTTCTTATCCCGTAGGTGTCGTAGGGGGCGACTAAGCGAGAGCGAGGGATGGGCAGCAGGGTCCCTCTTAAAATATCCCCAAAAACCTAACTGCGGTTGCCAACCAGTCTTCCAAACATGGAAACTACTAGAACCCTCCCCCCGCCCCCCTTCCACCCAAAAACCTATGTTCAGCAGTGGACAATTAACGGTTGATATAGTTATGGTATGATATTACCATAATGTTACCATAATTATTCTTTTCACAATAGCCCGTTTTATTACGTACTATATGTGCGGTTTCCGCGCTCTGCGCTTGCGCATCGTCAGCATTTCGCATTCGACCGCATTATTTCATACTTCACATTTACACCAGTTCACATTATGTCGTCGATATCACCGCGTGTGCTTATTTTAAATTATTTATAAGTGTTACCACTAAACATTATATGTTCCATCAGTGAGTCTTATTGATATTTAATAAGTGTGTGGTATAACGAAACTGTACAATATATATATATATATATATATATATATATATATATATATATATATATATATATAATCAAGCAAGAAGAGGAAGAACATACATTTTTTTTTATACAACTTAGAATGGCAAACAAGCTGACGGCCCACCTGATGGAAAGTGGTAACCGTCGCCTATAGACATGAGCAGTACCATGGACATACTGTTTCGCCTATGATACCTCTCATGCGTTGCCATTCCTGAGGACTCAGGTGTTACTCCTCTGTAGCCAGTAAATTCACGCCATATCCCACCCTTCAATCCGAAACACAGCCGTGCAACCACAACTGCTTCACGGTCGAAACACGAATGGGACAGAGGTACCCAAGCAATCGACTTTTGTACAAAGGTTTCCTGTGGTAAACATACATACATATCTGTCACGCCTGTCTCCCATTAGGGTAGGCAGAAACAATTAAACGCCAAATGCTTCGATTCAAACAAACCTCTTTCGCTTCTTCCACATTCATCAATCTCTTCATACACGCTCGCCGGTTACGGGTACTTTTAATTTGGCCCTTCTTCAGCACGTCGCCTATTTGGTCGACACACGTCTGTCTAGGGCGGCCCCTACCGACATCTCCATTCATTCAGGAAGAACCTGCTTCCTAATAAAAACCCAGTCATAAAAGGAAGCCAGCTATCAAGGCAAGCTAGAGACCTGTGGGTTAGCCGTTACTGGTGATGAGGACAGAGGGCTAGCCCTGATCCCCCCATCTGAACCCTCGGAGGGCTAAGAGAACTTACGTGCGATCATATGAGGCAACCGGATGACAGCTTTACCTGCCTTCTAAAGCACTTAGCAAACGATAATCTTTTTAAAAGAAAATAGGAATAAGTTCACGATTTTCAACCGACTTAAAAAAAGGACGAGTTTCTTAATGAGTTTGTATTATTTTTATATTTATTGCTTCATAACTCCGTCATTTATAATTTTTTTTTATCGGAAATGCTAATTTGATTCTGATTAAAATTCTATGAATCCAATGTTTATATCCTATCAGATAATAAAAAAAAAAAATTCCAAAACGGTTTATAAACGATGGAGTTATGAGGTAACCAAATTGCATCCTAATTGAGAACGCCCTCTATTTTTGAAGTCGGTAAGAAATCGATAACATCGATTTCCTTACACATACATTCAAAGAAAAGATATCAGGTGAACATTCGAGTTCCTTCTTTTTAGGGTTCCGTACAAAAAAGGCATAAAGGAACCTTTATGGTGCGACTTTGTCCGTTCATCCGTTAGAATGTCTGTCACACCGTTTTATCTCAGTAACTACTGATGGTATTGATTTCAAATTTGGAATAGTTCTACATATTGTTAGCCCACTCATATCGTAATGGATATAAATGAAAAAAAAATATATATTTTTTTTGCTATAAATTTAGATTAAGAAAACCTCTAATAATGTTCTAAATTTCAAAACGGTGCTAATAGTTCAAGTGGGTTATCATATGAAAAGGCTAGATTTGTACATTTTAAGATTGATTTTTTTGCGAGAAAAATACTACAAACAATAATAACTATTACTAAAATTTTTCATCGTGCCTTCCACCAAATTGTTTATAATTACTCCTTTACAACCTAAGGTTGCCTGGAAGAGATCGCTCTTAGCGATAAGGTCGCTCATTGTTTTCTCATTGTGATTATTTCTTGTAATTGTTTATATTTATAATAAGTTTACTATTGTAATCTTTTGGAGGAAACAATAAAGAGTATCTATCTATCTATCTATTACTTGCCAATTTAGCATAAGAGAAGCAGTAAAGATATTGTTATTTCTAATCCATGCACGGGACCCTCGACGCGCGAGTTCCACACGCACATGACCGGTTTCATTTAAAGTAGGTTATTATAACGAAATGCCTCATTGGCAAAATGTAAATAAAAGTCGTTTTGTAAACCAACAATCTCACGTATTGTATTTGTGTTGTTTATGAGAGGTAACGTGAGATAACGCATCACGAGTATACATCCGACATTCTGGAAATTTTATCGCTCGATAAGATGTAATCGATACCGACACTTGTTCCCTCGTATATTACGTTGTTGTCATCATTGCAGGAACGTGGGACATGATTAGGGGGAAATTCGAAGCGGTCACCGGGAGGAGCAAGTCTAAAGACAAACAAAATAAGGTTAGTGATTTAAAATTGATCTGTTTTATTGATCTCTCTACCTATCTATCCTATTTAAGAGTTGCGCTCTTGTCGGTGGAGCTCTTGCTACTCACTACGATTTTCAACGAGTCTCTTCACCTCTTGATACGACACGACACCAGCTCCATCCTTGATCTGCCTGATGTAACTATGTCTCGGTCTCCCTCTTCCCCTCCTTCCTTCTATCTTACCTTCTATTATAATGTGCATAAGTTCGTCGTGTCGTATCAAGTGTCCCAACATTTTTCCCCTTCTGTCCTCAATAGTTTTTATAATTTGTCTCTTTTCCTTAACCCTAAGCAGAATCTCGTCATTACTAATTCGTTCCTATTGATATAGGTGTTATATATTACGGAAGTCCATATCATTGGTCATTTAATTAGAAGTATTTTGTTTAATTCCGCTACCATTAGTATGAGTGCGACTGCCAACACTAGAAGATTGACATCCACTTACAACCAAAAGTTTTACAAACTTCCATATTAGACATCAATCTTCGACTGCCGTTCCATGCAAAACGTGCGTGGACGGAATTAAACGAAACAATTCTTATCAATTTACAAATAGATTTATTTATATCTTTATTCTTGTTATAAACTTAGATTATTTAGATAGAGCATCGAGCCTCAAAAACGGGTCAAATTTTTGTCAGCCAATTGTCAAATTAGCTGACTCGTTTTTGTTATCAGTTTATATATATATATATATATATATATATATATATATTATATATATATAATATTTATGCATGAAATGTATCTTGACGTATTATTTAATAAATAAAATGAGTGTTTACGCATTAAAACGATGCAGAAATTATAAGACAAAATAATTATAGAAGTTATAACGGAATCAATCATAACTATTTATCACGTAAAATTGTATGAAAAGGTAAAGCTGTTTTCCTCGAAGCATTTCTATGGAGACACTCTATCTATATTCCATTATACATTTCTTATATTTTTAAATAATTCGAGTCACCATTTAATTAATCACAATTGAATGAATGAAGATTAATGATAACCTAGATTAATTACTATTAAGATAAATTTGATTCTCTTTATTGTATGTATGTATTCTCTTATTGTTATTTTAGAAAAAATCCATTTATATTAAAATTATCCGTACCAAGCCGGGTCGGATCGCTAGTATTTTATATTAGCAATAATAGGTGTTTGATACTTTATGTTATATTATTGTAATTTTCATAGGGGTAATATATATATATATATATATATATATATATATATATATATATATATATATATATATATATATATATATATATTTTATGGATGATAATGGAATGGTAACCCCATCTGTGCTATCGGTGTACGCTGGCGGGATACCAGTGCGGGGTGATAGGTGACGATGAAAGCAGGTCAGTTAGTTCATCGTGACAAATTCTACTAGAATTAACCACGATGGTTTACAGAGGGAACCGCGTGGAGGTCGACCTGATAGGGTGTATTGCTACCAATGAGACTATTAGACTATATTATTAACAATCTCGTCCCCCTGTGAAAGTGAGTTTGAGAATTTGGTATACAAGTACCTGCTATATGGGGTGAAGAAGAACATAGGCAACCTTTTATTCCCGCCAGTGAATATATTATGAGCACGCGGACGAAGTCGCGGGTAGAAGCTAGTGGCACAGTATAAGTAATACTACTAAAGTACAATATGGGCAATAAAGAATGAAACAACAAAGAGTATCTATTTATATGTCTATCTATCTATCTATCTATCTATCTAACGTCATAGCTTAATCCACATTATATAATACATCGAAGCGCGGGCTTTTCCCACGCTATCCCTAACTACATACACACGCACACATTGCCACGTGTACAGACGTTACTTGTTCCTGTAGTTGTGACAGTCGTGGCGTTTTTTATTTTATGAAGTGTCCGAAGCGAGCCAATAATAATTGTTAATATTTATTTGAAAAAATCCTTTTAGATCTCTATATGACGCACATTTGAAGTTTTTTTTTTATTGGATGATAATAAAATGGTAAATGATGTGTGTGTGTGTGTGTGTGTGTGTGTAGTGAATTTGATTATATATATAATTCTATGCACTTATACATATGTATATATATTTATCTATTATATTTATTTATTTATCTTATTTACGTATTTATTTATTTATATATTTATTCACAATTTGTGTTTGTTGTATTAACATTATTTTCACCGGTACCTTTCCTGCACTGGATTATCCAAATTAAATTATTTTCTCTCCAACTACACTGGGTTGGCTGGAAGAGATCTTTTTCAGAGATAAGCCCTCCCTTGCTAACAAGTTGTTAAACTAATCGCTATATGTTCAAGTGCTATAAAGAATATATATATACAGCCATCTAGTGGTTATATTTTTACAGTAATATCTTGTACAATGATAAATGTTAAGAAATTTATTAACATAGTTATATAATCTATTACTGGGATAACAAAAAAAAATTTTTTGCAAAGGATGTTCTAAAGGACTCCATTTTACATACATTATAGTATCTTCTAGTAAGTTTCGTATTTGTAGTATGTTGACGAAGTGTAGTCATTAAAATAAACAAACATTCACACGGCAATATATGTATATGATGGCGTTGCTACAGGTACCGGAGACGGACGCTATCGCGGAGTTGGACTCCGTTATCGACAGTTATCACGGGAAGAGCGGTGAGTTTGTTTACACTGATCTCTCGCAGCGATGTCAATAACATTGTTTGGAAAGATTTTAGAATGAAAGATAGAAAGAAAAAAAAGCTAACTTTATTTTACAAAATATTCGACAACACACACATACGAGTAAAAAAAAATTATTGAAAATTATAATAAACTACATAAAAAATATGAATTTAGAAAAAAAAATCATATAACAGTTTCATCCAAAATGAGTGTGTGTGTATGCGTCGTAATATTTGCAAAATGAGGTCCGTGCTCAGTATGTTGTTGTAGTGTCAGGGGCGCTACATCACTGATTTTGAGCACGAGCCTCTGCAACCCACGAGGTCCTAATAATAACAATTTGGATAACTTTGACCAATAGAGTGATGTGCTTAAAATGCAAAATAAAATGCTAGACTTTTGTAATGCTAGATTCTGGTTTATTATAGGTATATTTCAGAATTGGCATCGATTTATAATTGTATATTTCATTTTACAGTTAAAGAAACTAGCAGTGTTTTAAAACGCTCACGGAGAAAAAATAAGGAGTCCCAAAATGACGCTAAAAATGGCGGTACATGGCCTAAAGCGAGAGCCAACTTCAATCTAGAAGAAAACTCTACCGGAACAATAGTTCAGCCGAGGTCTAGGAAAGAACGACTGCCGTTATCCATACTGTTCAGTCCGCCAACCAAGTTGCCGCCGGAACCGCAAAGATCGAATACCAACAGAAATTCGAACCCCATACCGTTAGGTCACGCCCCGCTAACCCAAGTGACAACACCAGCGCGGCATTCTATGTACAAATCTATAGAATCCACTCCAGCAATCGAGCACTTTCCCAAACCCGCCCCACTGACAATCCATAACCCTTTTGCCTCACCGAACAGTATGAACTTCGAGAAAATTCGAACGTTGGAAAAAGACAAAATATCCATGAGTGATTATTCAGATCACGACATGACCCCAAACCGCTTAAGTTTAGTATTAAATCCGTCCGACGATTCGCTAGACTATCAACCGGTCGCTCGTAGCCGGACGAAAAGTCCCCACTCGTTAGATTTCATAGTGAACAAAGGGCCGAGCTCCCTAGATTTCGTGTCGAGAAAATCTCCCAGTTCACTGGAGCACTCGATTAAAAATCATCCAGGAAATGATTTACTGGACCAGTACTATTCCTCAAAGAAGTCCTCGTCGCCGAAAACTGTGAATAAGTATCCTTCAGACAGCGATAGTTTCGGGCCGGATAGTTTGAACAGCAACCCGAACTATCCAATGACTGGAACCCTGCCGAGTCAGTCGCGTCTTCAATCTCAGTACTATAGGGGACCGTTTGCGAACTTACACCCTTATACATCTAGTCGCTATCCCCACCTGGCAAGTCCTACGAATATACCGCAGAGCCAGTCGGGGGAGAGCATAGGTACTAGTTACGATATGCACTCATTCACGTCCCATACACATAACATGTCAGATCTTCAGCCGGTGCCGAGGACAGGCCGCGTCGGGGATTATCATCATACATACGAAGGCGGTACGTTTCCAAGGAAAAAGGAAAACCAGAGGTTTCGTGTCCCCTCCAATCCTAGTGTAACGTCCAAGAATTCCGCAGGGAAGTTGAGCACAGGATCTATCGAAAGAAGTTCTGAAAGGAATTCACCAATGCCGACATTTCACGTGGAAGTTTTAAGTCCTGGACACGGTGCAAAGCAATTGACGCACAAGGGCACAAGGAACTCTATGCCGGAGTATTGTGGGATTGGTTTAGACAAACCTTTGCCTGGAGAACTGAGGAGGGTACATATAGACAAGAGTCAGCAACCTCTCGGTATTAAAATAGATTGTCCACCTAGGAGTGGCGGCGTTTTTGTATCGACAGTAAACGAAAATTCCTTAGCTAGTCAAGTAGGTTTACAAGTCGGGGACCAGTTGTTAGAAGTTTGCGGTATTAACATGCGATCGGCGACATACTCTCTCGCAGCGCAAGTGCTGAGACAAATTGGCAATTCTATAACCATGCTCGTGCAATATAGTCCAGATAAATATAAGGACGAAGTCGAGGTGCCTGGTAGCTCGTCTTCTCCAGAAAGTTCCCACGAGGACGACGTTTCTCTGTCTGGGTCTCCAACACCAAGAAATTCTCCTGGACCGCAGCAGTCTATTCGAATGGAGACGCCATCTAGTGAGGTGGCCACGTTGAGGCAGTCGTCAGGGAACAAGGACCTGCCGAAGTTTCTTCGGATAGACATGCGGAACTGTTCCGACCTGGGTATTAGTTTGGTAGGCGGCAACGCAGTGGGTATATTCGTACATAGTGTGCGTATAGATTCGCCGGCGTATATCGCTGAACTAAGGACTGGTGATCAGATCTTGGAATACAATAACGTGGATCTCAGGCATGCTACGGCCGAGCAAGCCGCACTAGAGCTGGCCAAGCCAGCGGATAAGGTAATTCAGTATGCTTGTAATTTCAATATGCTAGTTAAATTCATGTTCTGATCGATATCTTCCTTTTGAATATACATTCAAAGAGTTAAAGCAATGTTGGTAATAGAATGTCCATTTGGTGTATCAATAAATAATTGGAATATCAAAGTTATTCAGCTGTTGATGAACGAGCTTCGTGACAGATATCCATATTTATTATGTTGTATAAAGGTCCATTTGCTTGGCTAGAGTGGTAATAATAGATAAACTTCCGTCTTTGAAGAGCTCGTCATCAAAGTGTTGTTTCTAAAACTCTTGGCATTATTACACCATGATACAATTGAATATTACTGCAACTTGATCTGATGTGGTTGTTTAATATTGCTATTCCTCCAGGTGAACGTGATAGTTCGTCACGATCTCCAGCAATACCACGAGATAAAGGATAAGCCGGGTGACGCGTTCTACATCGAGCCGGGTTCGACCGCTGCAACAAGTTCACGTCCAACGGCATGGACACGCTGGACGAGTACTCGCTCTGGTTCAGGAAGGACGAAGTGCTGTTCGTCGACAACACGCTGTACAACGGCGCCCCCGGTCTCTGGCGTGCTTGGCAGCTCGACTGCAAGGGGATGAAGCGACAGTGGGGGACCATACCCAGTAAATTCAAGTAAGTAATTTGACGCCAAAAGTGGCCGTGGTAGGAAGGACGTTGCGGGATGTGGATAGTATAATGAGTCAAGGAGAACTACGCCTCCATGCTTTATTACATATTATGTACCCTAATATTACTGATTGAATGCTGAAAAAAAAAAAACTCCCTAATGCCCGGACTAAACCTGGACTAATAGCTCGAGATTTAAACTAAATCTAATGTTAATCTATAACATAAATTTGACTTTATCTTAAAGGCAGAACTAACAGAAATCTACTTAATAGCTGGATTAGATTGTAGATCTTTCCACAGATTATATACAGTAATCATTCATTCATTTCGGCGTCAATCAATAGTATGTTTCGTTTTACCAGAAAACTGATATTTTATATAATGGTTTTTTACTTTAAAATAATGTTTATAAAACTGAAATGTATTTGTACATAATGTTTAATTATCCATTATTACTATTTAAATAGTATATGATATATTTTTGTCATTGTAATACATATTTTTTTTATAATTATTAGTTATCGCCATTTCGTTGCAATTGTATTATATACAGTATTGTAAAACGGAATATAAATTCAAATAATTTATGAAATACACTAATTTATCAGTCAGACCTTTCAATTTAGGTCAATATATATATAATATATATATATATATATATATATATATATATATATATATATATATATATATTTTTCGTTTTATTGCAAAAATGAACATAACCAGTAAAACTAGGTATTTCGGAGGCCCATCTTCAGACCATGGATATTCCATGGTTTAATTTGATAAAGTTGGTTTTGAAATAAGCATTGATTTAGTCTGTGGTTTATTCCAGTATTATTTTTAGTCTGCATTTTGTAATAAGACAGTTATAGTGAAATATGGAGTTGATGGTTTAGAGAATACGAGGAAGCCGGCGGGGGGAGTGTGGTGTGTGTAGCGTGTGTATACTCGGTCCGTCCGCAGGGTGGAGGAGCTGCTGCGGCGGTCGCTGGGCCCGCTGGAGGCGGACTCGCGGCGCGCGCTGACGACGGCGCGGCGCTCGTTCTTCCGCCGCAAGAAGCACCGCGACAGCAAGGAGCTGGCCTCCTTCTCCAACACCGAGCTCGGCTGCTGGAGCGACTCGGGCGCGCTCGCCGACGACCTGCCGCTGCTCTCCTACCAGCGCGTCGAGCGCCTGCACTGTCAGTACGCGATACACGCACGCGCACGCGCACACACGCACGCACACGCACGCACACACACGCACGCACGCACACATACACACAATCTTCATACTTCTGCATTTCAACCATTAATAATTCCTAAGCAATAACAAGTATGCAGGTGGCTTAGGATCGTTTCTTATGGTAGTCCATGGAAGTTGCTTATGTTCAAGAGTAGACAGATAATGGCTGAAGTGATGATGATAAATAAGAAGTGTTAAAAACTATTAAATCTTATTTTAAATATGTAATCATGACGCGATGTAAATTCTTTTGCAGGTAAATAGTGCTTATATATAAAGAAACAGGTATGTTTTTACTATTTACCTGTAAAAACATCGCGTTAAGTCCCGATTGTGTATTTAAAATATGTGTAAACAACGCGAAAGTTTAAAATTAACTTTTAGATTATTTTAAAAGTTCGATGGTTAATTTCGACGCAGCTAATATTATGGTAAGCTTCGGTATGAATGAATACTTTTAAACCTTATTTTAGATCTGGGATTGCTAACGGAGCAGGGTACGTTAAAGTTGTTAGTGTGACCGCAGACGGCAGCCAGCGGCCGGTGGTGGTGCTGGGCCCGCTGCGCGAGTGCGTGGCCGCGAAGCTGGTGTCGGACTGGCCGCGCGTGTTCGTGCTGCCGCAGGAGCCGCGCCCCGCCTCGCACGCCTCGCACCTCGACTGCATCCCGCTGCAGGCCATCCGCGACCGCGCCGACAAGGTACCGCCTCCTACCGACCTCCCACCTCCACTGCATCCCGCTGCAGGCCATCCGCGACCGCGCCGACAAGGTACCGCCTCCTACCGACCTCCCACCTCCACTGCATCCCGCTGCAGGCCATCCGCGACCGCGCCGACAAGGTACCGCCTCCTACCGACCTCCCACCTCCACTGCATCCCGCTGCAGGCCATCCGCGACCGCGCCGACAAGGTACCGCCTCCTACCGACCTCCCCGCGCCGACCTCCACTGCATCCCGCTGCAGGCCATCCGCGACCGCGCCGACAAGGTACCGCCTCCTACCGACCTCCCACCTCCACTGCATCCCGCTGCAGGCCATCCGCGACCGCGCCGACAAGGTACCGCCTCCTACCGACCTCCCACCTCCACTGCATCCCGCTGCAGGCCATCCGCGACCGCGCCGACAAGGTACCGCCTCCTACCGACCTCCCACCTCCACTGCATCCCGCTGCAGGCCATCCGCGACCGCGCCGACAAGGTACCGCCTCCTACCGACCTCCCACCTCCACTGCATCCCGCTGCAGGCCATTCGCGACGTTGCTTTTTTCAAACAAAAGTTGTATTTGAACCAATAAAAATTAAATGAATTTCGATTATTATATGGTTAAATTTAAAGGTTAGTTTACAACACTATTGTTCCTCTCACAGGGCATTCACTGCATCCTGGATATCAGTGTGGCGACAATAGAGAAATTACATAAGCAGCAGATCTACCCTATAGTGCTGTTTATAAAGTTCAAGTCTGTCAAACAAATCAAAGAAATGAAAGACACGCGATACCCCTCGGAGAAAGTATCCGCGAAAGCTGCTAAGGAGATGTACGAACATGGGCTGAAGGTCGAGAATGAGTATAGAAATTACATATCGGGTAAGTTTTTGTGCATATAAAATTAATACTATAATAAAAATTAATACTATAATATAAAAAAATATAATCCTCAGGAATGGGGGGACGCATGGGGGGTATCATGGGCGAAACAGTATACTCTGTTATGTCCATGATACTGCTCATGTCTATAGGCGACGGTTACCACATTCCATCAGGTGGGCCGTCAGCTTGTTTGCCATTCCAAGTTGTATAAAAAAAAAAAAACAACTAAATAAATCCCTATATAAAGCTGCCTTGTCCACCAAACGCTCATGATATTTTCTTTTTGTCTTTCAATATTTAGCCTAAAACCATGTGATCCCGGCATAGAATAGGCCACCTCTGCCTTTCCTGTGTATGTTCTAAGAGGCAACAAAGGCAACTTAATGATAGAGGGATGGACAACAGCGTCCCTCTTATAATATCACCAAAGCGTAACTGCGGTTGCTAACACGCTTACTAAGCATGGCAACTATTGGTAAAACCCTTCTTACGTGGGAGGTCTATGTTCATCAGTGGACAGTTAATGACTGATATGACGATTCAGCTAAAAAGCACTGGAAGAATAAATGGTTTGTTGGAATGTAAAACTTAAGTACTAATATTTGATATTAACTGTTAATCTCATATAAAAAAAAAATTATAATTAGTGATATTTGGTCCTTCGGTTCGAATAAGTACTCTGAAGAATAGTCATGTCGCTTTTAAAATGTAGAACATGTGTTTTAACATTAATAAATTTTTCAGCGGAAATACCAGCGGGCGTGAATATTGCCTACATCTGCACGCAGATCAAAGAAGCTGTCGAAGAGGAGCAGAACAAGACGCTGTGGGTGCCGTCCGTGCAGGCCTGACCTTTGCCCCCCACACCGCCGCGACACAAGTCCGTCACCTTCTGCTCGCACTGTAAGTACCATGAAGACAAGAACTCACCGTACAACTCCTCCGACGTGGACATCAGATACTATTCCGACCCGGGCCGCGACGTTCCCAAATCAAAACCGAAAATCAAAAAGAAAAAGGAGCAAACCAAAAGCGACTCTACCGATAGCGACTTAAAGTACTATTCCGAACCGGACGCGAAAAACTACTTCGAAATCGACTACGAGTTCCTCAAAGAGTTGAGACGAATTGCGCGCAACAATTGCCCGAAGTGTAAACGCAAGCGGTCAAGAAAAAGCGCCGATTCCAAACAGTCGCAGGCTAAGTACTCGAAGAGTAAAACGAAGCCGAGAAGCGTGCGGGTCAAAGAGACCTACGTGTACTGTAATGGACGGTACCACAGTGACAAAGAACACTGTCAGCTTTGCTGTCGGGTGTGCAACAAATCGACTGAAACCCTCGATTCGATAGAGGACGATCAGTACTCGCTTGTCTCGAGAAGCTACAGCCAGCCATCGAGCAAAACCGGCAGTTCTCGTACGAAAAGTGGCCAGAGGAACACGTCGCGGGAGCGGAAGAATTCCGTTCAATCGATAAAATCGGTCTCGTTTCTCGAATCGAGCAACGACGAGTCTAAAGACGAGACCAACTACACAGCGAAGAGTTTCACCAATGATCTGAAGAAGTTTTTGCTAAAACCGTCAACGCCGCGGCTCAGTTTGCGCGACAAATTCATTATCAGTTTCAAGCAAGAGTTCGAAGCTACCAAGAAATCGCCAAAACTCAAAGCCATAAAAGGCTTGTGGAAGTCGTATTGAGGTCGCACACGAGGATGCTAAAACGTAATTATAAGATGTGACGTTCTATTTATTAATTCTATATTTAATTTGGTGCTTTATTTGAACTTTCATTGTTTTATAAATCAACGCAAGTGTTCAGAAATGGTCTAAAAGTGTAAATTACCAAGGTTTCGGTGCTAAGACTTGTAAGCTGAAAGTTTACAAACTATATCCTTGTACATTATCGCACGGTTACGTGTCTTTTGATGTATCTATACGTATTGGAATGACAATGAAATTAAGGTGGTGCAATAATGCAGAGTGGCCTGTGAAACGGTTCATTTTGGGAGGCGAATAGATTTTCCATTTGCAAATAAACCTTTATCATATGACATATGACAAATTTACTATTATATTAATATAGGTCTCCTAGCAAAAATTTTTTAATCTACTATAGAATGTTTAGAATGCAAAGGCATCTCCAATCGTAGTCGATATTGACTCAATCAAACTTTTAGTCGAAATCCGCCATCTTTATTCGGTAGTAGTCCATCAGAATTTTAATATATCAAAAGTTTTAATATATTTAGTACTAAGTATTTCTTACAGTAGTATGGTACAATATAGGGAGAAGACTGTCAGATATATAGCTATGTTATTGTAGATTTGTTTTTAATAGATCGAAACGTATTTATTTATAGTTCAAATAGTATGCAAATAGTATATAGGGTGTTAATAAAAGGGCATTGCAGTCCGAAACCTTGCAACGTCTGTTATACTACAGTATGGTACAACAATATAGTTATTCCTTGCCCCTCTCTCGAGTTGACCTCACCCCCGCCTCTGTAACTTAAATTCCGCCGTTCGAAATTATATCGTTTCAGATTCTCACATTTACTATTGGAATGTAGAATGTAAGCAAGCTTGGTGGCAGAAAGCGGTGGGTCAGAGGTACCTACAATTAGGTACATATCACAATACAACCGTCCAATCTGACTACCCCTTGTTGGATTACAGTCGTGAATATATATTTATTTCGTCGTTCTAATATATCAGTAGTCTATGACAGCGCCATCGCGAACCCTCATTTTATCACTATATTTTTTTTATGGGTGAAAATGGAATGGTAACCCCGCCTGCGCTAACGGGATACGCTGGCGGAGCACCAGTGAAGGGTGATTGATGAGAATGAAAACAGGCCAGTTAGCCCATCATGATGAATTCATCAGGAATTAACCACGATAGTTTCCAGGGGGCACCGCGAGGAGGTGGACCTGGTTGGGTATATTGCCAGCAATGGGATTCTCAGTCTCCATTACTAACAATCCCTTTCCCCCCGTGTATCACTATGTTAGGGAACATTAGTAAATGTATAAATGTATCTACAACTAACTAGATATATTGTTGTGTTTATTACATTAGTATTGTAGACAAATATATCAAGTTTTATATAGTCACTTTACAATCGCACTCTAATATTAGCAATGTACTGCTAAAAATATACTGGAATTATACTTTCGATTACCTCGTACAAGTTTGTTTGCAAGGAGAATTCTATATTATTACATACATTTATTTATTTAATAATGAAATAAAACTGTTCATTTGAAGTTTTGATTTATTAAATTTTTATTTAATTTAAATTTAAACAATTTTAATTCAAATCGATTACGAGCTCTTTTGCATCGTCATTTTTTTTTAATCGACTGCAGGGTTCAGGAAGTTGTATTTAACCCTTCGAGTGTCGACGAGCGCCATCGTGCTCGTGCGCATTGCAACTAAAGGTGCCACGAGCGTCATAGCGCTCGTGAAGTCAGTCGCTGTTTAGCTTGCTGTAAAAAAAAATATTAAAATTGGATAATTTTTGGAGGAGATACAGTTTTTTTTTAGAGACAATGGTAAATGATATTAACACGACAAAGATTTCTTTGGAATTTTTAAGTAGATATGAGTAAAAATCAATGGCACTTAAAGGGTTAAAGAAAAGGTCGCGGAGAAAAGCTAGTGAGTGAGTCAAACCGCCTGCCAAACGTGGCAACTGCTGGCAAAACCCGCCATGTTGATGTTTGATAGTTAATTGATAGAAAAAGTTGATATTATGAGATGGGTCATGAAGAGTCAAGGAACCTATAAGCGGAGACAACCAATTTTTCCAGTGTACCAGTCAGTTTTCCAGTCCTATTTATATTAAACAAGATGATTTAAGATGTTCTCCTTGCAAACGTACTTTTAGAATAAAACGAGCGGCCAAATTGTATGAATTCTAACGCTGTGCTATGCAGTGGAGGCGTTATTCGTTTATGTATTTATATATTTGTTTTTTTTTTCGTGACAAATGACTGAATATTGCAAGTCCACTAGTGGGATTGCATTGTGGATAGACTTTTAAAAAGGTAATATTTGTTGTTGCTTCAAAACTTCGTCGTTTATAAACGGATTTGTGGTTTTTTGTCTGAAAGATACTTTCAGTTTGGTCCCATAGGAATTTCATTAAAATCGTTTCTGTAGTTGGTTGGGGAAAAAAATGTTTTGTCACGATCGACGTCGGTTTTTGTTTGTTTTTTGACAAATCTACTTGTTTATCTATATTAACTTACCCTAAGAGTCGCATGTTCATTGTAAATTAAGTTTTAAGCGACTTCCAAATAAGGCGATACTTGGTTCGTTTGATTTTGCAAGCTACGCGATCACGTCGCCAATTCTGAGTCGATTTTCATGGTTATTTTGCGATCAGTAGAGTTTATTCCCATCTTAGCCTTATAATTAGAGATGACTGAATCTGTTATTTTTTTTTCGGAGTATAAAAACTTTGCTGCAAAATATTTAGTATTTGTGTGATATAGAACGGGACAGCAACGTTTCAGCAGGGTGCGTCATCGAAAACGTATCTATCGATTGTTTTGTTTATTTTCTAAGGGAGTCGACTTGAAGATATCTGTATATATTAATATGATTCCTGATATTATTGTTATTATAAAACAATTTTTTTTATAACTGGTATATAAATACTACAGCATACAATTTAGAATTTGCGTGTGCGCAGTGTAATTCCACTTTATATTCCTACCCCCTTATTCATAAAAACGTCAAACTATTCATAAACCTATTTTAGCTACTGAATTGTTTTGTCTCTTTCTTTTTTGCTAAATTCTCCATTTGAATGAAAGCGACAAAACAGCGTAATAGTTAAAATATGTAAATATAAATTTTTGGGAAATTATTTTGTTTCATTCTGTTGCCATTATGTATGCGTGCGACTGGCAACACTCGTGAGATTGACCAATACTACCGGAATTTTCACAACTTTCCATATTAGCCGTCAATCTCCGACTGCCATTTTGTTCACGCACGTTTTGCCACTTTTTATGAATAAGAGAGTTAAATTATGAAATGTACAGGAATGAATTGGAATTGGGTAGGCACATAACACTAAAGATCTATCCTAATTTTCGTGAATTTAAATTTTAAAAACAAAATATTCGAGTCCCCGTACTAATTAAACAGTTAAACGGTGAGGTAACTCATGAAGGGAGGCTCAAAATTTTTTGACCTGATTCGTTGTTTACAAATAATTGTTCAGCTTTGCTAGTAAAACGCTCCCTTCAAAAGATGCTAGCTTCGATTCGGCCCAGTATATACCAGTCCGTCTTTAGTGTACGAGCTTTTAAGACGTCCATATTCGATTCTGAGGGCCTACCATGCAATGTTTTCCGAAATTTCGGAGTCAAACGAAACATAAATTTGATGTTAAAATTACATTATTATACATGCCGTTTGGAAATGTTAAAATGTTAAAATGTCGTTCCTTTGGACTTTTATGATTGGATGTATGAGGAACGAAATGTTAAACTCTATTTATTGATTAGATTTTGGTATAAACAAAAACACGAAATTGAGTCCGAAATTTCGGAATTTCATTTCATGGTAGACCCGCTGGTTGCTCAGTTGCGTCCGTTAATCGACTGACTGATTGGGCATTTTTATATACTATATGTAAATTATAATATATATATATATTTTCATGAATTTTTATTATACTGTTTCAAATTGTATAAACAAAAAATGATATTATTTATAGAATTATTAAATGTATTTTATGATTTAAAATCATTTTTCTTATGATATGGCCTAAGTGTTCTATAGGGGTTATTACACTATAATTAGCGGCTTCTAGGATCATATATATGATAATGTAATGTGATCCACTTTTAATACCGGTAAATTTAATTGCAAGATATTGTACCTATATTTAGGGACATAATCGACTGAGTTTACTTACCGCTTCCACTCGGTATTTATTATTTACTAGCGGCCCGTTCCACGGCGTCGCACGGGTGGACATTTTTACATTTCAAAAAGTGGCCATTAAGGTTGCACACGCGATGGAAGCTTAAAAATGGAGTAACTTCTCCCGTTTTCCCAACATTTCCCTTCACTGCTCTGCTCCTTTTGATCGTAGTGTGATGAAAAGTATACTATAACCTATTGATCGTAAAATCGTGATGTTTTTGTTTCTAAAAGTATACTATAATCACTAATCGTCCATAGTTATTTTGGAAATATATTTCATGTAGAGAATTGACCTCTCTACAGATTTATTATAAGTATAGGTAAATGTATGAAGAATAATTGTACCAAGTTTCGTTAAAATCCGTCGAGTAGTTTTTGTTTCTATAACGAACATACAGACAGACAGACAAAAATTTTACTGATTGCATTTTTGGCATCAGTATCGATCACTAATCGCCTCCTGATAGTTATTTTGGAAATATATTTCATGTACATAATTGACCTCTCTACAGATTTATTATAACTATAGATAAATGTACACATGGTCCAATATATTATCATATATACGCTAGTGTAATAAATCCTAGTTATGTGCAGATAAAAAAAAATATGTTTTCTCTGAATGCAGTTGTATTTGATATAGATTTTTAATTGAATTTGTATACAAAATGTTTTAAGGTTCAGTGACGAATTGTTTTAGACAGGACAATTTGTATTGTATACTGTCGTCGTCATACTCGGGAACGCTTGTACTAATGGTGTAATTTGAAGTGTCATCGACTTTGTGTTCGTGTAGGTGATATTGGAAATATTGAGAGCACGACGTCCAATTGTTTCTGCAGATGTTAAAAGGCAGGCAATAGTGATCTCATTGATATTAACGTGTTACAAGACTATTTTAAGTTTTTTTTTTAATTTTTTTTTTTTGTAAAGATTTGATACAATTTTACGTTACGTTTAATGCTTTTTGATTTATTAATGACGGCTTAACGCTTTTTGTTACAGTCCATTTTTGTGTTGGCAGTTTTTTTTTTTTGCGACTTTTGACCGCACCGTTTGTTGTTCGCGCAAAAATATTGCACAACGTGTAATGAAAATTATACTTTGTTGTAATCGTTTCGTTTTATAATTTTATCCTATTCAATGTGACTTGAATTGAGGTCGCGACGAACAGACGTCAAATTGACGTTTCTTAATTTATATTTGACGTGTGTTTAGTGTGATTTTAATCTGATACCGAATCTATTGAGGCGAAAATATTATAAATATTAGAAAATAAACAATTGTATAGTTTTGAAGAGGTGTTTGGGGTATTGTATGGACAATGACGATGGTTTTATAGCGGCTGTTTATTATATTTTTGCTATTCTGTAGTTTAAGTTAATATTTGTAATAAATTTTTGTCATAGCCGCATGAAAGCTTAGATAATTATGTTTAAAATGTTACAAATTTGTATTTGTTTTGTATTGTAAAATGTTTATTGTGCATCACATTGGACACATTAAAAAGATTTGTAAAGACAATGGCGAAATTATCCAATAGAGGGCGCCAGTGAAATTTTGTAAAATTTTTAAATTTAATATCTCAATTTCGTTATTGTGTAACAGTGTGGTTTCCATAGTAACTTTTGTTTCTTTTAAACTGTTTTTTTTTTTTTTAATATACCTTTTATATGAGTGGCCGCTCAAGACATCAGCTGAAAATGTCAACTTTACCCATACACTTCTGTACTCTCTTTAATGCTAGAAGCTGTTCGAATGGTCGGTCAAATGGTCATACCTTTTATATGCCTTACTAACATGTGCCAGCATTGCTCGAGCTATAAGTTATTGTAAAACGCATAAAAACAATAATAGTTACCATATTATAATTCTGTTTAAAATACAGCACAACAGTTCAAAAACAATTTAGTTATGTTCAAGCCAGACGTGTGAAGGTATGCGCAGACGAGGGATAACTTGTCCACGGACATCAAAATGCCTTTGTAAAAGCTTAAAATGTACGTAGGGGATCGTCTTTAAAATTTATCATTTATAATACTACATGTATTTCTCGTTTCATTCGTTCAAACGACTTCAATATTTCCTCCCTATCAGAGCCAAAATCATGGTGGCTCAATTTTTTTTTATACTACTGAGGCCACCTCTTTTTTTGACTCCGCCTAATATATTTGAAATTTCACTTATTTTTTATACTGTGGTGGCAAACAAGCATACGGCCCACCTGATGGTAAGCGGTTATCGTAGCCTATGAACGCCTGCAATACCAGAGGTATTACGCGCGCGTTGCCGACCCTGAAGAAACTTCTTTACCCCTCTTTTGAAGAACCCCATGCTGTAGTCTCTTGGGAAAACCTCAATCTATCCTGCTTTCTATTCTGGATATATCTTACCTCCGTTCCCGGTTTTGTATTCTGCTTCTTCCCTTACGTCCCAGACGTGCTATCTAGACCCTACTTGTAAGACATTTTTTTGTTTTATATATATATATATATAAAGCAAGTTACATAGAAGTTAGACTGTCCTCGGATATTTAAAAGCCTGTTAGAGGATTGGCATTTGGAGTATGGGGTTCTTCAAAAACACACCCCTGGTGTTGCAGGCATCCATAGGCTACAGTGACCGTTTACTATCAGACGGGGTGTATGCTTGCTCGCCACATTTGTGGTATAAGAAATCCTTCAATAAAATGAAAAAGTGTTTACTTGAGCAGGTTTGATGCAACCGTTTGTCGAATTTGCGGTCCACGTACATATATATTTTATAATCACTTACCTTTAGGTAGCTATGGAGTCAATGTATCGTGCCAGTATAGAAAAAAGGAGGTACATATATGAATATAGGAATTTTTATTAGCGGACAAAATGTCCCTCGTCTGCGCAAACCGTAGTCTCGTTTCGACTGTTTTAGTAATTTAAGCACGTGTCGAGGGATTTAGTAAGAAATATTGTATTCGACTAAAATTTTGTTGTTTAGTAGTATATATAGTAAGTTACTAAAGCAGTCCCGATTAGGCTCAAGTTGGCAGCGACAAGATTCAATACGACAAATAACAATATCGCAGCTCACAGACACGTGTGCGTTTAAGTTCAACTATTTGTTTTATTATATTGTCCGCTGCGTTTTTATGTTATGATCTGATCCTATTGATAAGTTAAATATTTTAGTTGTTTACTAAAAATATGTTTAATATACTGTACATTTTACATATATAATTATATTTCGCACATATAAGATGTCGTTACTTCAAAAAAAAAAAAGTGTATTTTGAAATCGACAATAATAAATCAGTATTTAAATTATTAATTTTTTTTACATGGTAACAATTTCTTGTTTTCGGAGTATATTTATCTGTTAATGTTTTTTTTTTTTTTAATTCTAATTTTTTTCCTGTATTTTGTATTGGTATTATTTTTTGGTAGTCTTGTTTTAGGAATTGTATGTATATTGATATGGTGGAGTAGTTATTTATCCCGTAGAGGGCGTTGGTAACGTTCAACGAATTGTTTACATTGTAGAAGGAAGCAATAAATCTATATACGAAACGATAGGAATCGCTGTTTCATTTGGTTTGCTCAATTTTATGTCCTCGTCATCATTATTATATCAACTTTTAACTGTCCACTGCTGAGCATAAGCCTTCCCCTTGGGGGGGGGGGGGGGGGTTGCTAGCAGTTGCCACGCTTGGCAGATGGATTGGCAACCGCATTTAGGCTTTGGAAATGTTTTTAAGAGGGACGCTGCTGTCCGTCCCTCGACCGCCTTTAGTCGCCTTTTAAAACACCCACAGGAGAGGAACGGGTGGCCTATTATATACCGGGATCACACGGCCAGTTTTAGTTCGAGAATTATTATTAATTTATAGCCGACCAAATTAAGGAGAAAGTTGTTAATTTTGTGAGAACTGATTTTAACCATTCTTTTTTGCAATCGATATTTTCTAACAATTGAAGACACTGGATTAAATTGAATTATTGAATTGGACTTTAAAAATCATTCTACATAAAAAAGCATCATCATCATACCTGTTACCTGTCCACTGCTGAACATAGGCCTTCCCATATGGAAGGTTATGCCAGTAGTTGCCACGCTTGGCAGGCTGATTGGCAACCGCAGTTAAGCTTTGGTGATGTTTTAAATAGGACGCTGCTGCCTTCCTAGATCATTAAGTTCCTTTAGTAGCCTCTTAAGACACTCACGGGAAAGGAAGTGGTAGCCCATTCTATGCTGGGAAAATATAAAAAGTATTCAAAAATATGAAGCAGAGGGAGACTGTACAAAAGCTTGGGTACCTTTGTTCCATTCGTGTACCGTAAACTGTAAAGCAGTTGTGTTTGCATGGCTGTGTTTCGGTTTGAAGGCCCATATCCCACATATGGCGTAAATTTACAGGGTACAGAGGAATAACACCTGAGTCCTCAGGAATGGCAACGCATGGGGGGTATCATGGGCGAAACAGTATACTCTGTTATGTCCATGGTACTGCTCACGTCTATAGGCGACGGTTACCACTTTCCATCAGGTGGGCCGTCAGCTTGTTTGCCATTCTAAGATGTATAAAAAAAAAAGATAAGAGAGATTTTGTTTGAATACAATTATTGTAGTTTAAGACCTATTTTTAAGTAGTTTTGCTGACAAATATGCTTATTCATAAGTGATAACAAGCAATATGCGATTTGAAAGCAAATGTGGAACATATCTGTCGTTACTAGGTCTAAATAACATGCAGTCATGTTTTTAATGTTCATTGTAACTTGTTGATTTGACAGACGACGTATTGTACGATGTTATGACCTGTTAAGGGAGAGCTAAGCAATTTTTTTTTTAATATTTTTTTTAATGGGGTAATATGGAATATTAACCTTGTCTGCGGTAAAAGTTTATGTTAACGGGGCACCAGTGAGTTATGATATGTGAGGACGAAAGCAGGTCAGTTTTTTTTTATGGGTGAAAATGGTATGGTAACCCCGCCTGCGCTAACGGGATACGCTGGCGGAGCATCAGTGAAGGGTGATAGATGAGAACGAAAACAGGCCAGTTAGCCCATCATGACGAATTCATCAGGAATTAACCATGATAGTTTCCAGGGGGAACCGCGTGGAGGACGACCTGGTTATATTGACCCGGGTATATTGCTAGCAATGGGATTCCCAGTCTCCATTACTAATAATCCCTTTCCCCCCAAGCAGGTCAGTTGGCCCGTGATGATGAATTCAATAAAAAATATCTACAATGGTTTTTAGGGGAAACCGTGTTGAGGTCGACTTGATAGGGTATACGGCCAACAATGGGGCAACTAAACCACTCTATTAACAATCCCTTTTCCACATTTTTTTTTAATATTCAGAAGGACGTTAATTGTTTAGAATAGGTGGTAGATAACCCGGCCTGGTCTGGCTTTATCCTGGCCATGTGCCAATACGAAATTGTGGCAACCCTGTCTTTTAGACAGGAGCGATTGCCACGACTAATTGCTGTTATATGTACAGACAGATAATAATCAATTTTGATTATAACTGATTGTCTTAGATTATGTAGATGGAGTGTCTCCATAGAAATGCTTCGAGAAAATCGGGTCAACTTTTTTATACAATTTTACGTCATAAATAGTTATGAGTGATTTATTTTGTCTTTTTGCATTTTTTAATGCATAAAAACTCATTTTATTTATTAAATAATTAAAAATGGATACATTTTGTACATAAGTATCTAGAACATTCATAAAAAAAAAGTCAACTAATTGTTAAATTTTTTTTTATAAATTTAGAATGGCAAACAAACTGACGGTCCACCTAATGGAAAATGGTAACCGTCGCCTATAGACATGAGTAGCACCATGGACATAACAGAGTGTACTGTTATGTTGTCATTACATTTTAAGGCTCGATGCTCTATCTATATAATCTAAGCTGATTGTTTTGGTGTCTACTGATTTTTTGTATACTCTACATGTGTGATGTGGCATTCTGCCTGCATTTTAATTATATTTGATAATAATACCGCTGTAAAAATAAGGCTCTTTGTTTGCATCTTATCTTTATCGAGCGGTCTTCGCCTGCATGTCTGTTGTAAGATCACATCACTAGTGTATATGGGACATCACTAGAGGTGGATACTGATTGGTTGATTAAGAGTATTGTGTAATAATGGCTGTCTGATTAATTAATAAAGGATCTGCGATAATTAAATAAATCTAATTTAAAATAAATTAAATAAGTCTAATTATTAAAAGACTATAAAAATATAACAATGTCAACTCTAAAATATGATAGGTGAGGATGAAATAAAGTTTATTAGCTTATAGTGACGAATTGACCAGTAATTCATGACGATAGTTTCTAGTTGGCGCCAGGTGAAAATTTACCAAAGATGGTATATTACTGACAATGGGGCCGCAAGTTCCCTTTTTTATCAACTTCCAGCAGCAGTATTTCCAAACCGATACGGCAACTGCCCCTTCAAGAAAAGAGCTTGTTCCTTTTTAAAAGGCTGGCAGCACATCTGCAATACCGTTGGTATTGTGGGTGATCATGTGGCGGCGGTAGTTATTTACCATCAGATGAGCCGCATAATCGTTTGCTCCCTGTGTTGTAAAAAAAAAATTAACAGATAGATAATAACTTTATTTCTATCTCCGTACAGTACACAATAAAAAAAAATATGCACAACAAGAAGAAAAGAAAAATACAAAACAAGGAAAATACATAAGTGTTTAAAAGACTGTTTCGTGTATATGCTATAATAACACAAAATGGCCGCGATTAAGTTTATTGCTTTGCCCTCAAAATGGGGGGAAAACAGATTTTCTGTTTTTTTTGTAACACGTATTTTCACCAATAAACAGTTATAAGAATCTCGTAAATGTATCGCGATATGTTTTTATAGATAGAGCAATGGCCTGCGCGGATGAAATACATTGGGTTTGCAAACAAAATTTTTCTTCATTACTTCTTCTTAGTTTTAAGTCCGACCGAAAAGGATAGAGGTCGCCTATTCAGGTGTTGATCATTCACATATTCAGAGTTTTTTGCAATCACTGGTCGTCCATCTTACCCGCATGTACCGTCTATCGATAAGATTCTATCCATTACGAAATATTCACTTCAAGAATTGGCATCCCGTCATCCGTATCAAAGAGCGAGGATGGGATGCCGCGCAATAACGGACCCGAAATTTAAAACATAAGTAGATAAGTATCTGTATCTACTTACCACAGAGTAAGTAATTATTTGGTTAGTACTTACTAATTGTTAAATACCTAAGAATAAGGAATTACAAAATATTTTTTTAATATTAAGTTAAGAATATTCTTGGTGGGTGTACGAGTAGTTTATTATTTTCTGATATTCAATACTTAGATTATATAGACAGTGTCTCCATACAAATTATTCCCTAAAAACAAGTCAACTTTTTTATTATGTCTGCCATAGGGTTACCATAATGTACATTTATTACTCTATGTACAGGAGAAATTAAATTGCAAGATTAAATTGAAAAATAAAAACGATACAAAAATTTTACCAATATAAATGAAATAACCAGATAAATAATATATAATTATTCGTAATGATGTTTATTTAATACTTTGATTTATATCTATATATAGACATAAAATACGTTTTCATTTTGAAATAATTGGAAATTATTTATATATATATTTAAGCAATATGTACATTGTATGTTTACATTATATAAGAAATACAATTCTAATTGAAACATGCAAACATTGAAAAAAGCTTATGTTTTATTTAAAAAAATATGTGGCAAAATTTAGCCAAACGTCAAATTAGCTGACTGAAAGTTGACCAGTTTTTATTACTCAATGCTTCATCTGTATAATCTAATCCTCTTTTCATAAAAATTTAAACTTTTTATAAATCTTATAACTAAAACTGTTTTGTAACTTTTTTCAAATTGGGAATACAGCGCAAAAGACAAAATAGTTCGAAAGTTAAAATAGGTTTATAAGAGGTTTGACATTTTTTTCGTTCGAAGAGGTTAGACGTTCGTTTATTTTGGTTCGAAGAGGCAAGACTCCATATAACCACATAATTTTTTTATAACGTACGTTTTTCAATAAGACTTACCAATGTATATAGGCGCCTGCAGTGTTTATTAGTGCTTTATACAGCGTGTAGGCATCATCATCATTATCATAGCAACCCATTATCGTTATGGCACGGGTCGCTCACCATAAGCGGAGGCTATTACCCTACATACCATGATGACCAGGTCTGCTTCGTTTATGATCATCAAATTTTATTTTCGTTCTCTTGCATTAGCGTATTATTATATTACAGTTGTTTTTTATGGGGGTAAAAGGGTGCGGCGACATAACGTATTCTTGTTCCGTAAACACACGTGACGACGATTATAAAGTGAAATACCATGGCGTACAGTTTTACCATAGTGGCTTTCCACAGCAACCTACCTTTTAACTGATGCGTTCCACAAAACGCTGTACGTATCCTGCATGTGGACGCGATCCGCAAGTAATTAGAGAAAGCGCCGATACTCAATCTATAGACGCAAAAAAAAAGCATAGGAATCAGTAACATTTATCTTTTGTACTTGGATACCTAAAAAACTATTCGAGTTTTGTTGCTTCAATTTTGTGGCCGAGATTATAATCCGAAAGGTGGGCGCGCGCGGGCACAACACGCAAGCACCTTCAAGTTCAGTCTGGTCTGATCTGAAGAGCGGCGACCGCGCATGCGCGCTGCGCAGAAAAATAATGGCCGCTTACGAATATACGCGGGAAATATTTTACGAACACAGTTCACATAAAATATCAATAATATTTTATTTTAAATAAAATTTATTTATTATAAAATTAAATTATTGCTAATTATCACTTTGGCCAAAGATTAATAAAAAATTACAATTATGAAACGTCTAAAATGTCTACGAATTATGTGAAATGTTTAGTGTTTATTTTGGTGATATTAATTTTAATTAATATGTGTGATTGTAAGAAGAAAGATGTGAAAACGAAGAAGAGAAAAGTGGACAGAAGTGGTGTTATGTACAAAAATCCTCTTACACATGGAAGACATAAAAACGTCACTTCAAAAGAGCAAGCCCGCGGATTTTTCGGATCGGGTTTGTAACTTTCACTTTTTTTTTTCACGCAGTCTAAACACCGGTGTAAAGTATAATATCAGAGTAGTCCAAAAACATAAATAAGTATCATAAAAGAAGATTTAACATCCATTCAAATTAATTGTCTGTCAAGTTAATGTAAGTATATTTATTATTTACTTTTATATCTAGGTTCGTTTTGAGATAACATCGTGTTTCTGTGGTTTCAACCTTGATTTATTATAATAAACCGCAAAAGTCGTGATTTCAGTTTCAGTTTAATTCACTCTTGTCGATATTTGTCTATGATTTAATTTAGAATTATACTTAGTCGTAAGTATAATAAAATTATATTCCATTTTTTTCTATTTTTATAAGTTTATCATAGTTTACGTGCTACAACATTAGTTCTATATACTATAACACTTGCAGTAATATAGTATATTATTAACATTAAAAGTATACGTTTATATTCATCATCATCGTCATCATCATCATCATCAGCCTTTAACTGTCCTCTGCTGAACGTAAGCCTCCTTCTTGGGGGTTTTGCCAGTAATGGTCACGCTTGGCAGGCGAATTGGCAACCGTAGTTAGGCTTTGGAGATGTTTTATAAGGGACGCTATTGCCTATTCCTCGTTCTCTCTTAGTCGCCTCTTACGACACCTACGGAAAAGGAAGGGGTGGCATATTCTATGTCCGAAACCATACGTTTATTTGTATTATATAGCCAAAACTACCTCTAAAGGTTAGCGCTCGCTTACGTCATATAATTTTTTTTTTATACTACTTAGAATGGCAAACTAGCTGACGGCCCACCTGATGGAAAGTGGTAACCATCGCCTATAGACATGAGCAGTACCATGAACATAACAGAGCATACTGTTTCGCCCATGATACTACTCATGCGTTACCATTCCTGCGGACTCAGGTGACTCCTCTGTACCCTGTAAATTCACGCCATATCCCACCCTTCAAACCGAAACACAACCATGCAGACACTACTGCTTTACGATAGAAACACGAATGGGACAGAGGTGCCTAAGCAATCGATTTTTGTACAAAGTCTCCCTCTGGTAATAGGATAGTCTGGTAATAAGATAGTCCTGTGCAAGAATTCTAAATTCAAACGTTGAATTTAAAAAACTCAGTTTCTATTTTCAACCGACTACAAAAAGAAGGAGGTTGTCAATTCGGTTGTATTTTTTTTTATTTTTGTTACCTCATAACTCCGTCAGTTGTAAACCGATTTGAAAAATTCTTTTTTATCTATATACAAGGGTATACTTGCAGATTAATCACATATAAATTTTATCAAAATCGATCCAGTAGTTTACTTTTTAAATTAAAATAGTTCGATGACCTGTAAATATATTTATTGATATAAGAACTAATTTTCCAAATCGGTTTTAAAATGACGGAGTTATGAGGTAACAAAAATAAAAATAAAATACAACCGAATTGAAAACTTCCTTCTTTTTGTAGTCGGTTGAAAATAGAAACAGATTTTTTTAAATTTAACCTTTGAATTTAGAATTCTTGCACAGGACTATCTTATTACCAGACTATCCTATTACCAGAGGGAGACTTTGTACAAGAGTCGATTGCTTGGGCACCTCTGTCCCAATCGTGTTTCTACTGTAAAACAATTGTGTCTGCATGGCTGTGTTTCGGTTTGTAATGTGGGATATGGCGTGAATTTACTGGGTACAGAGGAATAACACCTGAGTCCTCAGGAATGGTAACGCATGGATGGTATCATGAGCGAAACGGTATGTTCTCTTATGTTCATGGTACTGCTCATGTCTATAGGCGACGGTTACCACTTTCCATCAGCTAGACGGTTCGCTTGTTTAATATTCTAAATTGAATAAAAAAAAAAATGTAAAGAAAAAGTTCAGTTTCAATAATAGAACCGATCAGTTGCAGGTTGTAAAGCCTCTTTTAAACGGATACAAATATATTATATTTCCGCCGGTCGATTTTGTAACACTCGAAGCAACTGCCTCATAACGCCTTGTCATCGGACATTCATTAACGGGCCAGGGGCAACCCGAGTGTAATAAGCAAACTTTTGCACTTGATTAACGTTCTACAGTGTTTTTGTTTAGTTCCCGTAACGGCAGCACGTTTTACGTTCAACAGTAAAAACTTGCAGCCATTTTGTTGCGACGCTTCTTTACATTATGTGCTCGTACAAATTGGTACATTGTAAGTTGGTTACATGATCGCGCGCAGGTAAATTTTTCATACGATACGACCTACATATATTTTTTTACAACACGGGGCAAACGAGCATGCGACTCACCTGATGGTAAGTGACAAACCGCCGCCCATGATCATCCACAATACCAATGGCATTGCAGGTGTGCTGTGGGTCTTTTAAAAAGGAATATGCTCTTTTCTTGAAGGTTATGTTGTCGTATCGGTTCGTAAATACTGCTGCTGGAAGTTGATTCCAAAGAGTGGTTGTGCGTGTATAATTGTCAATCTACACATCATCTTCACATCAGCTGTTTATTGACCACTGTTAAACATAGGCCTTCTCCCATTGGAGGGTTCGTCAGTAATTGCCACGCTTGGCATGTGGATTGGCAACCGCAGTTAGGTCATGGTGATGTGTTAAGAGGGACGCTGCTGCCTATCTCTTGACCGTTAAGTTCCCTTAGTTATCTTTTACGAAATCCACGTGAAAAGTAGGGGTGGCACATTCTATGCTGGAGCTAAAGGACAGTCTATTTAGTTTAATTAATTAAATTAACTGACTACACTCGATTCTCCATGGAAACCATCATGATAGATTTATTGTTGAATTTATCATGATAAGCCAACTGACTTGCTTCATCATCATCCATCATCCTTCACTGGTATTCCGTCAATGTATACCGATAGCGCGGTAGATATTCCACTATTGTTTATTACAAAAAAAAAATAAGGATATGTTAGCCCTATCATACCCTTAATTAGTTAATTCACATACCAAAATAGAGGGAATCATTGATACAAAAATAGAGCAATTAAAGATTTTGCCATTTTGGAATGTGCGAGTATATTTAAAAATAATCCAATATCTTGTCTATTTAGACTATATTTCTGTATCAAGGCTTCTCTTTCTGTTTTGTAATTTTTACCTTCGACTATCATAGGTTGAATATCATCTAATGTCTTACAAACATCACAATTTGGAAATCATAAAATTGTTGATGCGTGTAGTACACTGGATAATGTATTTACAACCACGTCACACTATAAAACAGCGTTTTTTTCCCACGCCATCTTCAAACAATTGGCTAAACTCTTTAAGATATTTATAGAAGACACGTTATAATTGGGACGTGACATTAAAATCAAACGAAGATTAAGATCTGTAGCAATTACAAATGTAATTTTCAGGCCGCCCTTTGCAAGTATTATCTCTCGTAAAACATCGGATGCAAAGTCTTTAAAGCGACTAATTTATTAATTTGGATTTATATTAAACAAAGTCGAGACAAAATACAAGTATATAGGTGATAATGCTTGATACAAAAAAAAAAGTTTTGTTGCAAGAGTAAGGGTGCACGAAAGTAAAAAAATATAACATTTACAACTATCTATTTCTCGCGGCTTCACCCGTGCGAATTACTACATAATTATTGAAAGACAGAGTTTTTTACAAAAACCTGTGACCCTGCGATCTTTCCATGATCTTCTGTGCTCACCCTTTTTAAAGTTCGCCGCTAATTCCTATCAATGATGGGAATTTTAAGATGTTTTTATCTCCTCAGGATATAGAGTCTGTTTTGCAAAGGAGATATATCGTTTATGTATGAGTGGGTTATAGCCACAGATTAAGTGCTGCGGCGTTTCTTCCTCACTGTGACAAAATTTGCAAAAATTTTTTGGGTATAAGTCTAGTTGGCCCATATGCTTGTTTAGTTTGCTGTGTCCAGTAAGGGCCCTTGTTAATACACACATATTATTTGTATGCAAAAGAATTAATATCTTAGAGTAATTTCGTGAAAAGCCCTTAATCAGGACTTTTAAGTGATTTAATCCTGGCAACAGGAGCTAGCTATTATTTGCTACTTCTAAGCTTTTAAGTTTGAGATGCCTGGGCTTTAGGATTCGAGGAATGCCATATTATACATATATAAGATACCATATGTATTATTAATATTACAATACATTACAGTTTAAATAAATAAAATAATTTCTAGATAGATCGTTGATTTTTTTTCCCTGGATTGATCTAGATGGTTTCTCTTTTTTTCCATTTGTTGATGTTATGGTGACAGTTAATGATAATTAGGGGTTAATCTGTAGGCAAGATCTACATATGTTTATAGCAAAGAAAATAGGAAAAAAACTTCTGAGAAATGGAAAGAACTAGGCGGACATATTTCTAAGGAAATGATTGCTCTACTTAGTCCCATCTGTGAGGTCAACGGTTTATCCACGTATGTGCATGTAAGCCTGGACAAAATGAACACGATAGCGTTTCTCCATAGAATGTTAGTTGTCTATGAACTCGGGTATTTTTTTAATTTTATCTGTGAATTCCATATTGAATTTATACCTACCTGTAAAAAGGTCTACAAATTTCTTTAACTTTGGAGTTAAAATAGTAGAGCAAAGATTTAATTAAAATGGTTGGATAAATTACTCGTTTGTTAAGATTTCTGTTATGTTCTATAAAATGGACTGTATGGGTGTCTTAACTTAGATAATGTACTACTTATAATATATAATAAGTAGCAACAGTTAGACTTGGACATGTCTCACAAAAATAAAGAATAAAATAATAATAATAATAATAAAAGAAAAATACATGAAAAAAAAAGAAACAATTTATTTTTGTGTTTATGTGCCAAAATAACACAAAATGCACAGTAACCATAGCTCAGTTTATTGCTTTGCCCTCAAAGGACAAAAGACTGGTCTTCTATTGTGGCCAAAAAGCCCATTTACTATATTTTTTTAGCAAAATATGTTCATTTTTTAAACTTTCTCGTTATGTCTTCTTGTTGTTATTTAAATA